TTACTTCCGTAGACTGAAATATTTTTGTATTGAAAAAAAACTTTTAAATATGTTTATTTTAATAGCCTATATCTATTTCAGATTTAAACTAGTTCTTCTATCTTCTTAAAATCAACTTTGCCTAATCAAATTGTGTGCTGTATCTGTAACAAAATGGCAAGCTGGGGTGGACATACTCTTCCTGGGACATTTTTTATTATATTTGGAATATATTATGCTTTTCTATACATTTCAAGATATCTGAAGTGAGTAGATGGTATTTATACTACTTGAATTTAGGGCAGGATATCTGTTATTTATGAATCTGGAAAATTACTCATTCTCTGTTTTTAAAATGACGCTGTCATGTCTAGAGTGTTGCAGTACAGCACCAGATTCTGGCTATTTTCTGGAACATAAAAAAAGCATGTGAGTCTTTGAAATGAGGGGCTTCGAGTAGGCAGCAAGCCCGGTGCGTGAGAACCTTAGATGTCTGAATATAAGTCACAAAACCTCACGCACAGAAAACCGCGGATTTGATTTTCATTTTTTCACATCTATACTGCCCTATACCTGTATACGATTACACATACAATGTATTTCTGAACCACATAATTATACAGTCTCATAATCGTGATGCATATGATCTACTATTTAAATATTTTGGCCTCTTTAATGGCGCACTAGTATGTTGTGGTACACTGATTGCTGTAACGAAAACATAAGCAATAAATATCTGTTTTTAAAAATGAGTCGCCGTTATATTTAGGTTATTTTCGGTTACTCAAATAAAGTTTCATGTCATGCCTTGAATCTGCCAATATATTGTTTGTCCTTCATCAATCCAGGAAATGAGAAAGCAAAAAATAACTGCACGTTAGGCCAGCAAGCTGTCTGAATCCGGACATTTTAAGTATTCGTTTCGGGCCGCATCTGGTTCTCCATTTTAGAGCATTGGCTCAATAACTTTGAATGGATTATATTTTAATAAAAGACTTATTTATAGTTTTGAATTTTTTTCATCATTTGCAGCAACTATATACAAAAAAGAACTTGTCTGGAAACTACAAAAGGCATAATAGATGCCGAAATTTTTTTTGACTCACATTTTTGACAGGATATCAGAGGAAGACTGAGTATAGGTCATGATAATATGACCTCAGTTTACCAGTCTAGGGAGGGCATCAGGATATTGTGAATAGGTGGTTTCTGGAGGGCACAATAACAAACCAGTAGTCTATCGCTAGTGTACCGTTCATCCACCGATATTTTTCAACCTTCGAGCACGTAAAACTGATTTGCGATGTCGCGATAAGCCTAGTTCCAAGAATACGAGTCATGAAATATTTTGTAAAATTAATAGAATATTCAATCTACTTTGCAAATTTTATAACATCTTTTATTTCTTGTAGGCTTCTGATGCACTTTATCCTATTTAGTTTATTTATTTTTCGATTACAGTTGATCAATCAGTTGGATTACTATTATATTATATTGTGTCATTTGAAGCACAGGTTTTATTTCACAGTCAAATGTACTTGCAACTAAAATATTATCTTGAGCCCTGCCAGCTAATTCTAAGTCAGAGTTGTACAGAAGACATAGTTACATAGGTTATTAATAAGTACCTGTATCGGCTGTATGCTAGTGCAACTTTGAAGAAAATATCTTAATTAGAGTAAAATTTATTGCTTTAGCAGTATTTTTGGCAATGGTATATTTATTTTGGATTAGACATTAATTTCAATATTTTTGAACGATTTTACCGATATGTCTATATTTGAAGACAACAAAAATACTGCAGGTACTCCTGTACATTATTTCTTATCCAAAAAACTGTCTCTTTTTTGCTAATTATTATTCTCATGGCTCGACTGTACGAAAAAGGTCTGCCCCCACTTTGTGAAAAAATTTGCACATCATCCATACTGTCATGCTGTATTTGTCTTTCCTTGGCCCTTGATAGATTTAATGTGAAGTTTAATCTATTGTACTTTGCTTAAAGTAATGTAAATCATTTTAACTATAAATACTGTATATAAAGATATTTTAGGTGAAACTTTTACTTTTATTATCCAAAATAATGGGTAGCTACGGAGGTCACGTTCTTCCTGGTTCTTTTTTTATATTTTTTGGTATCTGGTATGTTATTGGATACTCCTGGAGTTACTTTACGTAAGTTTATAGCATGCTTGGTGTTTTTGCATGACACAGGGGAATGATCGGGTGATATCTTTATGTATAAAAGTAGCACATCCTGTACATGAGTTCATCTAGGATTATGCTTTGTAAATTATTTTGAACAATTCGAATTTATTTTACAGCAAGTCATATTCCCAATTTCACTCTAAATTTTGACTTACCGTTAATTGTATTGTATTGAGGTGCTATAAAGTGGTGAATCAACTAAAAATTATCAATTAAACTAACTTTTTTTTTTTAAATCATAGAATTTCTGGAAAATTTAGTGTTGTTATTGTTCTGTTGACCCTTAGTTACAGCTCGGCATGTTTTTACCAGAGTTGAATTTTCAAACTGTGTTGCCTGGAATCTTAATTTCAATAAACTATAAGTCCAAATCGAAAAAGCATCAAGATTACCAAGTATTCTTAACAGTGTATAAGCAAAGCTTTGCATATATCAATGTTTTTGTTATCAAAATTTGATTTTACTTAAGTTTAAAGCTGGAATCTGAGATGAAATTTTCTTGATTAGAATTTCTTTGATTAGAAACATTCAGGATTTTTTGGTGTTGAAAACTATGATTTGGAAAACAGTAACAGAATTTTTAAACATTTTTTTTTCGTTTTTTTTTTTTGCCACGATGTTAAATTTAATATAAAACCTTCATTTATTTTTGTTAATTTACACAGGAATGCATGCTAGTGCGCAAGATTTTATTTCTAAGTTATGGTAATATGGTAGATCAATATTAAAGTTCAGTTATTTAGTTGTGTACAAATTCAATCCTCAATGAAAATGGCAACTATTTTCAAGAGCTTTTTAGCCACATTTAAAATAAGTAGAATAAAGTGTATTGTAATAATTTTGTAATCAAATATCATTTGAACTTTTGTAACATTTATAAAAAGTTGGTACTTCCGAAGTAAGTGAACCAAGATGATGGACACCGGAACGTAGTATGTGTACCAGGTTAGGGTTAGGCCATAATTTTATTCCTATTTTCCTCATTTTGGTTCTATTATGAGTTCGGGGACTAGCCAAGTGACTCAGGTAGTATTTGTAACTGAAATCATGGCCTAACCCTTATCTGGTACATATACCAACTATATTCCGGTGTCCGCCATCTTGGTTCACATACTTCGGGAGTGCCAAAAGTTTTAGTTACCTGTACTCATTATTGTGTACCTCAATCATCTTGGAAATAAAATATTTTAAAAAAGTTGGAATTCGAAAATTTTATTAGTCTAGTTGGATTTTTCACTCTCATTCCGGGCGATCTCATGTCATTGTGAAATTGATACATTTCAAAGAATTTGTAACTCTTTATTGGTATGATAAATTTCCAACAATTGTACATAGCTATATAGCTACATTGCTGTTATTCACATCCATATAGGCTACCATATTAAACTGCTTTGTTAATACCATTTTTGAAATTAATATGTTTCCTCAAAGAACTTTAATTTTGAACATTTTATTTGTCTGATATATTTCCATCTAATAATCGTATATTATAGCGCTGTGATTCAAACCCATACGAGGTGTGGCTAAAAAGAAACGAGACTGACGTCACAGATTGCGCAACACGATTAACCATTGGTAATCAACACTTTTACAGTGTGGTGTAATATGTGTTCTTTGTTCAACAGCTTTTTTGACACAATATCGCAATTATTTTTGCTCTTTAGGAGCCATAGGTGAATGTGATTAATTGCTTGTTGAAAAAAAAATTGCCGTGCGAGATCTGATTGAGTTTTTTGGCGATAGGGGGTTCAATTGCAGAATGACGATTGAGCAATGAATTAACATTAAATTTTGTGTCAAACTTGGAAAAATGCATGTCAACTGGGCAACATTTAATCGTTGAGCTTTCTGCTCCTCAGTCAACAGCCTTGGCACCATTTTGGCACTCACCTTTCACAAGCCAAAAGTGTCAACCAAACTGGTGCGAACCGTTTTTTTTTGTCTTTTCCAACTTCGCAATGACGCGAATTGTTGAGCGACGGTCGCTGCGAATCAACTGCCTTTCACAACTGAACTCACAACTGATACCTTTTCGATGTTGGTATCAGTTGTGGAAGTGCAAGGCCTTCCTGACTTCGAATCATCCTCCACATCCTCCCTGCATCCCACAAATCGCTTGTGCCATTCAAAAACTCTTGTTCTGGACATGGAAGAATCTCCATAAACATCACACAATTTCTTCAAAGTCGCAGTCGCTGTTTTTCCAAGTTTGACACAAAATTTAATGTTAATTCATTGCTCAATCGTCATTCTGCAATTGAACCCCCTATCGCCAAAAAACTCAATCAGATCTCGCACGGCAATTTTTTTTTCAACAAGCAATTAATCACATTCACCTATGGCTCCTAAAGAGCAAAAATAATTGCGATATTGTGTCAAAAAAGCTGTTGAACAAAGAACACATATTACACCACACTGTAAAAGTGTTGATTACCAATGGTTAATCGTGTTTCGCAATCTGTGACGTCAGTCTCGTTTCTTTTTAGCCACACCTCGTATATACCATTCTATATTGCTTTGTTAGTACCATTACATCTAATGTTAATAAATGTATAGAAGCATGATCATTTTAGATTAGCTGGTGGTGTAGATCGGTGTTGTTGTCTGTGTATCTTGTTCTATGTAAAATGTCAAAAGGAAAAGTTTTCCTAGTATTATTAAAAATCAAGTCAATACTCAAACAATTAGTTAACTGCCGTAGGTAAAAATTTAATTCAGCAGTAAAAAAGTATGTTGACAGATGCTTCGGCCCATTCAACTTGTTTCTATTATGGTATTAAGTACTCAAAATAGTAGTTTTGTATATAATTTTTTCTTCATGAGTTCGTCAAGTTATGATGAATGATAGACAGGCCTTTGTGCCAGCCTTACTTTATTTTACACTCGCTGTGTTGTGAGCAGTGCTTAAATCGCTGAAATAAAAACAACAATACCACAGCTTCAACAATCCAACCAGTAATTACGTTAATTAACAAGGCAATTCAATATGGAGGCATCAATGTTTTGCCTAGTTGAAATCTGAATGCCCATCATCATTTAAATCGGCTTCAGATGTGTATTTTTGGATCTGAATTTTTTTTCTCTTCCCATTTAATAATAATAGAGTATTTTTGCACAAATCCATGTGCTTTATACCGCTACCATTTTTAGTTACCGGTACATAGAAACCTATAGATTACAGTAATTCTCATTCAAATTCTCTGTCTTTTTTTATTGCTTGCTTTAGTTTGGTAGAAAATGGTGTGCATGCATCTCAATATTCATGCATTATCAGCATATTATGTTACTATTGTATCATTGTATGGTGCTCCTACTTGGTAGTATAAACAAATATCACAAATATGTACTGTTTCGGATTAAAAGTGTTTGTGAGTGACTATACAAGTCAACTACTGGAATTGGTTAATATAAAATAAATTTTGGGTACTATGGTCTGGTAGTTGAAGTGCTTCACCCAACCATGTTGGCTATAGATTTACACATCACAAGTTCAAATATCGTACCCCACTTTACCCAGGGTGTAATAAGATGGGTGGACAATAAGAAACCGGAAAGGTTTTAATCCTTTTAAAAACAGTGGCTTTTTACATGTTATAGGATGTTGTGCAGGGCCTTATTTAGAGCGAAATGTGAGATACGCGCTTTATAAAAAATATTGTGTCACATAAAATACTTCAAATCTGGAAGTTATTCCCTTGCTACTACTTTACGCATGTTCTTTGAAATACAAGACTGATGCATGCATTCTGGGAATCGATTGACAATTATTTTTTGATAAATCTTGCTTTTTCTTATTTTAGATCACGAAGTAAGAAGGATTACAACTACTATGGAACTTTCTACTGCTGTGGAAAACTACCGTGCTCTATGCTTGTGGTGGAAGGATGCTTGAAAATATTCTTTACGTCTGTGGGTAAGTGAAGTAATAAAATAATATTTGATCCAACTTCATGGACCATGTCATTAGATTCTGTTTGAATTGGCAGTAGCAGGTATGTAACTCTGCCAGTTGGCACAAAAGATAAATTTTCGAATTGCTGAATTTCCGTCTCAGTATTCCTCAATTGGCAGTCCAAAATTGAGTTGAGAAATATTCATTTATAATTACCTTCATTTAACATTTTGTCACCAAGGCTTATTAATAAACAACACAATTTTTTTTTTTTGAAACATAATTTAACGAGAAAAACAAGCTACGGTAATTATTGATGTTCTTGTAGTCGCTCTTGTGCTCACAGATACTTGTTTCAAGCTTGACAAGGTGGGCATTGGATTTGAACCCAAGACTTATATTTCGCAATTCCAACACAGTTAATTAAGTCTAACGGTAATTAATATCTAACGCTAGGCCATTATGTAGTCGAAATAATTTTATTATAAATTTTCACATTACTATTACATTCAGGTACATTGGTTGAACTGTTCTATCCTGGTGCCCCAATGGGAGCTTTACATAACTCTGACGGCGATTTCACTCATCCCATGAACTGGCAGCACGCTACCATGTATTTCTTTTTTGGTTTATCTGGTTTGGCAGACATCATTTCTTATACTGCAAAAAATGTAGTGCCTAAAGGTTTGTGCTTTATTATTAAACGTTGTATTCAGCTTGTACAGTATTAAATAATCGGAAAACATACCGGTAGATATTTGGTTAGTTAATACTGTCTGTAGTTTAAATTAGCAAGTCTTTGACAAAATATAGCTGGATATTATAATACAGAGGTTGGCAAATTACGGCCCGTGGGCCAGATCCGACCCACCCGAGTGTTTTATTCGGCCCACTTTTGTCTACAGAAATTACTACTATAGGTTCTATGGATATAAATTTCTGTTGAAAATGTTGATAAAAATAACGTCATAACGACCCTAATTATACATTGGGCTTTGTATTATTATGTAAACGTTAGCCTAGCTGATGTAAATAAACTACTTTTCATTCATAGTTTTCCATACTGAATTATGAGCCTCTTGACCAGTAACCAAGTCTATTTATTATCTGTATCCGGCCCACTCAAGAAAAAAAATTGCTTCGTAATTACCGTATATTACATTGTTAAGTTGGATTTTTTAGTTATTACGTTAGTAAGCTGGTGCCCACATGGAATACACAAAATTATTTTAATACTAAACATTCAAAATATTATTTCTTGGTATAAGAATGTTAAAATAAAAAAATATTTTAGTAATTCTTGAAGTTGGTATTCAGTTTCCTGTTAAAAAATAGTTTTATTTATTCCTTAAAAGTCTAAGAGTTTTTTCAATTACCATGTTTCTCGTGTCCAATATGGCTGAGAACATTCATTTACGATCGATTCAGAATTAATTTCTTGGTCCTATCTATCTTAATAAATATCTGTGCCGCCATTATTATTAAATGTTTAGGGTAAAATGTATTTAAACAGAAATATTTTGTAAGTGATATACCGGTATACATTTTATAAGTTAAATACATGTGTATACATTTTACATGGGCTTACATACTAGACCTAAGTCACATAACCTGCCTAAAAAAATTTCCGGGCTCCCGAAGTATGTGCGCCAAGATGGCTCACAACCTGAACACAGTATGTGTACCATGTTGGGGTTCAGGTTGTGCGCCATCTCAGTGCACATACTTCGGGAGCGCCAAAATTTCAAGTAATTGTCAGTCAACTCCGGTATATTTTCAGGATTAGATAGAATCATGGGAGGCCTCGCTTTGTTTGTGGAAGGATATTTGTTCTTTTTTCATTTGCATGGAAGATCGATGATTGACACGAGATGCCATGTCTTATTGGTGAGTTCCATATTAAATATTATTATTTATTTATTTATTGAGAATGTTTAAACTATGGTATAATAGAAAAATGTGGTGGATTGTATATTTGATAATAAAAGAATGAAATTGAGCATGTTCAAAAAAACCAAAAATTTGATTCAAGGAAATATTGAATTCAAATGGTTCTTAAAATAAAAAAAATTTTATTTCAAAAAGTTTCTTAAAAATAATATTGCGAAGTTAGCTGTACTAACAGCTTTATCAACTTTATTCTCTGTAATGGTTTCCCAAACCAAATAAGGATTAATAAATAAAGATTTAGATAGCATGTTAAAGGGTTTCCCTCTGGGCAGATTACCAAATATAGCATGTCTTTGATCATGCCAACCTAATAAATCTGCTGCCTGACAAAATGAAAACAATATTCACACAGGGATTAGGAGCCTGTTAGAAATCTCAATGGCGCTAGCTCCGTTTCCGTAGTCAATGATTTTTTTGTATTACCAAACATCAGCACAAATTAATCTCTAAAAGTTGAAATTAAAGTGCTTAGTAGCTACGTGTGCATTATAAAATAAAATCTATTAGGTGCAGTGTGAGGTACTCCCGTAGTGTGTGTACCAGATTAGGGTTAGGCCTCAATTTTATTCTGATTTACTTTATTTTAGTTCTGTTACGAGCTCGGGGACCGTCTGTTTTAGCCAAGTGAATATATTCTTATGCCCATATGTTTCAGTCCCTTTACACAACTTGATGCAAAGTAGGCGAACAAAATTAGTTACCTCCATATTGGTGCACATACTTCTGGATCACCCAGTGAAATGCAATATTATTTTACCACTGAATTATATCTGTATGTTAGATGCTATGGAGTTCGCTAGTCGATTACGCCATATCTTGTTTTATCTGAAGAAGTTAGACTATGATCTAACGAAAGCACATAAATATACTTGATATTTCGTGGAAGAGATTATGTTATTTTTATTTGGGTTCAATCTGGTTTGCGTAATTGTGTATGGCAATGGTTCCCAACTTTGTCACTTAGACATATCATCAAATAACATAGCATCTAATAAAATGATCTCACGGACCGACGAAAAATATTAAGGACTGACAAAAAGCAGGAAATTAGAATAGGAAATACATGCAGTAGATCTTATTTTATTGGGTGCGTTTTTGCTTGAATTTGCCGTCGCTGTCGTGTTGTGTTTAATTGCATGAAACACTTCAAAATTCTAGAACAGGGTCAAAAGTACATACTTGTAAAGTCGTAATTGCAATTGCACGTTGTAAATATACAAATTTATCTTGAAACTTATAAATTAATAGGCTATGAGGAATAAATTAAAATATATATAATAATCTGAATCTGATTTTATTATTTGCATGGGTATCATAAATTAAGACATGGAAAAATAATTAGATACTTCAAAGTTGGAACTAAAGTTTGTTAGCTATGGCTCCTGCTCTATCTATTATGACAAGCCTGGCTCCATCTCCCCTGCCCTTCATTCACAAAAACTAGAGTTATAAAACTTGGATACAAAATTAGGAATTTTTTGTATATATGTCACATCACTTTGACATTAATTCCAATCTTGGGTTGTGTATTTTTGGAACATGAAGAGTGAAACTAGTTTGTTACAATAGTTTTATTGCTCATAAAATATGGATCAGTTGGTTGGTTGTTCTGTATGTCCTGGTTACTAAAATTTATGAATTACAAAATTTGATAATAGAGGGAGCCAAATTTAGTTTGGAAAACAAAAAGTTAAAATTATCCTTACCTATAAATATGATTTTTTATTTTTCATTATACGAAGCTTATTTGCTACTTCTATTTTAAACAAGGTCTTGTTCATTATAGACACTGAAATCTAACAATATATAATGTGAGTACCGGTAGTTATTGTTTTTAGAAGGACCGTTTTCAATCTTATTTTTCCCAAATTCTAAATTTTATTAAATGTCACCTATTTACTGTAATGCCCAATTCAAATATTTATTCATCCATTATTTCATTTTTAAAATTTTTCTCATTGAAAAAAAAAAAACTAACAAAATCATGCATTAATCCAGGGAAGAAATTATATTTTCTAATGATTTTTTTTATCATTTAGGTGATAGCGGTTTGGCCTTGTGCACTTTTCGCATTGTTGGAAGCATTTTTGATCAACAATCGTGCGGTCTTACATCTCCTGGAAATGTTCCACTCAATTCTGCTGATATTCCAAGGAGTTTGGTTCTGGATGGTGGGTATTTATCTAACAAACAAAATAGAATTGCTTGGATATGTTGACACTAAAGTCCATTAACTAACCACCTGCTGTAGCTGGTACTCCCGTAGTATGTGTACCAGATTAGGATTAGGTCATAATTTTATTCTGATTTTCCCTTTTTCAGTTCTAATTAGGCGACTGTCTGTGTTAGCCAAGTGAAAATACCCCCTGCCGATAGGTTTCAGTCCTTTTACACAACTTGATGTAAAGTAGGCGAACAAAATTAGTTACCTCCATATTAGTACCTCTGGAGCGCCGAAATATATGCACACAAAGGTCCAATCGCTAACAAAGTACAGTACCTGTAGTCTATGCCAGGACCTCCCAAACTTTTGAGGTTGCGGCCCCTTTTAATATATTAAAATTTTTCGTGGAATCTGTTCATGGTAAATATGCTAAACTGTTCGAAATATGCATTTTTGATATTTTATTGACGCAGAACTAATTCTCAACTTTTAGTAGGCTTACTCGATAATAAAAACAAACACACATTTACTCAGATCAACGCTACTCAATTAATCATTGTGATTGGTGCGACTGCTTTTTGGAAGCCCTTGCCTATGCAACCCACTCTGAAATGTGACTGAGTGCCGGACTATAAAATATCCGTCATGTAGGGAGCCACACTTGACAGAATAAAATAGTTTTGCCATGAATTAAAATGAAACAACAAAATTTTTGGGTGATATATCTTTGGACTTTTGAATTGAATATTTTAAAAATAAAATACAAGAAGTAGGCTTCTAGGGAATACTTTCATCTTTGAGTACTGTAATTGAAATCAATCAGACCATTAGTTGTTGGAAAGTGATAAGCTTTTGTTTTTAAAAGTTTGTCATTTTCAAGTCTTGAGGACTATTCTTTTTTTTTAAGTTCAAATTTCTGATTAAGTGGCAATTCATTTTCCTTAAATACAGTATTTATTATAAAGGATGGTGGTACCTGCTGTAATCAACACACACATATTATAATACATAGTTCCGAAATAACGAAAACTTATTTAAATTAGAATATTAATCTATTTAATATTACCCTTATGATATATTTCCCCCCAAAATACACGTTTTAAATCATTGAAAATAAATTCATTTCTAAATTATCAAATATTAAAATACAATATGGTGGCTCCATGACCCAGTTACCTTTATTATATAACAGATTTCATGTCTGTTATATCACACATGGAAACGTGACACCCTGATCGTACAAGCGATGTGGCCAACAGATCATGTGACTATTGTAAACATTTCCCTTGTTTGAGTAATGACTCACTTATTTGTACAAATCATCATTTCTCCTTTGAGTCGAATGTTTCACAAATAGAACGCTTGTATAGGACTGTTAACTAATAGTTAATTAGGCGGATCTGTATTCATTTGTCTTATTGGGATAGTTCCGAATAATTGTTTAATCAGGAATTTCCTGATATATTTCATTATATATTTCTGGTACATCTAAAATATTGATTGGTTTTCTGTGAGAACAAGTATCGTATATCGTCGCATATAAGCCGATCTCACAGCCGACCCCCTGAAAATAGTGAATTCATAAAAATTAGCCATATGAATCGATCATCATACAAATCGTAACATGCCGTACATACTTGCATATAAACTGATTTCACATCTGCCCCTTGGAAACGGCCTTAAAACAATGAATTTATAAAAATTTGCATATAAGTCAACCCTACAAATCGTAACATGCCGTACGCATCCATCACATCGAATGGTTGCATAAGATATGTAATGAAAATGATACCCACTATTAGTATGTTTTAGTTTACCGTAATCAATAATGGTAAGAAGTGTTTCAAAATCCGCCAAATTCATACTTACTATCACTGTCAAACTCCCCAAAGAAGTCTTTCCAGTACAGATTCATGCACAAGTTGTTAATAAGTTAATAAGGCGATATGCAGCAGAGCATTCAATAATAGGTAATAATAGTATGAACTATTTACATGAATGCTGAAAATACCAGCTATATACCAATGAATCATTTAATAATCAATCAATGATGGCCAACTGTGGCCCGTATCTTGCTTCTCCGCTAGTGTACCTTATGGTGCTTTTCATAGGAAACAATAGCTATGAACATATGTTTTTCGTTGCTCTGGAAGCAAGCTCTTCTTTTGCTTGCAAACTAAATATAATATGAAAATTCGTTTTATCAATTTTAATCTATCACTGATCATAATAATTCGATCAGGTCAAGTTTTGACTTTTATAGATCATACTTCTGGTCATAATATTGAAGGATTTATCGAATTCATAATACCAATAACAAGGTCGTCTCAGTAATAATCACCAGAAAAAATAAATCTCCTTTCATTCACCCTATTTAGAAACTTTGATTCTGCAAGTTGTGCTCCCATATTTCTTAGACACATATTGGTTATCGTTTTCATGCATCAAGTTTTCCCCAAGCTTGATTGAATGCCCTGGCAGTATAACATATTAAAATGTTTGCAAGTACGAACTTAATTTTATTTCAACCAGATCCAAAACTGCTGTTATATCTCATTGAGTAAGTCAAAATGAAGCCTAATTGGGCGTCCATCTATCCAATTCGATTAACCTCTTGTTAGGGTTACACGAAGCCAACTAAATTTCCCTGCTCATTTGCGCAAGTGGATCCGTATGTGTATAACGCAAGGGTGCTGTAGCAGCAATAAGGATGAATATTCTATTTAATTCAAGTGTCTTGCTGCACACTAACACGAGCTTGTCTGAAGAAATCTTACCTTAGATAAAGTGTTACAGAAATTCATTTGTGTCATTGTGCAGCAAAACTTTCGAATCAAATAGTCTTGTCGATTTGTTTAATTTAACATTTACATTTTTTCTCCAGGTCGCTTACATTCTGTATCCACCTAGTGGAGAACGATGGGATCCATGCTTTACGGAGGCAAAAATGGACGCTCACCAACTAGCAGAATTAAAAGAACATCGTAAGTTCATTTTGTAATTTGTTTCAATATGTTTAGGAAAGTGTATTAAATTGGGGCATGTTCAGTCAGAGAAATCTTCGTAGATACTTGTAAATTCACATGGAAATTTAATTTGAAAATTATTTGGTTGATTCTTAATTTTTAAGAGGTAAATAAGGTATATAAGGTTTGAGTTGAAATGGCAGGCTCAAAACCAGGAGCGGAGAAGGTACAGTGATCAGTTCAAGTTAATACCGGCTCTCTCAGTGTTTGAGAATTTCCTATTACAGATATTGTAGTCTTTTGTTCAGGACAGTAATTCGGTGAGTTATGTTTTGGTATCACATGAATTAGCTCGGCGAATCAAAATATATGGCTAATAGAGCTGTCATTGCTACCTCATCTATTTGATCGCTTTCAGTCAGTGTATAGTTTTTCTTTTTACATAAAGTTCCCACGTTAAAAAATTAGCATTAAAGTCAGTAATAATAATAATAATAATTTTAATTTTAGTAAATATGAGAGACCCGACTTTTCTTACTAAACTGAGAATTAAAAGGGAAAGGACATTCACATTATAGCTTACTGTTAATGGTGTGTTTAGAATATCAAACTGCATAGCAAAATTTTTTTACTGATCCAACATTGCATTTACTTCTTCAGATATAGAATATATACAGTTTGAACATAAATTATAGCAGTGGTTCCCAAACTTTTTAGAGATGGGATCGACTATTTATTACCACAGCTTATGGTGACCCACTTAACTTTAATTTTCCTTTGTTTTTCATGACATAACACAGAACACAGCAATGGCTAATCATCGCAAAACTACCGTGTTTCCTCGAAAATAAGACCTCACCTGAAAATAAGATAATAATTTGAATTTTCAAAATGATTTTACGTAAACCCTACCCTTGAAATAAATTTAAAATGTGTGGAAAGGTTCATTGGCCTGAGGTAAGGTGAAGATGACACCACTATTCAAGATCGTTTGATATCACAATTATGATATTTGTAACTTGATTTTTGTATAGGAAATACAAATGAAAACAATGAATGTCGGTTTTTATGTAATGTTTAGTAAAAAATCTTGTGATTTTCCACAATGTAATTTTATTTTTGATAAATGACACAAAAGACCTCTTCCAAAAAAAACATAGTGTTATTCTTCAAAAGAAAATAAATCTAAATCCTGTCTAAATTTCGAGGAAACACGGTAAGAAGAGTTGTACAGTGTACAAAACTGCTATGCATAAAAAAGCCACACGGTCATTCTTTGTGTAGCAAATTTTTTTTCTTTGAGAAAATCGTAAAAAGGAAACTTTCACAGATTAGAATTTAAATTTAATTTCTTTTTTTTTGAAGATTTACGCATTCGAGTTGCCACTTGCCACCAATCCTAATAACCAGTATAACTAACCAAAGATTTCTACATCTTTTCACGACCCACTAAGATTCCTTTTGCGACCCACCAGTGGGTCGCGACCCATAGTTTGGGAACCGCTGAAATATAGCATTCACTATAGTCAAGGTTCCTGCAGAAAATTAGTGTTTAAGCCAGTTTTATCGAGATTGTACCTGTGCAGCATGCTTTGCTCCTTGCCTCAACTTTTTTCAACTGTTTAATTGATTCACAGACAGTGTAGGTGTTTCCTTCAAACTAAATTATCTATGCAGAAAATTAGTATTATTAACCTCAGTGGCAATGAGTGCAGTGTAGATGTTGCAAAAAGCCTATGGAATGGTATTAAGAAAGACCTGGATTTCTCTATTAAACAGAAGGAAAGAAGATTAGAATTGAGAGGAAAGGACCTACATTACAGGTTAGATCAGTAGTTTTCAAACTTTTTAGGTCGCTTCCCCATTTTAGAATTTGTTAAGTCTCAAGTCCCACCTCAAATATAACTAGCTAACAATAAGCTACAAATAACACATAGTAAGCGAAAGTATGTTTGGTGCTCCCGAAGTATGCGTACCAAAATGTCACACAACCTGAACCCTAACCTGGGTTCAGGTTGTGCGCCATCTTGGTGCGCATACTTCAGGAGGTCCGTATGTTTTATATAGAAACACGTTGCAAATATGTGGAGAGAACATATACCTTATATCCAAAATAAAGAAATGTGAATATCTAAAATAAGGCGGGCAAAATCATATTTTTATCTTGAATTACCTTTACGCTCCCTCAAATCACTGTCTACGCCATGTTGGCCGCACTCCATCATTTGAGAACCTTGCTTTACTTCAATATCATGAAAGTCAGAATATTTGAATGAAACTCAAAAATTTCAGTTTACAAAGCGCTCTCAATTAAATAACTATTAAAGAAGGATACAAACGCAAATGTTTTTGTTATCAAAATTTGATTTTCTTGTAGTTTGGAGCTGGTTGAAGAGCCAAAACTCTTAACAACAACCCAGGGATGTTAGCGAAATCCCAATCTACTAATTGGGATTCAAGTCAAAATTTTTCTTAGCCCGAAGTCGAATGTAAATTTTTCGCCATTTACAGCCCTGAGTAATACAGGCCCTTTATGATTTCAATTTTGTTATGAAGTCAGTTCTCAATATATCTTATCCAGGTTTGTTGTTTTTTAATCCATAAATGTTTAGTATTTTTAATTTATTTAATATGTGAGGGCCAAAACAATATATGGTATTGATAAAGTCCTTTTTTTTTTTTATTTCAAGACTTTATGGACACCCTATACCTGACATGGCAAACTACGTGCCAAATCTGACTCACATGTTGGGTGAATCAATCTGGCCCGTATGATACTACCCACAACCAAACTGAAACCAAGTTTTAATCACTAAAAAATACTCAAGGAATTTGTTGAGATTGCGATTAAATTTTGTTTTGGCTCGAAGCCTATTGTTTTCCACTCTTGCTTTTGTAACACTGTAAATATTGTTCATAAAATGTAAATTTTATGTCACACTTACATTTTCTAAACACCTTGCCTACCCCTGATGTATACTATTCTTGTGGGTTTTTAGATATCATCAAGTAAAGATCTCAAAATTTTCTTTCTTTTCCAGAACACAATAGCAGTGGTGAAGAAAAAACATGCAATGAAGGAAAAGTACATTTAAACGTGATGTTCATCACAATGTTCTGGAGTTGGGCTCTTGCCTTCGTGTCTATTGGCGTTGGAATCATCTACTTTCTAGTTTACAAGTATGTGATGATAAATATATAAAAATGACTATGACAGTGGTTATCAAACTTTTTAGAATTTGTCAAATCTCATGCCTCAACTCAAAAACAATGAGGTACAAATGTCGGTTAGAATTTGTCAAGTCTCGCACCCAACCTCAAAAACTAGCTAAATTCACTCCCCCTGAAAAAATTGTCTGTGCCTCACGTGTGGGCCGCTCCCCACCGTTTGACAACCACTGTACTAGAAGAACTCCATTAAAGTCGGTGGTTTCCATCTGGAGTTCCTTTAATAAAACTAAATACCACAAGTTAAGTACCTCATTAACAAACTAACATACTATGCAGTTCGAGAGTTTTGCTGCACACTTACACAAATGTATTTCTGTAACATTTAGTCTGACCGAAATCAGACTTCCTCAGACAAGCAGTTTACAACAATGACTCGCCTGACCTATACTGATAACAAATCAACAATTCAAAAATGTTTAACAGGTGGTTGAAGATGCGAAGACAGCTTGATCGTTCTTTCTGCATCAGTGAGGAACGAACCGCTCTTAAAATGGAGAGCAGACACAAAGGTTTGCTCGACGGAGAAGATGAAGATGAGGAAGCGTTTTAGATATTTTTTTGTTGTTTGAGAAACAATTTTTAGAGTTAGATGAGTGATATATTATTTTATGCAATAACCCAAGTCAACCTTATACTTGGTGGGGCAAAGAACCGCCTAAATTCTAATTTTATTTTAAAAATGGAAGGTTTTGTGCCTAACCCTGTTTTAATTTGATTTCGGGAATTCTTTTTGAATTTCTCGATTCCCTTAATTTCTCTGTTCAATTGTTTAAAAAGTTGCGATAGTGTGTTCTAGGGCAGTTGTTCTCAAACTTTTTATTAAGCCTATTTTAGAATTGTCAAGTCTCGCGCCCACCTCAAAAATAACTAGCTTAACGTAAGCTACAAATAACAGATAGTATGAGGCAATCTCTAAATAATAAGAAATGTAAATACCCAAAATAAGGCGGGCAAGATGAATCAAACACATATTTTATTTTTAATCTTCTCACCCTTTCAAAAAATTGTCTGCGCCCCATCGTTCTGAAAACCACTACCCTATTGCAGGGCTACTCAACTGGCGGACCGCGGTTCGAATCCGGACCTTTCGAGTATTGGATTTGGACCGCACCTAATTATTTATTTTGGATCATTAGCCCCACTTTTTGAATTTCCTATCATAAAATGACTTTCATAGTTTTGAATATATACGAAAAGAACTATAACACCATAATAAACAATTTTAATTTGCTACTAATCATTAGTCGGTCGAGGAAGTGCTCGTTTAAGGATGCCGAAATATCATTTCTGGAAAGACCGGACCCAAATAATTTTGAAGTTTCGTTTGCGGACCTTCGATAAAAATAGTTGAGTAGCCCTGCCCTAGTGTATACTTAACACATATTTTTTTTATCAGGCAATCTCTTATTAGTGGACTTTTAATTTTTTAATATAGGGTCATAGTGCAAGCAATTCTTATAGTTGCAAAATCCCAGGTTCCTCACACAATTTTGAAATTATAATTAGTTGTTCAGAAATTCAAGGCGATCGAAAACTTTTTCGATTATTCATTTTTTTGTTTGGTATAAGGCAACATCCTGTTAGTGGAAAGTTTTCTCTTTTTTTATTTTACATTTGTAGTAGTGGCATTCACCAAACAGGGGTTGTTTTTAGCCCCAAAATGTAGTTGGTTAAAATGTTTAGTTAATTATTCATATAGATGCTGGAGAGAATTTTGAAGGTTTTTTACGCTAATATGTAAAACTTATATTCTAAACCAAAAAGTTCTAAGTGTATTTGAAGCAAGAAACAATAAAAATTGCAATCCTGCGCTGTAGAAGGATAAGTAATATATAGGATGCCCATGATGTCTTAAATTTTTGAAAATTGCAAATGGAATTTATCGATATCATATATTGTTTGGCCTCACAGATGAATTAAATGAAGTAAAAACAATCACTGATTATAAAACAACAAACCTGGTTAAGATATATGGAGTTCATAACAAAATTGAAATTGCAAAGGAACTTTATGGACATCCTGTATTATTGAAAAACATTCTGTAAAAATAACTTGATATATCCCAACTCGATTCAATGCTGATTTGTGTAAGTTTTTCCAAGTTTCAAACCAAAAAATTGATACATGTGTTCGAAGCAAGAAACATGATTCAAATTGTAACCCTGTAACTGTCAGAGGCTAAATAATACACTGTTGAAATATTTGATGCATGTGTTCGAAGCAAGAAACATGATTCAAATTGTAACCCTGTAACTGTCAAAGGCTAAATAATACACTGTTGAAATATTCTGTAAAAATAACTTGATATATCTCAAATTCTAGTCAATGTCGGAGAGAGTTCTTTTTGAATCTATTTTTTGAAGGTTTCTCCCAAGTTTCAAACCAAAAGTTTGCTACATGTGTTGGAAGCAAGAAACATGATCCAAATTGTAACCCTGTAGCTGTAAAAGACTAAATAATACGCTGTTGAAATATTCTATAAAAATAACTTTATATGTCTCAAATTCGAGTCAATCTTGGGAAGTGTTCTTTCTGAAGCTAATTTGTGAAGGTTTTTTTCAAATTTAAAACCAAAAAATTGCTATAGAAACATAATAAAATCTGTCAAAGTATTCTGTAATAAATATATCCTGAATCCAAGTCAGCACAACAAACAAAAACCACTGTTTTCAAGTGATTTAGATTTTTATCATTATGTTGGAAAAAAAAATATTTTTTCTATTTTATAAAAATCAAATATGTAATTAAATCAGTCGAATTATATATTGTTGAATCGGTCCTGTTGGATTTCATTCACAAATAATATTCAAACTGGGTATCAATAGTGTGCATATACCTCTGCTAATTATATTAAGCTATGCTTGCAATATCGCAACCAAAGTACTTTATTTATAGATATAACATTTACAATTTATTTTTGCGAAATCGGACCTGGCAAAAAGCATAGAAAAGATTGCACAATATTATATTAGCAAGGCCAATTTAAAACCAAATCCTGGCATTACCTGCTCGGCAATTAATTCCACTTGAATGTCTTTTCCCAAATTTTGCATAACAAGTATCGTACTACGATTGTTATATGTACAGCAGCTTGGTTGGCAAACTTTATATACTACTGGGCCAAATGTGCACATTGACGATAGTGTGTGGGGCACGTTAATTTACATCTATAAACAATTGCCACATTAAACCTCAAATTATGACGCGCCTGCGCTATTTCTGTGTTAAAATAAACGACATGTCTTTTTGTTCATACTAATTACTAAAGTCATTTTTTGCCAACCAAGGCTCCACCAAGTATATTTGTCAGTTCTGACCGATAAACTTAATTCAATAAATGACTTTGTTAAAATCATGTTCTTATAATAGTACTAAACTTATTTTGAGAAGATATATATTGTTTTCTAGTAGCGTTATATATTTAAGCAGGAATTTCTAATCAAGAACCATTTTCATAATACTTCATTGTCAGATTCATCTTATAGAATTAGATTCACTGATCAGCCATACTATACAGGGTGTCTATAAAGTCCTAAAATATTTTATATTTCGAAAAAGAATTTACCGATGACATATGTTGTTTTGGCCCTCACAGATGTATAACAAAGCTTGTTAAGATATATTGAGAACTGACCTAATAACAAAAGTGAAATTAGTAAGGACTTTATGGACACCCTGTACATTACAACACCATTTATTAAACTTCAGTTTCCCTTTCATCCCAATATCATTTATTAAACTTCAGTTTCCTGTCATCCCAATATCATTTATTAAACTTCAGTTTCCCTGTCATCCCATTATCATTTACTAAACTTCAGTTTCCCTGTCATCCCAATATCATTTATTAAACTTCAGTTTCCCTGTCATCCCAATATCATTTATTAAACTTCAGTTTCCCTTTCATCCCAATATCATTTATTAAACTTCAGTTTCCCTGTCATCCCATTATCATTTACTAAACTTCAGTTTCCCTGTCATCCCAATATCATTTATTAAACTTCAGTTTCCCTGTCATTCTTGGTGCCTGCTCATCTATAGCACAATTTATTTTTGATACAAATCTCGTCATCTTGTTGTATAAGGTACAGCCATTATAAACAAAGATCCACCGTTTGTGAATAATGTTTTTTAATTTCAGAATAGGTATAAGTCTTTTTATTTCTAGTACACCCTATCTATCTATATACCTGCACTTTTATGTCCGTAATCTCCATTAAATACATGAAGCGTAATTTTTCATTTTTTTCCAAATATACTTCAAATTCACATATATTTTAATTTTTTTTAAATCAATATAAATTTGGTATAAAATAAGACAATGCCAGAGATGTGGAATCAAAGTTAGATCCAGCCATTGAAGAATATGGCTCCGATATCACAAAAAAAAATGCAGATGTTTTGACTTCACAGTTCTGGAAAAACATCATTGTGATGCTTGTGTATAATTTATTAAAACAATTGGTACTCTCGTAGTAGTGAACCAAGATGGCGGACACCGGAATGTAGTATGTGTACCGGGTTTGGCCATAAATTCAGGTACAAATACTACTGGAGTCACTTGGCTAGTTCTTGTAAGAGAACTAAAAATTGGGAAAATTTCAATAAAATTATGGCCTTACCTGGTACACATACTACATTTCTGTTCCTATTTCCGCCATCTTGGTTCACCTAGGTACTACGAAAGTACCAAACAATCAATGTTTTTTACTTCTGTTAAAAACTGGTTGAAAATCATATTCAGATTGACAATTTCCTATTGTTTCGTAATTTGTTTCGTTTTATGCAGAATCTTGAAATTTATTTTTCAAATTGTATAAAATAAGTTTTATAGAAGAAAGTACGCATGAAATATCCATGCAGTAGGTTCTGCAGTTTTTAATCCAAGGTCTCCTGTTTCCAAATCTAAGACTTGGCAGATATTTTGCTATTTGCGATAATGCAACATTTAAAACATGTTATTGTCCATCTGCATTGGTATATGTTCCACTTTCTAGATATTTGACTAAAATTGTAGTTGTGAGTTGGAATCAAAATACGATGTCAAACCCGTAATTAATGTGTTTGAAATTCCAGGAGGTATAGGTTCACCCTCTATAATTGTAGGCAGCAGTGGTATTCGAAACTGTAAAAACAGTTTTTTTTTTGGATAGAGCTCACTGACAACAGGCTCCCTCATTTCAGATAATATATTTATGCCACTATTCAAGCTGCATTGACATACTTTACCCAAATCTAATACAAACTTTTGAAACGTCGAATATAACACTAGTCGTCGTCACTCGTCAGCTGCACATAATCCAAAAATTAGCTCCCCCTTCTCAACCTCCTGAAACCCACCACTTGGTGAAGGGCAAGGCTTTCCAAACGTTCAAGGTCGCGACCCCTTCCAATATATTAAAAATTTTCCCGACATCTGTTAAGTCAACATTATTGTGCAAGTGGGTAACTTCTCCGATTTATGTATTGCACTGGTTTTCATAATTAAAAAGCAAAATAGATGTAGTACTTGTGTAAAATTGATGTACTCTTAGCGACCCCCTGTGTAGGGTAATCACTGTATCCATGCAGGTTCTTTTATGTTGTATGGTTTTTGCATTCAGGACTCAATTTTTGTTTTGCCACATTGATAGAATGAGGCGGCTCTAATTTAAACATCCAGTGTATTGTTGCTTATGATCTTGAAACAATGTGTGCTTGCTTTTTTTGTTTATTTATTTTTAGAATAATTTGCACTAATTCGCTGTATAAATTTTTCGTGTATATGTAATTCTAATCAATAGCATTATATCAGAAATATTTTGTACTTATTTTAATCCTTGGGATCAGGATTTGTCCACATTTCCCTACCGACAGGAATTTTGCTTTTAAAGAAATACTTAGCAAATATTGCTTCAAGCTACAGTTACATCGGCTCAACTCTTTTCAAAATTTAAAAATCCACCTTATGAACTGTGGGAATTTAGCACACGTCTAAATCCACAATTCAACTTTGAAATTCCTTTTTATAATTGGACGAGAGATAAAGGTTGCGAACCCTTGGCTCTTTGGAGAATGCCACCAGCCTTGTAAAGTTGGGTGAATACACCGGATTCTCTCATATCATATTATGGGTGTAAAAAATTTATTACCCTTCTGCGAAAATTCTCTTTGATTTAAAGCGAGTAACCCCAAGTTGGAAAAAAATTTATCTAATTATTTTGGGAATCAATATTATTACCCCCCTGCGAAATGAGAAAATGTTACAAGTTATGGAAATCAAAAATTATTATTACCCCCCAAGTTGGTAGAGAATTTGACCAATTTAATTTTTTTTTCGTGCAATCAGAAGGGTGTTGTTTATTCATACAGTCAGTGATTGATAATCTAGCCATGTGTAGTAGCAAATATTCCAATTTGAGAACTTATGGTATGGTCGAATGAAATGACCTCTGAGCGGAAAAGTCTGATTAATAAGCGAAAAGTTTTTCAGAATTGTCTACTTAGAACAGGGGTGGGTTCTCCAGTCGGCGGGCCAGATGTGGGAAAATGAAGTTCTCAGCGGGCTGGTTTATAACATGAATAGAATTCAATATCTTAATCACATATGTATTCGCTAATACAAGAAAGAAAATTATAAATCGCGTTAAAAGTAAAGTTTAAACTACAAAAATAGAGACCAAAAAACACATAATGAATTTATCATAATGTACTAAAAGTGTAATAATGTAATATTAAAATATCATATTGTGCTGATGTACATTCAGCGGGCCGGTCAAAATCTCGTCTCGGGCCGTATGTTGCCCACCCCCAACCTGAATGATCTTGTGACATCGTTGGGTGCACAAGCTAGCTGTTAAGTGAAGAAGTCATAGGCAGAGGTAATATAATAAATTTGACTCCGGTACGGGCTTCACAACACAAAGGGATCGGAATTACCTGGTCGTACCAAAATCAAAAACTCGTTTTGCGGCCTGCACATTTTTTCTTTGAGGGCCGCAGGTCTAGATTCTGGAAACCCACATAAAGAATGCTCACCCCCCCGAAAAGAATGGAGGCAATTTAATTTTATAAATTCTAGTTTCTATTATAACACTACTAAAATTGAAACGCTATGAAACATTGTTTAGTAGAATCATGGAATAAATAAAAAAGCAGATAAAACGATGCTCCCGTTAGTATGTGCACCAACCAGGTCAGGGTTATCAGGTTGTGCGTCATCTTGGTGCACATACTACGGAAGCGCCGATAAAACATGGTAAAATAGGCAGTGTATGGAGAAACACAATCAGTACAGTAATGAATAATTCGTTGGGTGGATGATTGGCAGAATGAGCTGACGTTTAAATCACATCTTACCATACAGCTAAGACATGATTGTTCTATGTTTAATTAGAAACACTAATAAAAGGGAGTACACAACTATTTATGAATGAGAAAGGGTGTATGTAATGCAGTGGTTCTCAACCTTTATCCTGTTAAGTACCCAGAGTCATGAAACCATCAACGCGAACCCCCGATAATCAGACACCAAACAAAGTTGTAATATATTGACTAACAATTTGCCGCAACAACAATTTATTGATCAACTTCTATATTAAATCTTCGAATTGTCCTTGTGCTCTGCCCAATTAAGAAAATTATCAAAATCTCTCTCAAGTTTCAATTAGCATATCACTTTCTGCAACACTAGCAGCACATTTGTCTTTTGAGATTTCACACTTTGGCAACAAAGCAGTGGATTTCACATTTTTAGTCACAAAAACGCAAGATCAGGGAAAATCTACATTTTCAATCGGTGAACATTTTTCTCGGGCAGTAATGCATATTAAAAAATAGCAACATAGCTACCATCCAGATACCCCTGAAAATCTTCCTGTGAACCCCAGGTTGAGAACCCCTGATGCAATGAAGTGGGTAGGCGAAGTCGAAACGGGTAGTAGCACATTATACGATTCAAAAGTCCTGCCGCACACTAACACAAATGCATTCTTGTAACGTTTCATCTTCATTGTTGTAAACTGCTTGTCTAATTTTGGCCAGAGGAAACGTCACAGAAATACATTTGTGTTCTTGTGCGGCAGGACTCTTGAATAGGATGGTATTTTTATTCATGCTACAGCATCATTGCATTATATAAAGCGTCATATGAAAAAATAAGCATCCTGTATCCTGCGATCACATAAATCAACTGATAGAAAAAGGGCACACACTACTAGTACCAAACTACTGCAGTATGTGTTGAATTTCGAAATTGATGAACATTTTATGATTCTGGCAATGCATTAGCTTGACTACCCTTCACAGTGGAATCAGATTGACTCACATTTATGGATTTTGTTGCTTCGGACGTTGTATTGTCATCAGGCAGCTGCTTTAATATTGCCTTCTGCTAGTGTTTGTGGGTCAGTTACTTCGGACTCTTCAATATCAGTTTCTGTTGTATCTTCATCAGTGCTCCCAGTAACAGACACCTGTGACGTACAGTCATTATTTGAAGATGGCGGTCTAGAAAACAAATTGGCCAATGTATCAGAATCTTTTTCGATTTCCAGAGACGTAGAAGATGCTGCCAGAGATGCAACATCACAAGTATCAGTGTCGTTTAAATCCAATGCAGTATCTCCCAAATGTATAGTCGCCATTTCATTTAAATTTGCAAAATCTTGAGTGTTCTTTAGATTGTCCGGTTCTTGGTTAGAATTATTGTTCTTGTTGGACTCTGTATGTACAACTTTCTCCGAAGATTCCAGCATCGAAGAAGTCACCATCAGAGATGCAACATCACAAGTATCAGTGTCGTTTGAATCCAATGCAGTATCTTCCAAATGTACAGTCTCCATTCCATTCAAATTCGCAAAATCTTGAGTGTTCATTAGTTTGTCCGGTTCTTGGTTAGAATTATTGCTCTTGTTGGACTCTGTGGGTACAACTTTCGCCAAAGATGCCAGCGCCGAAGAAGTTACCATCTGGGATGCAACATCAGAAGCATTAGTGTCGTTTGAATCCAATGCAGTATCCCTCACACATGCACCCTGCATTTTACTCAACTTTCCAAAACTTTGAGTACTCGTTACATGGTCTGGTTCCTGGTTGGAGTTATTGTTACTATTGTGCTCTGTATCTTCAACCTCCAAAAATTCTCGCCTTTTCAACCCATTTTGAGTGTTAATTTCCATACCTTTCGCTAAATCTTCTCGGGGAAGCGTATCTGATGGCATTTCAGAAACTGTACTGCATTCGGATGCCTTTGGATGATCTTCAATAATTTCTCTCGACCCTTGCAGATTTCCACCACCTATGGGTGACTTCCTTGTACTGTCATCTTCTCCACTTGTGGATTTAAATATCACATCAAAGTGTTTTTTCACCACTTTATATGGGAGAATGCCGTGCTCTTGCTTGTATTGTTTCACTCCTATGCCATGTTTTCTTTTTAGGTGTTTATACAAGTTATCTTTGGACTCAACATGCTTTTCACATATGCGACATATATGCATCCCGAGTGTAACATCACAAGCTTCAGTGTCGTTTGAATCCAATGCAGTATCCCTCAAACGTGCAGCCTGCATTTCACTCGACTTTGCAAGATCATGTTTGCTAACTATATGGTCTGGTTTTTGATTAGAATTATTGTTGCTTTTGAGCTCTGTATCTTCAACCTCCAAAGATTTTCGCCTTTTTAACTCTATATGAGTGTCAATTTCCATACCTTCTATTTCTTTCTGGGGAAGAGTATCTGATGGCAATTCAGAAACTGTACTGCATTCGGATGCCTTTGGATGATCTTCAATAATTTCTCTCGACCCTTGCAGATTTCCACCACCTATGGGTGACTTCCTTGTACTGCCATCTCCTCCACTTGTGGGTTTAATTATCACATCAAAGTGTTTTTTCACCACTTTATATGGGAGAATGCCGTGCTCTTGCTTGTATTGTTTCACTCTTATGCCATGTTTTCTTTTTATATGTTTATACAAGTAATCTTTAGACTCAATATGCTTTTCACATATGCGACATATATACATCTTGAGTGCAACATCACGAGCATCAGTGTCGTTTGAATCCAATGCAGTATCCCTCACACGTGCAGCCTGCATTTCACTCGACTTTGCGAGATCATGTTTGCTAATGCTAGCTATATGGTCTGGTTCTTGATTAAAATTATTGTTGCTATTGAGCTCTTTATCTTCAACTTTCGCCAAAGATTCTCGCCTTTTTGACTCATTTTGGGTGTCAATTTCCATTTCTTCTTGGGAAAGAGTATTTGATGGCAATGCGGTAACTGTACTGCATTTTAATACCCTCGAATGATCTTCAATAATTTGCTGGGAAAGTTGTGGATTTTCTCCAGCTTTTGGTGACTTCTTTGTACCTTCATCTTCCCCACTAGTGGGTTTAATTATCACATTAAAATGTTTTTTCACTACTTTATATGGAAGAGTGCCGTGTTTTTGCTCATATTGTTTCACTCCTATGCCATGTTTTCTTTTTATATGTTTATACAAGTAACTTTTAGACTCGATATGTCTTTCACATATGCGACATACATATACCTTAGTGTTTGCTGATTTTACATTGACACAATTTAGCTCTCGTGGGTTAAGTTTTTTGGGTTCGCCATGTGAAATATCACCAGTTTTCCCTTTTCGAATAACCACTGGGTGCTTGGACATTTTATTCATTAAATGTTTCGCAGAATGCTTATTAAGAGAGGATTTACTTGAATACAACTTTTTGCATATTTTACACTGATATAGTCCACGAAAATCACTTTTTTCTTTAGCTTTCTGCTCATCTTTTATTGAAAATCTTCTTTTGTCAGAGTTTAGAGCTTTTTTCGTAATGTCAGAATGTTTTTCTTTAACATGCCTAAGCATATTTTTTTTTGCTGAAAATAGTTTTCCACATACATAGCAAAGGTAGTGCTCAAAAATCTTAGAGTGCTCCTTTTCGACGTGTTTTTTCAAACTTTCTTGGTGAACGTAAGATTCTCCACAACGCTTACATTGGTATTTTTTCTTGCCTTTAGGATCTAATTCCAAACTGTAGGGTTTCACGCTTTTTGTGTCATTAGGTTGATATTGGGGTTTATGAGTTCTCATATGAATATCAAAACTCAATGCAGATGAGAAATATTTTCCACATTCATTACAATATTTTATTGGCAAATCAGAGTGATGTTTCATCGTATGTTTGCTCAATTTAGATTTAGAATTAAACGATTTCTTACAAATAGAACATGAATGATTCTTTTCCAAATCCCCTTTTGGTTTCATTGCAGATGTTTCTTCAGCGTCTTTTTCAGAGACAAACTCTTTTTGATTGACAGCAGAATTATGAGTCTTCACGTGATTTGTCAGACTCGAACGTCGATTAAATTTTTTTCCACAAATTTTGCAGTCATGTATGGAATGTGTTGCAACGTGCACATTTAACTCAGACTTTAAGCTAAAAGTCACGTCACAAATATTGCATGAAAAAGATTCAATTCGACCAATGTGAGTAGTTTGTATGTGGAGACTCAAGTTGCTTTTCCTTAGGAAATGCTTTCCACATTGCTTACAGCTAAAATTAACTGGGACTCTATGTAAAGGTACTTCTGTGTCCACCATTGTTTGAATATTTTTATTGTCTTTTGTCGCAAACTTATTGAAATTACTAGAATATTTATGCATTCTTATATGGCTACCCAAACCGGATGAGTTTTTGAAAGTCTTGCCACATGTTGGACAGGCAACTGTTTTTTTCTGTTGCTTAATGGCCGTTGAATGAAATATTTTACCTCTTTGGTGCGATCGTAGATGACTTTGAAGACCTTGAGATGTGAGAAAATTCTTTTTACAAGTTTCACAGTTATACTTATGTTTGGTTTTTGTGTCGCTATGAGTACGTTCTCCGTCATTTGAATCATTGTTTTGATGGCTGCTAGGTGAAGAGTGATTGTCAAGTTTATGAGACCTAATATGGCTCGCCAAACTTTGCAAACTATCAAATAATTTGCTACAAATATCACAAGTAAAGTTGTTTTGTGGCATTTCAGTATAATGTAACATCATATGCTGTTCCAGGTTGGACTTTGAATGAAAAGCCTTTTTACACATATCACAGGAATATGTATTCACATGTTTGAATTTCATGTGACGTTTCAAACTCTTCGAATAAGAAAATGACTTTGCGCAGCTGCCACAGCGATAAACTTTTGATTTTACATCGCTTTTTGGTTGAACATGTGCATGTTCCTTATGCACCAGGACTCTTTTCTTAGGCGCACTAATCTGCGGGGAAACATGTTTCTTTGAAATAGCAGCCCCACATTTTACATGCCATCTTGAATGATTTGAAAGACCTATCCCCGAATTGAAACCTTTTCCGCATACCTTACACATGTAATTCCATTTACTTTCCGCCATTTCTTTGCCATGAAGTTCTTTCATGTGTTTTAACAAACTTCGTGAAAATCTAAATAATTCTCCGCAGGCAATACACTTGAAATTATCCATTGGAGGCTTAACAGTATGATCCATCATATGTTCGTCCAGCTTTGATTCTAGATGAAACGACACATCACATATGCCACAAACAAAATTATTCTTCTGACGGTCTGTGTGATAATAACATATGTGACGATTCACATGATATCTTCTAAAAAATCTGCGACCACAAAACTCACAATTGAGCTTTTGTGATTTTTTGTTTATCGATGATTTAGTCAAAATACTTTGATATTTATGTGATTGTACATGGTATGTGAATTTCCGTTTACTGTTGAAATGTCTCCCACAGGTTTCGCAATCATAATTTCCCAAGTGACTCCTCAATAAACTGATTTGCATCTTTGTCAACTGAACGTTTTTCGAAGAAGCACTCACATCTTTATGAAAGTTCTTTATATGATTACCCAAATTTCTTCTCCACATGATAAATTTATCACACAGCGGACATTTCACACCTTTATCAGACATAATCTTATTGTTATGAGCAATTGCTATATGTCGGGATAAGCCTAATTGTGTTGAATATGATCTGTTACAAAACTGGCATCTATACACTTCATTTGCAGTTTCTGATTCATCGTCATGATTGAGCATGTTATGACGTTCTAAATCGCTTTCAAGTGTGAAGCTTTTTCCGCATATATTGCATTGGAAACTTTCATTCAAATCGTGAGTCAGCATATGAGTATCGAGCTCAGCTTCTGATCGACAAAATTCATCGCAAATGTCACAAAAGTATTCATCATTGTCTGAAATATGCATCAATGAATGTTTTTTTAGTCCTTTCTCAGTTTTGCATTCATCGCCGCAGATATCACATCGATAGTGTGGGTCATCGGGGCCATGGATGAGCATATGTCTGTCCAGATCAAAGTAAACATCATACAGTTTCCCACACCATTCACATTTATACGATTCTTGATCTGCTTCCATTTTCATATTTTAATGGCCTATGCAAATATTTTGCTGCAGAGAGAAAACAACTTGTTGTTCAAAATATTACGGTAATATATAAATACAAAAATATTCATAAGATTTTTTCATGGATATTTATTCACCACAGGTACCGATACTGACATTATCCTGTCAGCGACATACCCGGTACGGTTAACACAATACTGAAATAACATGGGCTCCAGTCAGTGATTTCCCTACACCCCCCCTAATTTTGAGGTGCGATTCCACGCTGTTATTCCGTAATTCTTAACTCAATTATAATTGTATTCAAATATAACGACTATGGCATATTTATCAGTGTAGATGAGGGGGGCCAATTACGGCCCGCGTAACAATTTAAAATGGCCCGCCGAACTTGAGTGAAATAGTTGAACCGTAAATATATACTATTGGTTTAACACTTCATGTGGTACCTTTTGAGTTTTAGATACCGTCTATCCTAACATCATTATCACAGTTTAAGCGTGTTTATTTCGTAACAATTGAATTATACCGGTATATCTTGGGTATTAGGATTACACACCGCAGTATTTTAGATATCAGCCGTATATTAAGAAAACTAGTCACTGGAAACAGACATTTTCAGATGAATGGCAGCGTTTTTATTTCTTTATTGAAAAGAACCAAACTTCAGCGATTTGTCTTTCTTGCCAACAAAATATTTCAGTTCTGAAGGAATACAACTTTATGCGCCATTGTGATCAGTTGACGCGCGTATTTCAAAATTTAATTCATTGCCTAATTCATACAAAAGTCAAACAAACATGTCCAAAAAAATGGTAATGTGTAACAAAACAAGCCATAAGTAGCCATTCATACGATGCCATGTGCTAGATGAACAAGTAACTTCATTAATCACTATCAGTTGTAAATTACTTGCTTGAAAGCCGTGCTTGTTATTTATTTCTCGGGAATTCTATCAGCCAAATATTATAATTACTAATTTCATTACATAATAAACTGCAATGCTATGTCTGTATGTCTAGAGTAGAGCCTATTTTGGTGTCTATTTCTCAAAATTTTCACAGGGCGCCCTGAACCCCAGCCGTGTCGTCGCTCTCTTTTTCTGGCTCTACAATTTTATTCTGCTGTGTACTTTGGCTCGCCGTCAATCAACTTGGGGGACCCCTCATGTACATCGTTTCTTAAATACATACAAATTTTTTAAGAATACAAATAGTTTCATCGCTAATAGCAAATTATTTACCACCCCCTAAATTTCGAAACACCCCCCCTAAAATTACGTCACTACGACATCCCAATTACGTCATAGAGCTCGCCAAATATACGTACGATCGCCCAAAATGACGTTGGCACCTACAATAACGAACTGACTGGCGTTATCGATCTGTCTCCTATTGGAATCGTTGCGTCGAGAAAACGAGAGAAATAATTGTTCGATTTCGGGAGCTCCACTCGCGCGTCTTGGATGGCAGTTTGTATAGTTTGAAGGGTTTGTATTACGTCACTGTGACGTCGTAATGACGTAATTTTTTGGATGGTGTAGTCAGGTGGGGGTTAGGATTGATAAGTCAAAAAAACTGTCATGCTACGCCCACTAGAAGTAGGTTAGGTACGAAACTACATAAGACCCTAAATCTGCATGCACCAGTACCGGTAATTTTAAACAACCTCCAAGTTGGAACTGTGAAAGTAAAACATTGCCATACCCTAAGCCTAGATTCTAGAAAATCGTGAGAAAGCTCGGCCTGGTATCGTACGCCTGACTACTTCTACTGTCGGCTATGTACAATAATGTTCTATTATATTTGTGCGCGTATATTTTATGTTTAGAAACTTTTTGCTCCCTCGTACGACCCTTAAAATTCGTCGCTCGACCTCTCGCCCCCGGTTTGGGAAACCCTGATTTAAATATCTTAGTATTCAAACTGAATCACGCTTAAAACAATATTGATATACAATCTCACTCCCATCAGTACATATTAGCAACCTATATAACCCCATTTTTCTTACTAGCAGTTTTTGAAACTGAAGTTTCATTTTTGATTCAAATTTAGAACTTAAAAAACAATTCCTTCATTTAGGAATGGTGCAGAGATTCTCGCACAATATTGCTATTTACTGTAAAATTTCAAATAAATTGGAGCAGATTTTGTAGAAAAATGTAATTTAACAGTAAAAAAAAGTACAACAGAGGACGATCTATTGCTACTAAACGGATTGTTTGTCCAGCCTACAATTGAAATGTCCAATAATGGTAGATATGACTAAATAAATTGGCATACATATATTTGGGACGATTTTATAAAACTGAACCTGAGTAAAATATTTTCCTGCAGTCAGTTTATACTGCAACACGAAATACCTAATTCTAATAAAAAAAAATATTGAAAATGAAAGGTGGGTTTCAAGGTAGATGAACCACTAAATACATATTTGCCATCTCATATGCAAAAATACTGTACCTTGTTTTTACTCAAGAAAATAAGATTCTTCATATTTTTGAGCTCCCCAGTATTGAAAGTGTTTTATTAAATTTAACTGTTTAATTTAAATTTAACACAATATTATTTTAATTTGTATTTCATCTTGTGAAATATGTATGTGAAAAAGTTCGCGGCCCGTCGGGTCTTCAGATTTATGCTTGCGGCCCTCGTGATAATTTGAGTTGTGCAGGCCTGATGTAAAGGTATCAATGCTCTGAGTATTGCGTTAACATCCGAATGTGTATTATAAAGACTCCGATCACTCACTACACGTGCGAGGGAGAATTGCTTTTTCACAATAGTCAACTTAATATAGTTCGCTCACGCTTTTTTCGTTTTTATTTATTTATGTTACAGTTCTCTTGTACGCTCGATTGATGCGTCATGATATTCTCTCAACGCGATATTGTGGCGCTGTAGTCCTCAGCTATCTGGTTGTAGGGATGTCTAATGGGCATGTAGGTAGGCTATCGGACCGATATGATATCGTTATATATTGCTTGAATGTCTTGTGCCTTTGACAGAAATCGATTGCTTCTGCGAGCAAAACTCATAAAATAACATCTTGAAACAAATTCATTTATGTTACCAAATTTTAATTTATAGTTATCATCGTTAGCATATCACGTGTGGCAACTTTTTTCTATTTATTGTCGACTAAAATACCGCCCGACACTCAACCAGGCGTGTGTCGCGCTTGGGCGATAAGAACTGATTTATCGGCGACTCGAAATCCAAGACATAATGTATTTTATTGGTAGCGCAAAATGAATGTAACAAAACGCATTGTTTTGCGTTAAACTTTGTATTTTCGGAAACCGAGTATCGTGATAAGTAAAATTTGATCTAAATTAATCGTAAATAATGTTTTATCATCTAACGTAGGGTACTCATCATTTTCCGGGAGTACTTAAAAAGTCATTTAATTTAAAATAAAGAATGATTCAGCGTTCCAAAAAATTAAGATTGTTGCAATCGGAAAATCGCCTGTAAGATGTCAGTCGGCTCCAATAATGATAAATAGAATGATGCAATAACGCCGTCTTCGCGTTCTGAATATTCAAGCTGAGATTAAGATGTTTGATGTCTGTCGCAAACGCTTTTGTGGGCTATTTGTAAGAAACACAAGTGTAATAACACAAGATAGATTTTGTCGCAAGAGAAAAACGCCCGTCCTTGATTAATAAATTAGAAATCCAAAATTGACGCACGGCATCGAAAAGTCGGAAACTGAGTCCCAAGGATTCGAATCCTCCGGATTCGGTATTCTATATCGTCCATCCCAAAAATGACTATTTATACTACTACACTACTACAAATGACTATTTATAGTCATTTTGTCCATCCCTAATTGGGAATATCTGAATCCTTACTCTTGTGCTATAATCCTGTTATAGTCCTGAGTAATTGATTTTATGTCTCGTTTTTTTCACTTCCAACCCTATCATGTCTCGATGATTGTATGTTTGTGTGTGTGTGCGTGCGTTTTAACTACTTTTAATATTTTCGGGTGAGCGAACACGTACTACTTCTTTTATCAATAGCTCCCCACCTAAAATATGTATTTTTTAAACCTTGCTTGAGGTTTCGTCTGCTTTTCCGACCCTATAATCAGTTTTATTTATTTTGTTTTTAGCAATTGCTTTATCGTCTATTGATGATTATGGAGTCGAAAAAAACTTATAATGGACCTTTCCCCGACCTTTGGCCCCCGAAATATTCTTCCTATACTTTACCATTGCAAAATTTTCGGGCCTATTTTAAGAGAGCTTTTGCAAGTTGGCGCCTGATTAAGTATGTGTTTCAAACCGTCATTATGATTCATCGCATACAACAATCTGTTTTTTAAAAGTACCGGTAAAGAATTTTAGCCTAGTCTATCACAGCTATTTCTAAACTATTTTTTTTTTATTACTGCAATTAAATTAAAACTCCTAGGAAGACAGAGTGGTCATTGAAATATCTGATTTATATTTAAGTTTCCAAAACACAACAGAAAACTAACGAATATAGTTCAAAAACGCGAAAACGAGGTAATGTTTACGACCACGCTTGAAAATCTGTCTGAGTGAGAAGTGTCTGAGCGGGAGCGGAAAGGGAGCATTGTTACGTTGCTTTTTGCATCTTGCTGATTGGCCAATTTCACGAAGTAAACAAGAAAGTCGATGCTCATAGAAAGGTCCATTACTATCCAATGAATGCAATCACAGAACAGCCGAATTACTCTGCCCATACTCCACTTCGATAACTTATGGTACTGACGCAGAGATGACTGGCAGATAGCATGATCACCTACTTTATTCTAATGCCTCAGTATATCTTTTTAGTTATTTCAACCAACAAAACCATTCCAAATACGCAAATAAATTCAAACGGAAATCTTCTTCCGTAAGCTTCAAAATATAGCAAACTGATGACGTAGTAACGCATCACTCATGCGTAGCGAATCGGCCGTGGGCGAACTATATTCAGTAAACTATGTTTTCACTGTCTTTTCCGGCTCTCTGTCTGAAAGTCCTCTGCTCTTCCGTTTTATCTTCTGCCTACCGTATGCTTTTTCAAGTGTCGAATTGCTATTTTCAATAAATAACCAATGTGGAACTTTTGGTTTTCTAATGTAAAAATAACAGTAGCAACAACTGAACTGTGACAATGGCGAACACGCCAGGATCAGTCTACGGCAGACGAAGGGGCGAAAGTTTTGACCCAAAAACCGAACAGAACGGTGAAGTCAAAGTGAGGTGCCATAATTAACCAAGCATGGTTTCAACAGGAAGTAGCAATCAAATATTAATTACCAAATTATCCCGGAAAATGGAAACATACGTCTAACCACTGTTTCTCGCCCGGTTACCAGTCAAATCATGTGCATGTTTTTCAATCGTAAGACATCAATTGTACATAAATTACGATAAAATGAGATGTCGTACCGCGGCCTTTCGTCAGGGTAACAATCCAAAGTCTTGCTACAGGCCTACCGCAAATCGATGATTGTTCAATACAATTATTTCATACGACACAGTTTTTTATTAAATGTGAGTAACAAAATTCATATGAATAGATAAAAATATAAAAAAATTAGGCTTAAAAAACAATATAAATTGTTATATATATTTGATAAAATTTTTGTGTTTGATCAGAAAAGAAATACATTCATAAGCTTCCGCAACGCAGCTCGATAAATATTTATTCTAAACATTCTCACGCTTCGGGGAGTGTCTGTAAAGGTTCTAGGAAAATTCGCCGCAGAAAATTTCGCCGTATGAAAAATCGCCTTATTTCCAAAAGAAAATACTTGTTTTACAGCAAAATGCTCTTGCGACTTTACCTATGCGGCGAATTTTCCGGACACGGTCTGGAGTATTGCGGGGTGTCCATGCTCTATAGAGGGGCGTAGAAAATAGAAGAAGCGAAATGAAACGAATTTTCCAACTAAATTACATTTAGCACATGACTTAAAAGTATTTGTATTGAAACCAATAATTGACTTCGTTAATCACTTGGCTCTAAATTTTGTCACGTCGTTGAAGAATTTGTGCGGAATAATTTTTTTGAAAATTGGATTTCGATGTTTATTCTCCATGGTGATATCTCTCACACGGATCACCACAAATATATTTGCTAATTTCAGCTGCAAATCCCGGAGTTAGATTTTCAAAACCATCGTTTGCGAGAAGAAGTCTAGATTCGTCTCCAGCTATTTCTTGAAGCTGCTCCATGTTAAGTTTTCCAGTCGTTGGCGTGATTCCGAGAGCAAATGTCTGAAACGGGACAACAGATTAGAGATTTACTTTTTTTCCGGGGGAAAGTAAATTTGATTAGATGGGCTAATCATATGGGGAACCACGCCTCTCGTCCAGTTACTGGTCCGTGTTGGACATGGGATTCGTTAGCCAATTATTTGTTTCAGATTCGTGGGTTAATAGTGGGGGAAGTTGTAACCGACCAGCGGTTATATTTAAACGATCAAACGGCACCCCAGTACGAAGGAAGAGAGTGCAAAACACTATGCTTTGTTTTTGTTCAACTGTTTAAACTTTATAGCTTTGCATAAAATTCGTAATTTTGGCAAAGCATTTGAATACTGAGATATTTTACTTTCATGAGATTCTTGAAATTGTCAAGTGCGAACAAGGTTTTGAACCACCAATGAAGTGGTTTTCATGTTTTATTATTTGCCAATTGGTTGATATCACTTGCGATCTGATAACTCTAACCAGTGGTGAGATTCAAATTTTTAAGAACAGGTTGTCTCTTGTATCAAACTCAATAACAATGGGTTCTATATTTCCAAAAACATTACCGAATTTATAGCGCTTTAACTATTCGTCATATTTACTAATGTATGTCATAACCTTAACTACAGTACTTTCGGTGTTATGGAGCCCGTGGAGAGGTTGGCTATTATTTATGGAGCCACACAATGAATTTACGAAAATAAAAACATTTTCATCCACCGATTAATGTTCCGGAGTAAATCAAAATTACTTGGGACTTATTGATAATTGTTGCCGCTGTTCGATGCTACTGTTGTAAAAACCGTTATTGTTTCCATGGACGATTACAAAATTAGCCAAGTCATTATTTTAATAAGTAAACGAATAAATCGCGTAGCCTCTAGGTTTCTCTCACGGATTCCTGGCGCTCCATATGGAGCACTTTGAGAACCTATGAGCTATATTAACATGACACGCTTTGCATAAATCTAATAAATAACTGTCGAAACGCCAAATATAACTCTAGTCATCATCCCAATAACGGCTTCGCTGATTTTCACGACAGTCAAAAACTAACTAATTTATGTATCACAAAATAACAACAATAACAGAACTCGGATTAAACCAATTTAGCGCCAATATATATTTTTTTTACTTTTAATTCATAAGGATAAAAATTCGAGGCGCATTCGTGATGGATGCATTTTTCAGCAGAATATAGAGCAATAGCTAGCTTCATATTTTCATAAAGATGAACGGGTTTTAATGTAAAGAGAAAAGTAAAATCAGTTTTGCAGCTAGCATTGTGCCTCCCACCCACATTAACTGCTCTGTGGCTCAGGGGTCATGCAACCCCTTTTTCAATTTGAAAATACTTCTCTCTCCAATCACATTGAAACGCTAGATTATATTTCGAACCCACTAAATCCCACCACTTTCACTAACTATGTCAATTATAATCTCTTACCAATACACCAGCTTTTCTTAGTGCTCTTGCTGGTCTTTTCACATCATCTTGTGCTCTTCCATCGGTGACCACAAGAACAACGTCGGGTATTTTCTTTCTGTTTCCATTCCGCTGATGCAACATACTCTTCAGTGCATATGTCATGGCTTGTCCTGTCCATGTTCCTAGAAAATTGTAAACATTTTATATAATAGTCCGTTTGCTATGAAAAAGTCCTTGTTTAATAAGCTTTGATAAAAACCAAAATCTTTTCAGTCCGAAATTGCTTATATCTAATTTATTACATACTTTGTGCGGTGGTGAGCATGGGAACTCAAATTTACACCGTGTAGAAAAACATATAAACGTATTTATTAAAGTAAGTTCATGCTGATGCGAGGGCTAATCAGAGCGAAAGTGTTTTAGTCTAGATTAAAATTAGCTATAATATATTTCTCACTGATTATTCTGGTTGATAATACAGACAAATGGCTCTCGCTACAATCAATTATACCGGTAATTACATAGGACTGTGATGAGATTCCGGGTGTTAGCGAGAACTAATTCTTGGAGTGCCGTAATAATCGGCGAATCCGTTCGCGTTTTTGTTTGGTTTTAGACGTGGGAAATGGGTAACGAGTACTGCAGCTGACGAAGGGATAGGATAGGATTTAAATATTTATCCCTGGGGAGAGGAAAACTGATAAGACGGCTTAATTACAAGCCAACTAGCTTCTTGTCCGTTTAGCCAGTTATTTGTTTTTGGAAGCATTGACTTGATGGTGAAGGAAGCCGTAACCGACCAGCGTTTACGTGAACAACCACGAAGAGTGTCATCTTCGGCGTTTCAAACGTAGCTCAAGCAGTGACATACATTTGTAAATATAACGTATATAGTTACAGACTGTATAGACTCTATAGAGCTATTAGTTTGGCATGCTTTTCTATAAAGATGGAACCGCCGCCATGGAACAAGTTGTTATGGAGTTCTTTACAAAAGAGGTTACTTCCGTAGTATGTTCCCAATTTAGAGTTAGCCCATAATTTTATTCAAATTTCCTCATATTAGTTCTATTACAAGTTCGGGGACAAGCCAAGTGACTCCCGTAGTATTTATACATGAAATTATGCACACATACTACGTTTCAGTGTCCGCCATCTTGGTTTGGCATACTACAGGAGTACCTAAAAGAGAACTCATTTTCAAACTTTTGAACGCCAATACTGGATAATCTTTAAACATTTTCACTAGTTACTCTTAAAGCACATACCTGCCCCGTTATACGGTATTTTCTTCACCCTTTCCATCAATTCTGTAACATTATCCGGACAATCGTTCAATTTGATTTGTGTTTTGCTGTCGATGTATCGATTGTAACGGAATAGCCCAATATTCATTGCATCCTTCTTTACGGCGAATAACCTGATTTTGTTGAAATCCTCAGTTATATGCTTGTATTTTGAACAATATGAGTAACTTTGGGGCGATTCAATATAATATCCGAGGGCAAATAACATGATAAATTAAGCTCTCAAGGGCAAATAGTCTAGAGATAGATATGTTTTCTTGTACATGTCGTTTATTAGGTATTCTAACCGGGTTATTGCATAGTATTTAAGGCTGAATAAATAGATTAGAATTTTCAAACATTTTTCAAATATTCAGCTTTGGATTGATATTTCAGATTGTATATATATTTTTGTTTAATTTAGTTTATTTAAAAAAAGTACTCACTCAAAAATGTTGTTGATAAAATTGAGCATGATTTTCCAACTTCGTGCCCCTATTGACGATGAAGAGTCAAGCACAACAATAAGGTCCATGATGGCGTAAGGTGGACAAGGACCTGTAAAAAATAGAACAAAGTTTCTGATGACGAGATATGATTATGTCGATATGATATTGTGACTGTAAATTTATCTGTTTTGCTACACTGAGTTGTACACATACCGTAGCATGCGTGAACACACCACATGAACGAACACCTGTATGTGTGTGTGTGTATTTGTGTTTGTGTATACATGTGTGTGTAGTATGGAAGTATATGGCACAAAATTTTAAATTGCGGATGGTAGGATAAGCTCAGTCTCACAATGATGGAAGTATTACGATAAGTGTGATGGGTGGCATTTCTAAGCGTGTAATGAACGCTAGTAATAAACTGTAACGTTTTATTTAATCAAAGTGTTAAATTTAACTCAAGAATTTTCAATTAACTTGCATCTCATGCAAAAGAGAGTAAGGCTATAGGACAATTTTGATTCATCGAGCGATTTCAAACACTGACATGGCAAGTTTACCAAAAGGATTCAGAATCGAAGAATGACCACCATTCTAATTCACCATTATTTTGCGTAAATATTTTTTTTTTTAATATTTCAATAACAATAAATTGGACAACGGTGAAAGCGTTATCGATGACACAATCGGTCAACTCGTAAACTCAAAATAACTCACGTGAACAACACGGCGCCCTGTCCGACCAAGTCGAGTCATTTCTGCATTGAATAGTTTCGCTCATACCAGATGAGAAACTGTAATCTTCCTCTGTACATTTGAAGCTGCATTGTGAGTTAACATTGGATTCATCTGAGCAGTTAACTTCTCCAAACCTGATGTCTTTCATTTTGGGACAGGTGATTACTGAAATATAAAACGTGTTTTGTATGATTTTTTCTAAGACGCTTATTTACTCCTTTCACTCCGATTGAGACCTTGCACTAGCGGCCACGGATATGTAATAAGCTACTATTGTTTTAAAGCAGAATCTGGATCTTTCGCACAAAGCCCTCGCAAAAAACACTACTGTCAATGTGGGATTAGAAAAAAAAACCTGCCACGTATCAAAATGGGAAAATTAGTAATGTTCCATTTAGAGTTAGAAATGATTTGTCAATATATATTTCCTAATCCTAACTAGATATATACCAGTTTTCTTATTTTGCAACGTGGCAAGGTTGTTTTTCTCAAATACCACACTTTTGCATTATTGGCAGGGGCTTTGTTTAAAGGTCCCAAAGTCTTCCAGATGCGGCATTGCCGATCAAATTTACACTAGGTGAGGCGGGCATAAGCTTCGAACCCAGAAGACACTTTTTATGAAATATGGGAATACTCTATTCCCCACGCTTGTCTGCCTTTGTAACACTTTTAAGCAAACTTAGTGCTCAGCTATACCTATTCAGAGATATGTAATCTGCGATACTGTTAAGTTTAACCGCTGGATTACTGCACCATCGGCTTTTTGTATTGTACTAAAACGACTTGAAACTTTTTATTTAAAACAATACACTTTTAAAAATTTAACAGATTATGCTTCGTTTAATATAATATCAAAAAACTTACGTTCACAAACTGGTGGTATTTCGTCGTTCCATCCCATATTTCCTTCATCGTCTTCTTTGCATACCGTATGCAAAGGACCAATTCTTTTATGGAAATCCCCGCATACATATTCACATTTTGAATTTACATAATTCCCATCGGTGCATACAGTGTAACCGTTGGTTGGTTCAACTGCAACTTTGCATTGCTTACCTAAATGAAATAAAACGATTAAAGAAAAATGGGTTTCTAAATACATGTGAGGCATGTGAACCAGAAGTGGAAAAATAGGCAGCCCAGAATTCCCAGTTATTACGAAAACTTCGTGTGAATCGATCAACTTGAAGAATATTTGGATGGAAAGTTGGCAAACACGAATCCGGTATGTCTAATTTGAAAATTGTACCAATGTATATAAACACAACTTTTAGTTAGTTTATATAACAGGTGGTGCAGTCACATTCTTACCCGCCTTGCAGGCGCTGTTTGCGTATTAACACGGCCTGCCGAATTAAATCTGATCAATTAGCTCAATTAAGTTAAGGGTACTCATGTAGTACGTGAAACAAGATGGCGGACACCGAAACATAGTATGTGTACCAGGTTGGAGTTAGGCCATAATTTCAGGTACAAATACTACGGAAGTCACTCCGCTAATCCAGGAACTCGTAATAGAACTAAAATAAGAAAAATTAGAATAAAATTATGTCTTAACCATAACCTGGTTTCGATGTAACTTCGCGTAACTTCAGATAGTTAATCCATCGATGTAGAAGTAATAATTTGAAAAAAAAAAAAAAGTTTCAGCACGATAATTTCCAACAAAGTTTATTTTGTTTTATTTACATTATATCGCGCATGTGGCGATAAAATCGTCACAAAAGATACCATAGGGCAGAGGTGTGCAACCTGTGGCCCGCGGGCCAAATGCAGCCCACAAAGAAAATTGTGCGTTTCGCGGAGAAGTGCTAATTTTGAATGGTGTGCGGCACGAAAAACGAGTTTTTAGTTTAATCGGGTACGTGCAAGTAATTCTAAGCCTTTTGCGTTGTAAAGTGCTTATGTCTGAGTTCAATTTATTATCTAAGCATGGAGCGTTACAATGTCTTTTTTTCTGCTTATACCTACTAGAAAGCCTATGTTAAATAGATGTGCTGCCCGTGGTTTCAAGTAGTTCTATCTGGCCCTCCTGTATTGAAGGTTGCACACACTTGACATAACGTGTTCTCATTAACATTTTTGGAGCAAACTCTCAGAAAATAAAACTTACGTTGGCACGTGGGTATGCCATAATCCCATGTTGGATTCTCATTCATCGAATGATAATATGTTGCATCGTATTCTCCACATCTTACGTAAGCTGCACCGTCAAGGTTGTGATCCGAATCGCAATCAAACGAGCATACCGATCCCAATAATTTTCCATACGAGCATGACATGCTGGCATGTGCAGGAACAAGAGGTAACTCACTGCATTCAATCACTATAATATATATATATAATTACAATATCATTTGAATTCTAACAAGACGAAACTCGGGATTTGTGAGAGCAACCTTTTTGCATTGGCTGAAAAAAATTTCGGCCGGTGTCATTCGATATAACAATTATAGTTCTCATTTATCATACAATCGAATTTCTTTAAACTTCAATACTATAAAATGGGGAGAAATATGTTGGACACCCTGTCTGTAATGGTTCAAATATAACAGTTGTTGGATTGATAGGTAAGAAAAAAAAATTTATCCTATGGAGAGATTTTATTGTATCCGAGGCGAGAACATAGAAATGTTGCATTGTATCCGATGAAGTTTTACTATATTGTTACGTTATTCAGCATTATTGTAATCATTTCCGGTCAAAAATATACTGGGATCAAAGTGTAGTCCATTGTGTCATGTGAGAGAAGGATAATGATATCATTTTGAATATATCATCAAAGAACACATTGCAGTAAAAAATATTAAACAATAATCATCGGGGGCGGGTAAAACTACAAGATCGACCGGTCCTAAAATAATTCCTACCACGATAAGGCACTCTGGCACAGACAAACATTATTCACAATATTAAAACGCTTATTTTAAGTCAGGAGAGAAAAAACAGTCGTCTATTGTGTCCTATGAATACTACACGCAAGCCACAAGCCTCTAATACCGATATGACTTAACGAAAACTTCATGATAGTAGTTTCCATCTTTTTTAGTGGAACAGGACTCCAATGAAACATTCCAAAGGCTGTTGTAACCCCCTGTACAATAGTTTAATTGCTTTCTTCGCGTTTTATAACAAATCCATTCATATTTGTAAGGCTTCGAGAAGAATTGTATAAATTAAAACTGTATAGAGAGACAAGTCTAATACTGTAAAAAATGACCATTAGGTAGTTAGTTTCATAACAGTGGCAAACCTAGGTATTTTATTATATTTAAATATTCTTTAGGATTTGAATGTAAAGCTGCAGAAGTGCTGGACTACACTTGTGGAACCCTTGGGCGCCGCGAAATCCTACGTGAAGACTACTGCTCTAGTCCATAATATACTTACAAACGCATTCAGGCGGTCCATTATCCCACATCATAGTGCTCAATGCCTCGTCTTCTCTACAAGTAATCTCTTTGTCACCGATCAGATCATACGAGTCCTCGCAAATAAATTTGCATGTTGAACTCAGGTACTTTCCATCATTACACTCCATGGCGCCATTGGACGGAGCCTGTGGCATAGCAGTGCATTCTTTTCCTGTTAGAAAAAATAATAATGTTTAGGAATTGATTGCAAATGTAGTACGCTATCACTTATGAACTCAACTAATATTGAATCTATGAGCAGTACATCCAATAATTAAATAATATGAAAAAACAATTCTCACTTTTGCATGTTGGTGGGTTTCCGTCCCACTCAGCTTCATAGCCTTTCATTTCTCTACAAGCAACCACTGCATTTCCATCGTTATAATAAGCAGAGTCGCATGAGAACCGACATTCTGAATCTAAATTATCCTCATCGCTGCAAAACATCTTCCCATTCAAAGGTGCTTCCTGCTTTGACGGGCATTTGGTTCCTGTATATTTGAAGGAGTTATTTCTGCTGAATATAGGCTTTTAACTGAAAGTTTATTTGGACGTGAAATGGATTTATGGATCGTTTTGATACACTGTTATTGTCGTTTATTCTGCATTTAATAGACTCATAATTTTCAGCGCTGAAAAATCCTATGTTGCAATGAGCTTTGCACTTTCAATAAATAAGTTGTAAATCGGATTTTATTTGAATATTTTGTATCATTACTGATATTCAAACATTATGAGCGTCATTACATAGAACTTTAAAAATGTGTCGTTATTGGTGCCGACTCTTTCGTTCTCGCGTGTAAATTTTTGAATAGCTGATATCTAAAAAGCTTAGAATGTTAATAAAAAAAACAGCGAAGGTTGCTAAGAGCATTACTTGGAGGAAATTACTTTAAATGATTTTCTCTTCTATTGAGTAGTGTTCAATTCCTGATTCTATTTAACTTACGTTTGCAAACAGGTTCAATGTTGCTCCATTTTAATTCGTTGTTGCTCATTTCACAGACGGTCATCGGTTCACCAAAGAGTCCATATCCGTAATCACAATGAAATTTACATTCTGAATCAAGCTCTATTCCTTCGTTACATATCATATACCCTTTATCAGGTGTTTGGGGATATGATTGACATTCTTTCTCTGTTTCACCGAAAAATAGGGAAATGTTTAGGTTTTTTGCGGCATTTCTGGTGGGCTAACACATCGTGATTCAAAAATTCCGCTTATTAAATTAACATTGAATATGTGTTTTGCTACAATATGGTATACTGAAAATTACTCGATTCGACACTTGGGTAGAATTTTTGATTAGCATGCTCAAAACATCTTTTTGGTATTGAAAACTTCGCACGTTATCTGTTTCGTACTATTTTCAGCATATAACGACTAGATAAATTCGAGTCAATGATATTTCGATGCTTACCACATTCCTCAAATGCGCGATATCGATTAAAATTTGGCGGAAGGATTATGTTTCTTATAAATGAAGGATACCAATACAGTATATATACTTATCGTGAGCACCTAAGTCAATGAATTGCTTAGATCGGTTTTTATTCCCGCATGAGTATAGGCAATAATACCTAAAGCACCGTATATTGGCTGCACCGATCGATTTTTGAGATTAAAATGATACGCCTTAAGGTGTGTAAAATACGGATGAATAGGAATAAGATAGAAATTTATTTCGTAACATACTTCTGCATTGTGGTGTTCCATTATCCCACAGCGGATTTCCGTATTTCATTCTTGGTTCTTTACATTTTGATATGTTGCTTCCAACCAGCGTGAAATTGGAATCGCATGAAAAATCGCACACTGTCCCGATGTAATGCCCATTTGTGCAGTTTTTGAAACCATTCCTTGGGCTTTCCAGATTCATGCATTGCTTTTCTACAAAATTTGAGGTTGTCATATCTAAATTATCTTAAATTCGCTAACCAACAAAAATATTTTTGCATTCTGTTATGATAATTAAGTTCAGTTATTCCTGCTGCAGTGTGCTACATAATCCTTTGTTTATATTCAGTCATTTTTACATTATTTTACTTTGTGTTGTGATCACTGATTATCGTCAAGCGACAACGGATTGCATCCGCCTTACTGCTTTACTTACGAGCCGTTGCCAGTATTATAGACGGTGTTCCGATTAAGTTTGGCTATACTTGGTGACTCAATGTAATTATGTTGCATGTTCTTGTGTTTAAATTGAGATGCGTTTTTAGTTTCTCGAAGCCATAATTTTAGGTATAATAAATAAACTGTCACAGCACATTCCAAACGCATATAGAAAAGCAAAACATAGAATAAGATTGCTTTTCCGCAAAATTCAAAAGCGAATTATCTTATTGTTTCCAACTTTTCTCACTTATTTCATATACATTTTGATCGATTAAATGCTTAGCTTCCACACTATTCGGTCTGGGTTGAGAAAAGTTATGGTTTGACATAACAATTACGATCTTTAAATATGAAAATTGATATTTTGTTGTCAAACCGCGATCAGTTCGTATATCCAGCCCAGCCTATATTGTATTGGTCAATTAGTGAATAAATTAATATAAACACAGGTGTTGAGGTACACCAACTCGAACAAGGTAGATTCAGTATTCAGTTAAGAGTTGTTGCGTTCTATTTTGAAGCGATATCCAGTTTTTGATGATAATAAGATAAGTATAAATCTATGATCGCGGGGTATATCGATTTAAATGGCTTATGACCTATGACGCTATTCATTTCACGGAAGCCGGAACCTAAGTGGCTTCTTTTGCACAGCTTTATTCTTGTATACTCACTTTGACATTTTGGCGCACCTTCACTCCATGCCGCAAAGTTACGATAAAGCTTGCAAGTGATTTGATCCTCTCCGATCATTTCATATTCTTCGCCGCATTCGAAGTGGCAAATTGATCCAAAATAGTTTTTATTCGAGCAACTAACTGTACCTCCTTCCGGGGACAATTGTTGTGATGGACATTTTATTCCTGTAACGAAGCAATGCGTGAATACCGTATATAAAAAAAATGGGCTGTTGTTCATTCAGTATAAAAAAAAGCAAAGGTTGGACATGATTTAAACATAATTGTTTATAATTGGTCAAAGTCAATTTTCTCCAAATCGATCAACAACCTCGATCTGGACGTAATGTGGACGGACCCCTGGTCACAATTAAATTCAGATCATATTTGTTTGCAGTTATTCAAGCTCTATTATATCGATTAAATTACTGTACGAGATGCGGTAATTTTAATAAACATCAACAAATATATCTGTAACGTTTTGTCACTAATAGCCAAAATTATAAACGATATAAAACAAAATTGTTTAAACTGATCGAATATTTTATCTTCCGACCGGGACGGACCTAAATCTGCATCCAACCACCCTCGGGTACAATTAAACTGAGATCATATTCATCTAAAATTGGTTAAACTCTATTAAAGCAATTTAAATTACTTTATAGGAATTCAGGAATTTTATTAAACATGAATTAATACAAATAAACTTTTGTCACTCAATATCAATATTCCTCGGGAACTTTAAAAAAAAAATTGTTCAAATTGAATTGACGATAAACTGTTATCTCCCGACGATAAACTTTAATCTGAACCTGACTATTCTCGGGGACAATCAGCCAAACTCTAATACACGGTTTATGATTCCTTCTTACGCATTAAATTAATACAAATTCCAAAATTTAAGTTGACAATTTTATCGTGCCAAAAGATTTGTAAATTTGAACATACGTAATAATAATGGGACCAATTTTTTCTTTGTATAAAACATTAGGATTTTTTTGTACCTTATCTTAGTTAGATATAGGCTCGCGCGGAATTTGGAACTGGAAACCATAAACTTAATGTTATTCTCATTTAAAAGATCTTTTTGTTCTATAAAATATAAGGCAATAACATAACCACAATCTCTACGTCAGTGGTTCACAAACTGGCGGTAATTACATTCAAAGGGGTAGTTTGGCAATTTTTAGGCAATCTTATATAAACTAATGAATTCAAATATCACAAAAACGACTATATCACCCCTCGTCGTCATTTATTTTAATCAATCTATTCTAAATAATTAATTTTTTATGGGAAAGACTCCCACACTCAAATAAAAGTAATCAATAAATATATAGTATACACAATTGGACACGATTCGCATTTATGCAGTGCAGCTGTATTATTTCAATCCACAATTTAGCCTAGTAATGAAGAAAATCACGTCGTATCAAATCACTCATTTTTGTTGAACACCGAGTATTATTTTGAAAAAAAGAGAAGCAATGTGTCGCCCTTTTTTCATTCGCTAGCGCGCATATTTAAGGTTACTATCGCATTGTTACAACTGATATGAGAGGTTAAATTACAAGATTTCCGGCTCAAATTAGACTAATGATCACTTCTTGTCTAAAAATTGACAATTATGATACTTTCACACTAATCTAATTCGAATCAAAATGATTTCATGGAAATTTAAAATTTTCGTTTTTGAAGAATCGTCGAAAACAAAAATCTTAGAAATCAATTAAATATTCTTTCTGAAAAAATAAATTAATCATAAGTAAATTTCAGAATAAATAAAACTTACGCTCGCATTTTGGATGGCCGTCCTTGCTCCATCGCCCAAATGTGCTGTTGCTTTTATCAAATTGACACACTGCAGAGTTTGCGCCAGTAATTTTGTAGCCATTCGAGCAATCAAATCTAAAAGTAAAATAAAAAGTTTTCAAGCAAATTAGTTATCTTTTTCGCACAAACTCGATAGAATTCACGATAAAGGAGGATATTGCCATTGGAAAGGATTTTTTAGCGAATGTACGTGTTGGCACAGACACATGCCCATATGGCATTCAGGCAAATATAGGAGTAAATACGTATATGCTATTACTAAATGCTTTCTCGTTCAAAATATTTTCTAAAACAGAAAAAAAGAGATGCACGGTAGATGAAATCGTGAAAATTCGTGGGTTTAAAATAAATTCTTTAAATAAACAATTTTTTTTTGAATTATTTGCTAATAAAATGTGATTAGCAATTATAAAAGGAGCGCAGAATGTTAATATTTTTATCGTTACTCCTAAATATTCGTAATTTGTACCAAACAGTGCATCAAACTCCACAAATCTATAATATATCATGTGAACCCATGTGGTTACTTTTCCAGCCAAATAGTGAGAGTTTGGTAAACACCTAACTAAACTGTGTTGTTTCAAAAAAGCATTCCTTACTCACAGCTCTTAATTAAACATCCTATTCACTTATGCATGCCATTACGTAAGTTACATTACCACGAAATGCTTTACATAAATCAAAAACATAACTTTCGAATCGTCAAATTTATCGCTAATCATCACCGAGGTTCGTTGAAATCATGACATTCCGAACGGGTTCCTTCGAACCAGTGCAAACCTATTTTAATCGCACGACTGTGGGTACTAATCACGTTTAGCTGGTAGTAAAACTGTAAATATATTGTGAGTTACCTGCAAACACTTCCAATATTATTATGCAAGCTACATTCGGAACGTCCATGGTTGAATCCAACTAAGTTCGGACACGTGACAGGAATACAGGATGGCATCTCAGCACTCCACACGTGGTTTGTCACTAGGAACAAATATTAGAAAGCCGTTAATTGATTTTATTGTGAAATAAAATTGGCTCGGTGGTGTGGCGCATCGTGCTAAGCGTTAGGAATACGCTCGCCACCGCATCTCTGCTGGACTCCTCGCCGCCGTAGGGTGGTTTACGTAATCGCTGGTGGGTTTCGGCTTCCTCCACCATCAAATCCATGCTTCCGAAAACAAATAACTGGCTAACTGATCCCATATCCGACCTGAACTGGTAACCGGACGAGAGGCCGTGGTTCGCCATATGATTAAGCCGTCTTATCGGCTTTCCTCTCCAACGGGATAAATATGTAAATCCTATTCGACGAATTTTAAGCGCTTTTCGCCACGAACAAGGTTCTGCACAAACAATCACCTTCAAGTACATAAAAGGATGATGCAGTTTAACAAGAACGTAGTGTCAAGTATAATAATTGGTGTTCTGAATTTGTGTTGTGATTTCTCGCACGACGAAATAAATGTATTGTCTAATATGCCTAGGCTTACCATGCGCCTCGGCTAAACCGGGACAGTCCTGGTTTTGACAAGCTGTCCCGGCGTTCCGCGGTCATAAATATTTTGTTTTATTTAATATCAATACAAAATTCTTTTTTGTTAATAGAGGCAGTTTAATCATAACTATTCTGCGACTCACGTCATGAGTTCAATGAGAGAAAGAGAACTATTATTTTGTGATGTCCTGATTCGTTTGCTCTACTGCTGTTAAATTATTCAAAATGACAAAAAAAAAAGTGCACGTTTTCTGATGATTTGAGTCTAAGAATCGAACCAAGGTAGTTTGTGCAATCCCGGTTTTAGGTTTCATACCGTGTTTCCCCGAAAATCAGACTTGGTCTTATTTCAATTTTCTTCCGAAAAATAACACTAGGGCTTATTTCCGGGGATGTCTTATATTTTCATTTATCAAAAACAAAATTACAAAGTAGAGAATTACGAGATTTTCAATATATATAATAAGAAAACCGATATCCATTCACTCATAAAAAACCCGTTTTTATTCAAAATAACTGCAAAACATAGATTATCAATCATTTAAAACGTGTAGGAGAGATTACTTGCTATTGTCAAAATCAATTTTTTTTTCAAAATCCGTGTTAGGGGTTATTTTCGGGGTAGGTCTTATTTTTGGGGAAACACGGTATATATGGTAAGCCCACTTATGCCGAAACTGTTCCTGGTACGAGCTTTTCAAAATAATATTTATTTGCTACTTCATTATAATCAAATTCTCAGTTCTCTCCAACTAAATTGTAAAAATATCCTTTTTTTTTATCTACCGCGAGATGGCGGTAGATGGTCATATTGTGGAATGAGTACCGTCAAAATTTACAAACTTACAGCATGTTATTGTTGTTTCTCCTCCGACGTAAAATCCGTGTCCGCACTGAAACGAACATTTGCTTCCAACTTCATTACTATTTGTGCAATTCATGCTGCCGTGTGCGGGCGGCTGATCTGTCGGCAAGCAAGTTGTCGGCCCTGTAAAAGATTGTTTATGTTATTTTCATTATTTAATCACAAGAATCGATTGAAACTAACATCAAAATTAAAATACTAGAATGTGATGTAGCGGGCTAGCTATTAAACGTTTGTATTTACCGGTAAGCACATTTTAATCAAAACGAGCGACTCTTTTACAGAAAGTTTTATATCTCTCTAGTCTAGTCCAAACAAACTATTACTATTAATAGGTGCGACGCCCTTTCAGTTAGAATGTTTGACCTATTTATGTCGCAGGTAAAACACCTAATCCGCGCGGCGGGTTCAAGCCCCGTGTTCACCACCTCAAGTCGGATGTGAATTGTGTGGGCGACGCCAAATCAAAAAATACCGCTTCTTGAACTAGATGTTCCCATGGTACAGGCTCCCTGTATAGTACACGTGTAAATAAATAGTCAGTCAGTCAGTTTATTCTACACTTGTACACGAAAGTACACAATGTACATACAGAATTAGGAAAGACAAAAAATGCATTTCAGTTTGAGAGAGGCGCGATAAACCAGTAAGGGTTGAAGTGGCAGATATCTAACACTCAGCTTGCATATTCAGAACGCGAAGACGGCGTTATTGCACCAGTTTAGCGTTTCACAATTTTACTATCTAGTGAGCTCATAATAATATTTATTATTGATATCAACTGCCTACCTTCTGGCGATTTTCTGATTGCCTGATTGCAACAATCTTGAATGTCTGGAATGCGTGGAAGATTCTATATTTTAAATTAAATGACTTTTCGCGGCCTTCGAGTTCTCCAGGAAAATGATGCGTACCAGACGTTAGATGTTGAAATGTTATTTGCGATAAATTTAGGTCAACCTAGGTTTTCATGACACCCTGTTACCAAAAATACAAATTATATCGCCAAACAAGGCGTTTTGTTACATTAATTTGTCACTTTCACTAAAACATGTTTTCCAGAATTTAAATCGACGACGAATCCGTTCTTATCGCCCAAGTTCGACACACGTTTGGTCGATCGTCGGGCGTTATTTTAGTCGACGATAAATTAAAAAAGTTGCCACATGTGGTGAAGACAGTTCTGCTATCAGGTTAACTATTGATGGACATTATTCAAAGCGTGTATTCAAAGCAGATATATGTATAACGATAATAACTTAAAATTAAGATTTCCGAATAGCGGACTAACACAGGTATCGATTTTAACATTTTTGCATTTAGAAACGAGTTGAAGTCATAGTTTTCAATTTTTCCAACATAAAATTCATGATCTCTCCAAATTAGAGTATCGGAGTTGAAAACATGAACAGAAAACGTTGAAAGTTTCATTCGCAATTCATCAAGAGAGCTGGATCTGGACCCGGAGTGATTTTTGTTTGAACCCGTAGCCGGTATTATAGCCGTAGCCGGACAACTAAATTTGTTTAAAATATCTTACTTATTTGTCCGAGGCAATCTAGATCTCCCGTGTTGCAAACATTCTCATAACAGCAGCATCGACAAACTGAGTTCGGCAATCTTGGGTTGCATTGATTTGTACTCCTGGAAACTTTAGAATTCTGAAAATAGTATTTTGTAATAAAGAAGGCAATGCTCAAATATATGGACACGAATGCTAAAACGGAACAGCATCAAATCTTTTACAGTACCGGTAGTACCACCAGATCACCGAGATCACGGAACCACGGTGATGGTGGTGTCATCACACAGAAGTTTGAAAGAAATAATATACGAATCCCATGGAGCCACAGGTATTTTTGAACATAAATAAATGTAATAGCTTCCTAGCGACAACAAGCTTTTACTACTGAAAATTCGAAAGCAATTGGTCCAGTAATTGAAGAGAAAAGCGATTTTTGCTTAACAACAATAACAGAACGATGCATAGGTCCATTTCGTGTTTGATAATTAAAAATTACATATTTCTGGATTCCACACCAAATTAAAACGTCGTGTCCTCTTGAATCACGGCCACCGATTTTGATATTAAAAAAAACTTGTGGACGCGATTTTTTTTCTTCTTGTTATTCTCTGACGGGTACGACTGGGATTTACGATTACGTCATGCTTTCATAATCGAATAAATTTTGAATAAAATCTCGGATATTTCTCGATATTTCAATTAACACAACGACATAATTGTATGTTACTTTCTTATTGTAATGGCTTCTCCATACACATAAATTAATGGAAACATAGATTCCATCGCTCAGACAGTTCGCTCAGTTGTCACACACAATAAGAAACATGGTTCCATTACATTTGAATCCACGACAATTGCACCTGCATACTATTGCACCTATAGAATTTTTACGGATATTTGAACCCATACTAACCCTAACTCATAGATTTCACCACCCTCATATAGATTGAACCCGCGGGTATACACATGTGCAAATGTATGGGTTCAAATGTACGGTCACCAAGAAACATATCACATCAATGACTCAATAAGAAGAAAAAAGTAATATTCCAGAGTTGCATTTCCTAAATATGGATTCAATCAAAAAAAAACTGAGCTCTGACGTAAAAATAAAGATGACAGCGATTCAAAATATCGTTTGAACCGATTAGAATAATTTACTATTAGATTCGAAATGCGCAGCCCTGCTGACGGGACGGAACCTTCAGAAACGAATACTACAGTATGTGTTTCCGATAAACCCATGCCCATAAACAACAGTCTACTCGACTGGGTACACTTAAATAAATTACCATTTGAACCACTTGTAACAGTTGCTCAAGGATTACAAAATCAGATCGAACACAACAACACTCGCCAAGCAGTTGATGGAGTACGTAAATGCCGCGTTTGGTGATATACTGTGCTAATTCAGGTGTAACTATATTTTAATGCTTGGCAGGGGAATTATTGAAGTTAAATTCAGTTTGACTCAAGCAAATTTTCGGTACTCCTGTAGTGTGTGTACCAGGTTAGGATTAGGCCATAATTTTATTACAATTTTCCATATTTCAGTTCTATTACGACTTCGGGGACTGTCTGTGTTAGCTAAGTGAATAAAACCCCTGTCCATAGGTTTCAACTCCTTTACACAACTTGATGTAAAAAAGGCGAACAAAATTAGTTACCCCCATATTGGCACACATACTTCTGGAGTGCCAAAATTTGTGTTTAAACGTTATTCTAAGTAATTAGTGCTGTACAAAGATCGCTCAAGTTTTCAAAAATGAGACTTGTCTCTCATTTTTTATCCATGTGAGGAATTTCAAATTTATATTTTCTTTGAAATTTCACTGACCTGGTTTTGTACGTTCGCACAGGCAGAAGATTGTTTGCAGAATTTGAAGACCTTTGTTTTCAATCCACTGAGGCGTCGGATTTCAATACCACAAGCATCCTGAAGAAATAAAAACAAAAACTGTAAATTACACGCGAATCAGCCTTTTTGAATTGTTTCAATCAACCGATTTTCGCTTTTTTGTTGATACATAAGGCTCAACTGGTTTTAGGGAGCTCCGATAGGTGACCGTACATTTGAACCTACGTACATTTGAACCCATGCGTATATCCACGGGTTCAATCTATATGCGGGTGCTAAAACCCATGGGTTAGGGTTAGTATGGGTTTAACTATCCGTGAAACAAAAAAAATTCCATAGGTACAATAGCATACAGGTGCAATTGTCATGGGTTCGAATGTACGTGTGTTCAAATGTAATGGAACCGCTCCGATAGTATGTGCACCAAGAGATGACGCACAACCTGAACCCGAACCTGGTACACTTACTATGTTCAGGTTGTGCGCCATCTTGGTGCACATACTACGGGAGCACCGTTTTGAGTGTAGGCAACAAAGCACTACCTGATATATACATTAAGCGCATCGACTCTTAAGGCGTACGTACAGTCAATTTTTATGAGAAAGGGAATATTTTAAGCACGCTAAATGGTCCGTAAAACACGACATTGCTTTGAAACAGCCATGATTTGAAATACTCCGCTTCATCGCTAGTACTTCTCATATTACCAATCGCCTTAGGACAAAATCAATATTTCCGCATAATGACGTGTTATCATACCACACTTATACGGCCTTTCGCTCTAAACGAAGCCCTGAATAAGAAACGACTGATATATTCGATGTTATATATTCGCCTATGGTTCTCAAAGTGCGTCGTTTCAACTTTGCTAGGGCGTCGCAAAACTTTTTTCGGTTTGCGGAATTGTTCCTGTTTTTCATGCATAAGTGTAAAAATGATACTGATTAAAAAAAGTCTAAAAGGAAAATTCGCAGGTATGATGTTATATGCTATTACTGTTTTCATAATACCTAATTGTCTACCCAAATGCGGCACACACGAAAATATTGTGTGACCCGCACAGGAGAGCCAATCTTGAACGATGCGCGGCGTGTGAAGCGACTTTTTAATTCAGTTCGAGCGAGTAATTTCAATCCCTTTGCGTTGCAAAGCTTATACCCGATTCTAATTTATTATTCATGACTATGACGTTACAATGCCCTAAAAGCTAGCTTGTGTGAAGCGAACATCGCATGCCATAATAAATCAATAATCAAAAATTTAGTGCCTGTAACGGTGCTACCGATGTATTCGTAACAAGAAGGCGCACAACCTGAACATAGTATGTGTACCAGGTTATGGATGTTCAGGTTGTGCGTCATCTTGTTACGAATACTTCCGCAGTGTCCCTGTAACTACTAGAAAGCCCATGTTGAATGAAAGTGCGGCCCGCGGTTTTACAGAATTATTTGTATCTGGCCCTCCTGTTATAAAGGTGTCGCACCCCTTATCTAACAAGCTGAAATATTTTCGCACCTCATTTGCATCACATTTCTGTATTGTTCCGTTCTTGTCACATTCTTCCACGCTGTTTGCATTTTCACAGGTCCAACAGCGCAAACCTGCAACAGAAAATAGATTTTATACAAAGTCAGGAAAATCTCTCTCGCTAAAACACTTCAACTTGTAATAGAACAGGATAGGATGTTCAACTCGGAAGAGTAATGATCAATAAGATCTGATATCAAGGGTGTAACCAGCCTAAAATTAGGGAAATAGACGGCGCTTTCTCGAGCCGCAAACTCGCTTTTTTGAAATAAAATGCGTTGGAAATTTAAAACTACCCCCAAGGCGCTTCCTATTAGTGTATATAGGTTCCATTACATTTGAACCCACGTACATTTGAACCCATGACAATTGCACCTGCATACTATTGCACCTATGGATTTTTTTTTTGTTTTACGGATATTTGAACCCATACTCACCCTAACCCATGGGTTTTAGCACCCGCATATAGATTGAACCCGTGGATATACACATGGGTTCAAATGTACGTGGGTTCAAATGTACGGTCACCGTGTATATAGTATAACCAACTGCTTTCTCTTGTTCGGCAACTAGCTCATTCGGTATGGGATTCGTAAATTGTCTAATCGCTCAAGAAAGGTATTTTGGCTAGGAATATCAAACATGCAGAAACAGTTATTATATAATGGGATAGGATTCGGAGCTCCGTCAAGATGGTGCACATCCTGAACATAGTATGTGTCCAGATTAGGATTTAGGTTGTGCGCCATCTTGCCGGATTTTCTTATGTTTACCTCGGCGGAATGCGACTCAATGACATCAGCTAGTATAACGAACTAATAATACATTTAATTCGGTTACCAGTCCCTGGAACTGGTAACCGACTAATCGATCGAGACACGTGAACTTAAGTAATGCTGCCCATAAAGGTCCTTTTCATTCTGTACCCCACATGTTCAACTGTATAAAACCACAACAAACTCTCAAATTTTTACCTCAGATGACGTTTTCTCACTCGACTGCTATTACAGGCGTAATTACGTGTTAAGACTTCTATTCTGTGACATTATGAGACCTCAAATTCATAGAAATGTATCAAAAAAACGTAAAAGAAATACTTTGTCTACTTTCGCTTGTCCGGCAAGTTCGAAACTGAGACTTTCTGTTGGGCACAAGAATCAACGAGTTGGCGAATCAGTGTTTAAATTATGAATGATTATATCGGAATCAAGACATCGTTTGGGTATTCATTCACTGTTTTTAAGCGTTTTAGCAGGGTTTGCAGTGTTTTTAGACGGGTTTTCACTGTTTTTATTAATTTTTTTATTTTCAAAACTCGTTGTTTATTGTTTTACAACCTGGTGATCTACGTACATCGAATCTAGGACATTACGCAAGACTTGCTTCTTTTGTACAAAGCCCCCGCCTAATATAAAGCAGCCTCGCCAACGCTCCTTATAAGGAAATTGGCAATTATCCAGATAGGATCAGTGTTAGATTTAGAAATGCAGATTGCACTGGATATTCAAACTATTCCTAATATCAACTGGATAAGTACTAACTCGAAATTTTATTTAAAGTGGATGACTATTGCGGTAGAGTTTTTGTTCGTCTTTCCATTTACTTCATTAATCACTCCTATTTCAATTTGATCAGACGTTTGGAGCGATATCATATTTGTATCCCTCGGGACTCGAACCCGAGGTCTTTCGTATAAAACGCGCAACTTAGAACAGAGCATGACTATTGTACTACAGTTTCTCTATCTTCCATTCCAACGTTAGCTCATTGCAATGATTCTATCATACTGAGAATAAACTCCGACTCGTAAAAGTAGGCCAACTCGCACTAATCCGATTCCTCTACTTTTAACATGGGAAAGTCACTCGACTTTATGATTTTTGTTTAGATTTGACATGGGCAAACTACGCCTGCGTGCTTAATCCGGCCCGTTTGGTAATTCAATCTGGCCCGCCTGACGCTGCCACAATCAAACTAAAACCAAATTTTGATGTTTTAGATAAAATATTAGGTTAATGAATTTGTTGAGATTGCGATTGAATTTAGTTTTGGTGAGACTTAATGTTTCCCACTTTTGCTTTTGTAATACTGTGAATATTGTTCATGAAATGTACCATTTTACGTCGCACATGGCCCGCCAGTCTAGGTGGACAAAAGTTTTTGGCATTGGTCCAAAAGGACATCGAATAGAATTCAGTTCCTAACCCTAACTAAAATCACTGTGATCATACAGTCGCCAAGATTGCATACAAACATGGGGTAAGATACCATTGAAAGGTGAAAAGATTTAATTAATTGCGTCATAAAATTGCCCAACAATATGAGTTTCTACTAAATATATGATTACGCATACCATTGCCATAAGTTTGGATACCACTTTGGTTTGCGATCTCAATGCTTAATCAACTGTGATATCCATTTGGTATGCGTTTAATATCATGAAGACATTCTCACATATTTCAGTTCCTAACGCTGTCATTTTGGGGTAGGGTTAGGTTAATACTAAAACGAGAATATCGGTCAGAGACCGAAGACTTATCGATCGAAAGTTGGGGGATCCCCAAAGCAGCGCTCTTACTCCATAGTGACACCTCGTGTCTCATCACTAATTAGTTAATAATTCGCTAATTATACGACATAATTTATCCAAAATCAATAGGCTTCTGGTCCGACATATGATGAATGCGCATGCAAAATCTGGAGCATGTTCAATCTTGCTTTCGTGAGATATCGCGTACATCTAACAGACATACAGACAGACAGACAAATACCTATCCACATACTTACAGATCAAAATTGATAAGTAATCACTGAGATCGCACAACCGCTAATATAGCTTAACAAAGCAGCAGCCGAACTACATACAGTTGTGCTACCAATTTGATTTCTACGGGACTGACTACATATCCTTTTACAATTCTTTTGCGCCGGCGGCAATGCATGCAATGTAAGCATGCTTTTGCAAGAGAGGAAATGTCTATTCTAAGTATTGTGCGCATATTGCTGCACATTAGCACGATTTCTTTCAAAGTAGCCCCCCAACTACTTATAGTTGTTCTACCGATTTGGTTTCTGCGGGACTAACTACCTCTCCTTCTTCCATGCTCTAGTCCCGGCGGATCCGTATACTGCAATGCAAGGATGCTGTGACAAGAATAAAGATTACTATTCTAAGTGATTCAGAAGACTTGATGCACACTAACACAAATATATTTCTGTAACGTTTTCGTCAGTTTTCTTCAGACAATCATATCTCAACTATGGCAGAAACACATTTATTTTAGTGGGCAGCAATACTCTAGAACTGACATGGAAACTGCGGCCCGCGGGCCAAATTTGGCTCGTTGAGTAATTTAATCCGGCGCGCCTGATGATGCCACAACCAAACTAAAACCAAATTTCTATGTTTTAGCTGAAAAAATAGCTTACGGAATTTGCTGAGATTGTGATTAAATTTAGTCTCGGCACGAGGCTTATTGTTTTCCTCAGTTGCTTATGTAAGACTGTGAATATTGTTCATAAAATGTAACTTTTTACGTCACACTTATGCGGCCAGTCAGTTTAGATGGGTAAAATATTAGGCCCCTCGTCAAAAAAACCTTGCCGACTCCTGCTATAGCATTGCTTAGATTACTTATAGTTACTAGTCTACGTTCTCTTACCTTGAACAATGTAAATAACGGATACAAACATATAAAAATTTAACAAAGCAGTCGTCAACTTCATCCTAGTCTGTGCTTCAAGACCTCTTACAAAGAATAATCATAACGTAAATAAAGATATTCAGAATTCACAGACGATTTTATACGACCATATACAACTCTAAATGTTCAGCAATGTTTATATGATACTTCAACTATGTTATAAATTAATGTACGGAACCAGAGATTAACTTATTTCAGTTTAGAATATTGGACATTTGATTTTATGATGTCAAATTAGGCTTTGCCATTAAACTTCGGTAAGTGATCGGCGAATTTATGTTGTTTAGGCACCCGAATGTCGTAACAATTGATTTAATGGCGACCATAAAGTTTTCAGCATTTTAATAGGCTCCGATAAATGTGTCTTCGATTCATGAAAGATTTAACACGGCCCACGGTTAATATTTCGGCAGCTGATACATTTTTAGAAAACCAAATTCCATGGCATTTGTAGGTGAAGATCTGACCGTACAGCTATGAACTAACTCAATGCACTTATCTGGCCAACTTAGGCGCATGAAAGAACAATCAAAATTTATCAGAGGCGCAGTGCCGTGGAACAATAACCTAGTTACGTGAGTACCGTTTAGTTCTTTAGCTACTTAAGAATTGGCTCAAACGCGTTTCTAAAATCAGAATAGCTCATAAGTTATATGATCCTGAGCTGAAATAAAGGATTGTTTATTTGTTTACAAGTGTATCCAATCACGCGAAGGTCATAAATTTTGCTTTGGAAATGCTCATCCCGAGTCCGCTAACTAGTCGGTGCGCATCAGCAATGGTGATAGATTTCATAATTATGACGTTAATTAGGATTTTGAACGAATGAAACAATGTGATCTAAATATTAAATGTTTGTAAGTTCTGCGCTCCAGAAGTGTGTGTATCAATTTGGAGGTAACTAATTTTGTTTGCCTACTTTAAATTAAGTTGTGTTAAGATACGGAAACCTATGGGCAGGGGATATATTCACTTGGCTAACACGGACAGGCTCCGAACTCGTAATAGAACTGTAATAAGAAAAATCGGAATAAAATATGGCCTAACCCTAACCTGATTCACACACTACGGGAGGAGGCCTACTATAAGTTCAGTATTTTTGTAAGAAAATATAGTAAACCCAATGTGTTTAGCGTTACGAATACGCTTGACATCGTAATTCTGAATACCATGTGTAGGTTCGCAGGTTTGTGAAGGGATAATTATGTAAGAGAGGATTGCTGGATTCCTCTAGCCGTAAAGTGGTTCATGTAACTGCTGATCGATTGCGGCTTGCTTCACCATCAAGTCCGTGCATCTGAATAAAACAATAATAACTCATTAACCAATTCCATACCCGACATGGACTGGTCATCGGATGAGAGGACGTGGTTTGACGTGTGATCAAGTCATCTTATCGGCTATCTTCTCTTCTGAAATAAATGTGAAAATCTTGCACCCTGAGGTATTTATACGGCCGTTTATCATTTACGTACGAGTATATCAATATCAATGTTCCAAAATCTAAATGAATCGTAGTGATATGTGATGAAAGCCGTATCTACAACTTAGAGTTATCGAGCGTAGTCTTCGTTACTGCGATCGCGTACCCAATGCACGCTGCAGAATGAACGTAATCCTAAACTGCTGTTATACTTGTGTATGTCGCACACATGTGTATCAGATCAGTATGGTCTTGTACGTGTAACCTGTCTCTGTTATACAATTTAATTATTATACACACACTGTAAAATTATTGAGGCAAATGAACATACATACAAAACCTAATCTTAAACGAAATGAACCGTCGTCACACAAGTGAACGAAGCAGTACTGATGATGTCTGACTGTCGTGTTGCAATATTTTTAAAACTCGCTTTCAACACGTCCACACCTATGGATAAATTTGAAATTTTGTTCCATAGTCATTCCGAGAAAGTTAATTTTATTCGAACAAGTTTATTGAAGAATTTGATATTATGATTGCACTGCTTCACACAACAAAACAACTTGATCACGGACACAAATACAATAAAAATATATAAGAGTGAGGATACATACAATTGAAAAACATGGGAAGCAAAAATAATATGAAAATATCCACAACTTGGGTATTAAGATTGTTGTGACTTTTTTTTTCACTTGTGTGAGTGCGGATAAATGGGCACTGGCTGCAGTACTCGTTTTAAACCTTTCTGTAAGTTTTGTCTTATTTTCTAGATATCCCTTCACCTCGATGTTGTTTGTTATTCATGCTGTGTAATATACGTATGCTGTGTAAGATCGAAATAAAACATGATTCTCTCTTTGATCCCGGGGCGAATCATAGGGCCAACCAGGGCCTCTCGCCAGGTTATCAATCCGTGTCGGATATGGGATTGGTTAGCCAGTTATTTGATAAGGTGCATGGACTTGATGGTGTAGGGAGCCATACTACATTTAATTTTATTGTAATCATTGATAACATCGTGCAGTTAGAGGAAGAGTATAGCCCTAGTATATACCTTGTTCAACAATACATTGATATTTAGATATTTCCAACTAGGATTTATTTGTATAAATTGTTGAAAACTTGAAAGAAAAATATGAAGCAGTGATCTAAAACATCACAAAAATTGAAATGAATACGGTAAGAATTAGCAGTGATTTAAAAGCATTATAAATTTAAAATGAATACTAAACAATATAAAATGCACTGAGTATAATATTGCTTACAGAAACAATGAATTGCACTTATGATTAAAGAAGAAATTTGAAATGAATCATGAAAACATATAACTGAAATTCATTGAAAAGTCTTGTTACACACTGTTATAACCATCTTTTGTTTGGTTTTGGTTTTAGTTGTTTTGAGGTTTTAATCAACACCAATCGAAATTGTCATCATTCAATAATTGATACTTTTGCTTATCAAAAAAAGTGTGACACAGCTTAAACCAGTGATTCTCAAACGGTGCACCCCACAAGAGAGGCACAGACAATTTTTGGCGCGAGACTCAACAAATTCTAAAAAGGGTGCGCGACTTGAAAAGTTTGAGAACAATTGGCTTAAACCAATCACTTTGTAAAAACTCTTATTCAACTGCCCTCACTGTTCACCAAAACATAGTAGTTGGTGGATGATTTGCTGGTTAGTTTTATCTCATTATCAACATAAAGAAGAAATGTCTCAGAATCAGGTAATTCATGAAGACTAGAGGTATGATTAATTCATAAGACAAGGCGAGGATGCATATCTTGATATCAGTCCATTGATCAAGCAATATATCTGAAAACTTATCAAATTCACAGATAAATTCGGTTGATTGTCTTCGCTCTGGAAACAAAATTGCGAGTGTATTGATTACTTGAGTGTGAAAACACAATTGATCAAAAATTGAACACAAATGAGATAAAACTTTACTATTTATCTCCGTGTAGAAAAAAGCTAAAATAATGGCTTAGTTTGGTTGTTAAACTGGGCTTTACTACAGTGACCTTTGGTTTAAAGATCTGGGCCCAAGGTGAAATAAAAAAAAATGCTCTAACCTTAAACTGAAGTTTACAAATAATTCAGTCTCAACTCGATACAGGGTTTTCGAAAGCCATTGACGCTTCATTCTTATTTAACGCCAACGCCATTTCATCATCAGCTGTTCGTAATATGACATCTTCATCATCATTCATTGCATTAAAACCAGTGGAGTCATACGCGGGATTAGTTAATCCGCCACCAAATGTGTCTTCATCATTTGGGTCTGATGTTGATGTCAAGCGTTGCCGTTCCTTAAATAGTACAAATATTGTTAGGATAAGATTTACATATTTATCCCGGAGGAGAGAAATGGCGATAAGACGGCTTATTCATATGACGCACCACAGCCTCACGTTTGGTTACCAGTCCATGTCGGGTAGTGATCAGTGGGTCAGTTGTTTGTTTCAGATGCATGGACTTGATATTAGAGGAAGCCAAAACTGAACAGCGGTTACGTGAAACATCCAAATGCGGCGAAAGGTCCAGCAATCCTCTTACACATATGTATTCCTCACTGGATTCTAACCTGCGCAGAGTAATCAGAAGTGCGGAAGCAAGCGAATTTCTAACGCTTTGCATGATTCGCCATTCTAATGGAGTCCGTTATACTAATGAATTCAAGAGTCATGCTGCACACTGACTGCACAGAGTGATTCTATAATCACTTTGAAATCATCAGTTTTTATCAATTATTTTACCATCTGTTATGCTGATCAAAACAGACTTATGTCAGTGTTGTAAAAATAAACTCCTTGTTGGAGTATTAAATAATAGCAATTGATACTTGAATCACAATAATTATTTTGCCATAAACATTTACTCACAGGTCTGAACACAAATGTATGTCGATTTTTCCACCAATAAATTACTCCAACACCGACCATGATTAGGAATATAATGAAAACTGAAACACCAACTTTTATTGCCTGGCTTCTTTTATACCCTCCCTGAAAATAAAAAAAATTTTCCTGCTATAAAGTTTCAAAAACAGATTTGCAATTAATAATCAGTAAACCAGTAGTTTATATAAGCACACTTGATATACAAATTACAATAAAAATGAAAAAGTATTCGAGGGCGCGGGAAACCAAATTTGGCTATCAAGCAGCGGCTAGGTGTATGAAAAGTGTATCGTCACAAACAAGTTTCTTTTTTTCCAGCCAACAAAAAATAGCATACAGAATGATGACAGTTTTACCGGGGAAGGAAAGACACGGGGAACCAAAGCTGGTTATAGTTCAGAGGTTTTAGAATTCTTGTTCCATACTGTTACAGTTGGCGAGCACCTGGCAGCTAACCAACCAACAACGCATATGCTCTTATACATCCATGAGTGATGTCAGTCTGCTATTGTGCTAAGCCTTCGCGCTCCCAATTTTATTTATTTATTTATCGGTCAAACTAACCTTAGTAACAGAAACTTTGCTTGTTGGAGTGAGCGCTGTAGATATTTTAGTCTGGAAATTATTTGCAACAGAAGCATTGATTCCTGATGTTGTTTCCGGATAAATCAACGAAGGTTTTGGGGTCCAACCATCAATTGGTTCCCCTGGTTTAACAGTGATTACACCTGGTGGTGGAAGTTTGTTTGTAGTAGATTTCGGTGGCCCTGAAAAGTCGAGTCGAGTTTATTTTTTCCAACCAATAAATAAAAATATCACAAGCACAAATTACAATAAAATGATAATTCACACAGTTTTACTAGGGAAGGGAAGTCGCGGGGAACCAAATCTGGTTATCGAGCAGTGACACACTTGAGGTTCTAATATTTAATTCAAAATGTTAGAATTTTAAAGTTTTGAAACTGATATTGGCGGTAAGTACCATACCAAATATTTAACCAACACTGCTTACCAGTGATTATATACCGTAGTAGAGGTTAATGATCTATAGGAGCAATAACCTCTACTATATAATCTCTGGTAAGCGGTGTTAGTTAGATATTTGATACGGTACTCACCGCCAATTCTAGTTTCAAAAATCTAGAAAAATAAACAATATTTGTTTCAATACTTGAAAATTATGTTGTTTTAACCTAGTTTAAATAGTTATTGGTATAGTGAATGAACACTTGTTGTTCTTTACTGCAATTGTTACTTATCGATTTTAATCGGTAAGTATGTTGATAGGTATTTGTCTGTCTGTATGTCTGTTTGTTTGTCTGTTAGATGCACGCGATATCTCACGAAAACGAGATTGAATCTGCTCCAGATTTTGCATGTGCATTCATCTTATCTCAGACCAGAAGCCTATTAATTTTGGGCGAATTATGTCGTATAATTAGCGAGTTATTAATTAATTAGTGATGGGACACAAGGTGTCACTATGGAGTAAGAGCGCTGTTTTGGGGGATCCCCTAACTTTCGATCGATAAGTCTTCGGTTTCTGACCGATATTCTTGTTATATTATCAAGATGTTCAATGCGTAATTCAATATCTATGATTAATGAACAAACATTTGAAATTTTTGGAGTATTGCTGATATCATTAAAATGAAATTCAATATCTATGGGTAGTAAAAACTTTATTTTTGGATTCATAATTTATTTTGAGTAATCCATTAATATTTGAAGCTAATGGGTTTTCTGTGAAAATCATTTCTAATTTTTGCAAGAAACTATTGTTTTCCGAACATATTGTTTTCCTTCTTTTTTTCCTATACCAATGATTAATAGGGCAATAAATTAAAATGATTAGCCAGTCTCTGAGACAACTTCTTCGTATTCTTTCAAAATTCTTCAGATTTTTGATTAACGGTTAATCTAAACTGTCAATTGAGCTAATGGTATTTTTATGTTGAGTATAAGAATTTGATTCAGTGCTGTGCAAACAACCATCTAAATTCTAAATCATCTAAATAAACAATTTAAAATTTGCTGTTAGTAATTTTGAATGGAAACTGCTTCAACAATGTGAAAAATTTTTAACAATTTTTCAAATTTTAAATATATTAAACACTTTTAACTTGCTAACACAAGTCTATTAAAATAAAAATCAAGTAGTCAAACATTGTGATCAAAATCATTATACCTTGACTGCTGGGTTTCTTTGTTGAAGTGGTAGATTTCGGAGTTTGAGTAACTATTGCTGGTTTTGTAGTCATCGTGATAATCTTCTTCGTTATGAAAGAATCCACTAGATGTACAACTCCATTTGTTGCGAGTATGTCATACCTCTTTACACGTACACCATTGATGAAAATGTGATTCTCAGCGTTTTTTACAATCGGCAAGATGTCACCTGATTCCATGATTATTGTATTCATATTTTGAAGATCTTTATAGTAATACTGAGTTCCTGAAAATTTGCAATGAATGTTATGAAGACTAAATGATTTCCCCCACATATTGTGGCGTAGAAAATTTTTTAAGGGGTCGTAAAGATAATTAAAAATAAAAATGTTTGTTAGGTTTGATCTTGCGCGTCTCATTTTGGATATTTACATTTTTTAATTGTTGAGAGATTTCAATTCCATCCGTATTTTCAACGTGTTTTCTGAATATAACGTACTTATCTATCTGTTGTTTGTAGTTTATTGTTAGCCGGTTATTTTTGAAGTGTGGGAGAACCACTGCTCTACACCAATAGGTAGCTGTGTTGGTAGACGTCAAGGTTTTTACGAAGTGGCAATAAAATATTATCTGTAGTGATGGTGATAAAACCTATCCATAGTAGAAACGTGGTTACCCAGCGGTGGTTCATAGGTTAGAATCTTGTGATGGATAATTATGTGCGAAAGGATTCCTGGACTCCTTGCTGTTGTGGGTGTGATTTGTGTAACCAATGGTACAGCTTCCTTTCGAAATTCAAGGTAGACTTTTTCTTGATAATATTTGATTACTACAGCAGGTACCTTGTTGTAGTGAAACTAAATTCACCCATCAAGTCCATGCATCTGAAACAAATAACTGGCTAACTACTTCCATATCTGAAAGAGAATGGTAACCGAACGAGAGGCCGTGGTTCGCCATATGACTAATCCATCTTTTTTGATAAATATGAAAATTGCTACTCCATTCTATCATGAATATGCCCCATATTTACCTTGAACATAATGTCTTGTTAGCGCAAAGTTAGGAAGCGGTCTGAACCTTCTTCTTCCTTCCATATCTGCAGGCACAAACATAGTCAAATTTGATGTAGTGCTGTCCAGTTTTCTACGCACTCTTGGTGGAATTCTTCGCAACTAAAATGCAAAATGAATAAAAATAATTTATAACTATGTATAAAAAAAAAAATTGCAAATTTAGTCAATAAAGAGATTACAAAGATTCTAATGAAATCAGAACATAAAATAATAAACTAGATGTCTGTATAATGATTCAACATTGAATCAAACATTCTATATCATAATATATGATTGAAAAACCAGAAGCCGAAACATATTGATAAGTTTAGGTTAAACAAAAAAAAGGTACCCAGTCCAATTATGATTTTTATGTAAACTTGAACCGATAATTTGGTCAGAAATTACAACTATACCACATTAATGTAGGCTTAAGCTTTTCTATTTTATTTGCTGTCCGAAGTGATTAAGGTACACAAAAAGCGATATTAAAACTAACTCATATTTACCCAGTAAATATAATATCGGGTACTCACGTAGTGTATGTACCAGGTTAGGGTTAGGCCATAATTTTATTCCGATTTTCCTTAAGCTTACCGTTTGAACTGAGAATATTTTAGTTCCATTACGATTTTGGGGACTGTCTGTCTGTGTTAGCCAAGTGAATGTACCCTCTGGCACATAGGTATCAGTCGCTTTACACAACTTGATGTAAAAAGGGCGAACAAAATTACGTACCTCCATATTGGTACATACACTTCTGGAGCACCTAATATTGTACATAGAAACAATTTTATAACTTACTTGCCGATAAAACTCTCTCATATCAACCGATTCACTGATAACATCAAGAACTGTGCCATGACAGACAAAACCATCACCTGTGAAACGGAATTGGGTTGTTTTCAATGCTCAAAATTTTTTTTTTTTTTTAGAAAGAACTAACATATTATGTAATTTATATAACTATTGCAGTGATGATATATATTCATGCTAATGATATGAAACTGCAATACTGATTGTTCAGCTCGACTCTTATAGAGTGTTGGAGTAATTGATTGAAATTAGATTGAAACGTAATTTACATGGGAAGTCAAAGAAATAGTAATTTATTAATTGTTTAGCATGATTCCGATTCAGGAGTACACCCTCATAAAATTGCATACCACAAAAAAAAATCCTGTTAGCTTTGTCTGAAAAAAGTTAGACTGTTCTGTACAACCCTAATTGATAGCCCATTCAACTAATATTTGGCTTCAGATATAGCAGTAGAGCCTAGACTTCCACATGGACATAATGCAACTATCGAGACAGTCAAATCATAAAAAAATTTCTCATTTAATACCGCTTGCTATGAATTCACAAAAAAACACTACAAAGAAGAAAAAGAAACAGCCTTGCAGAATCTAAGATAATGGCACAGTAATAAATAAATAAAGAGTCCTTAAAGTCTTGAAATTTCTCGAAATTGCGAAGGGAATTTATCCATACCATATATTGTTTTAGCCCTCACAGATGTATTAAATGAAATATAAATACTTCAACAATTACTGATCAAAAAACAACAAACCTGGTTAAGATATATTAAGAACCGACTTCATAACAAAATTGAAATTGTAAAGAAACTTCATGGACACCCTGTACTTACCAACATATCCAGTTTTACATGAACATTTTGTAGAAGAAGGTTCTGTTGGTGATGTAGATGGCAAATCAAGACAAGTAGCATGTGGAGAGCAATCTCCATTATTAGACGCACAAATTTTTGCTACTTTGCGAGAACATGTTCGGATCCCATCACCTTGGTATCCAGTATTGCATTGACATCTCGATACATTTGCACTTACATACATGCATCGAGCTTGTGGGTGGCATCCTCCTGTTGATGTCTGGCATGGATCATAACCCTCACATACATAACCGTCACCTAGAAACACGAGCTGATTTTAAATTTCTTCTTTGAAATGACACAAGTCACTCAGACCTCCTGAAAAGGTGACTCAAGCTGTATAGAATTTAAAGAATATATGTGTATGGCAAAAATGAATAACAGCTAAAGGCTGCAACAATGGTTTAGTCGAATGTGTCTCGTTTGACAATTTATGTAAATTTCTCTATACAGTATTTTTTTAATTTCAAATTTAGGCGCTCCCGTAGTATTCGAACCAAGATGGCGCACAACCTGCTAACCCTAACCTAGTACACATACTATGTTCAGGTTGTGCACCATCTTGGTACGAATACTACGGGTGCAATGAAATTTGTAACAGCTTCAGGTCATGAATTAAATAAAACAATGCAATCAATCATGAAACACTGTTTTTAAGACATGTCTTCAGAAGAATTAATGTAAAAACCTAAAGAAGCCTGATTAGAATTTTACAAATAGGAATAAAACTTTTGGTTTCTTCAGTATTGTCTAATCTAAAGACCAAAGCCAGATGAAAATCTGAAATTCTCAGGATATTGTAAAACGAGTGGTACCAAGCAATACAAAAAAATTGTTGACTGTGCCTCACTCCCAACTTATAAATATACAAGAATTGTCAAAGAATCTAGCCAAATTAAAATAATTAAAAAAAAATAAGCCTCCACTCACCAATAAAATTAGGTAAACACTTGCAGACAACTTTATCTCTAACAATTGAACAAATAGCATAAGGAGAACAACCACCGTTATCACTGCTACACATGTCCATAAACACACAAGAATCCGTACCATCCCCCCTGTAGCCAGGTTTGCAAAGGCAGGTGCCAGATTTTACACAATATCCATTTGTATGACAGGGTGGATTACAGATTGTGTCATCTGTCCTTTTCTGAAAAAAAAATGTTTAAAAGATAAAATGAAACAATGAAGAAGACAGAACTAACTCGGATTCAAAAATGCTCTATTCAGTATCTTGGTGGCTACTGCATTATGGTAAGAGACAATAACACATTACTCTTGCATCACTGATTGTCGTGCCAAGGTTATGATAGGATATACATAGTTATACTGGGGGGAGGAAAGCCAATAAGATGACTCAATCATATGGCAAACCACGGTCTCTCGTCCGAGTACCAGTCCATGTCGGGTATGTGATTAATTAGCCAGATGTTTGTTTTGGAAGCATAGACTTGATGGTGGAGAAAGCCGCAACCGACCAGCGGGTCACATGAACCATCCCCAAGTAAAGTAGCGAAGGGTCAGGCAATCCTCTCGCACATAACTATTCCTGTTTTTAAATTCAGAAAGTAGTTTATTTTTGATTTAATTTAACGAATAACTCCAAGTGACAGAAAGTGTTTTCCTTCACCAAGCATGCCTGTGTCTCTAGAAAGCACTCAGTAGCTAGATATTTCCATAGCCAATTTGAACTAGTAACTGGGCGAAATACTGCAATGATTAGCCTTAGGATTAAGCAAACCTTGTGAACGGAACCTCTCATTCAATTTACCTGATCACATTTAGGTCCGGTCCAGTTGCTGTCACAGAAACATGTTCCATCCCCGTTGATACCTTCAGCACATGAACCATGAACTGTGCATTGGCAAGGTAGACAATTTATTCCATATCTGAAAATTGATCACCAAGATAAATCAAATTAAAATTCTTGCAAGTAACAATTATTACAAAAGGCAGGTACCATTGTTTAAGAGTGTCAAAAGCATATCATGGTAACCGGACAAGGGGACGTGGTGCGGCGGTGTGGCTCAACAGGCCAAGCGTTAGGAATACGCTCGCCACCGCACCTCTAATTACTCTGCATGGGTTCGCAGGTTCGAATCCCATGCAGGGATGGTTATGTGCGAGAGGATTGCTGGACTCCTCGCCGTCCTTGGGTGGTTCACGTAACCGCTGGTCGGTTACGGCTTCCTCCACCACCAAGTCCATGCTTCCGAAAACAAACAATATAACTAATCCCATACCCGACTTGGAATGGTAACCGGACGAGAGGCCGTGGTTCGCCATATGGATAAGCCGTCTTATCGGCTTTCCTCTCCCCCGGGATAAATATGTAAATCCTATCCTACATAATAAGCTGTCTTATTGTCCATCCCTCTCTCTCATGATAAATATGAAAATCCTATCCTATACAAAACTCACAAAAAAAGTACAGTAAGTGAGATTTTGACAATAAAAAAGAACTATGATGCATCAAAAAAGCCAACAAATATATGTTTTAATCATACCATATCTTAATTAAGCTATGAAGAACAATATGCCTAATGCATTGTGAAATACAAACCCATGTAGTGATAATTGAGTCACATAATAAATGTCATCTTAGTTAACTTCCATGACAATATAAAGTCAAAATTCTTCCAGTTAAGCATTTTAAAAATAATATCTTACTCACCTTCCTGTGTGGCAGTTTTCACAAGCGTAACCAATGAATCCTTCTTTACAAGTGCAAGTTCCATCTCCAGTTTGACCATCATCACACTCTCCATTGCCACTACAAGGATTCAGAGCCCCTCCTGCCAAGGATAAAAATTCTTAGATGTATAGTATATCTGCTTCCATGAGGTCCATGTTTGCGGAAAAAATAACTGGCAACTCAATCCCATACTCGACTTGGATTAGTAACTGGACGAGAGGCTGTGATTCGCCATCATTAAGCCACCCTTTCGGTTTTCCTCTCCCCCAGGATAAATAAATAAATCCTATCCTAACCTCGGGTAAGTTTTTTTTTAAATATCAGTGATCTTTTGAACTTTAACTGAAATACAGAGCCTAGTTGACATTGAGCAATATGGAAAGTCAACATTAAATTTAACAAAACATAATTCAATAAATGATTATAGTATCGGGAAGGCAAACGAAACCTCAAGTTACTTGGCGTGGCGGTGTGGCTCAACGGGCTAAGCGTTAGGAATACGCTCGCCACTGCACCTCTAATTACTCTGCGTGGGTTCGCAGGTTCGAATCCCATGCAGGGATAGTTATGTGCGAGAGGATTGCTGGACTCCTCGCCGTCGTTGGGTGGTTCACGTAACCGCTGGTAGGTTACGGCTTCCTCCATCACCAAGTTCATGCTTCCGAAAACAAACAATATAACTAATCCCATCCCCGACTTGGAATGGTAACCGGACGAGAGGCCGTGGTTCGCCATATGGATAAGCCGTCTTATCGTCTTTCCTCTCTCCCGGGATAAATATGTAAATCCTAATCCTAATTCTACTTGATGTGAAGTATGTGAGCAAAATTAGTTACCGGTACCTCCATATTGGTACACACACTAAATGTGCTCCTGAATTATACGCTAAAAGATTACCTGGGCAGGCATGACAATTTGTTCCATAGTGATTTACACAGCAATTGTATGTCACATTATAAGAAGCGCAAGACAAATGACAGCCGGTGACTGTTACTTTACTTGTTGAAAACACTGGAACTCTCTGAAACCAAAAAATATTGTTATATTTACATTAAAGGAACAATAGTTGCAGATTAAAACATTTAAAAGTTAAGAATCTAGGAAAGTGCTTTCAAATTGGGGGGAGGGGGAATTTTGCTATTAACAATAAAACTGGTTGTAATTTATAAAAATGTGTTATGTATTCGACTGACTATCTGGTGTATACACTGGTGCACTGGTGTATACACTCCATGGTGAATATTTAGATACAATTGTAGTTAAGTTAGGAATTAAAATTCCATGTCACACCACATTAGTGGAATTGTTTGAAATATCAGGAGGTGTTAACGTTTAAAAGGAGGGTGTTGGGAAAGTACTGATTTCATCCACATCTATGCAAGCAATGCAATATTTTCTCTCAACAAACCAAGTTGAAATCATTGCCCAGTAAAGTCAGCAAATCAGGCGCCATGTTCATAAGTACGGAAATGATGGCGAGTTTTTAAGACAATGGTACGTTAGGTTAGAACTCTTGTTCTTTTACCTAACATATTTATATCTGCTCAAAACTCTGACTTTTTATTTCAAATGTTGACAAAATATTGACAGACTTTGATCCAGTGGCAGCCAACGTTCCCTCTAAGAGCTTGCTTAGTTGTGCAGAATAGAAGGCCATGTAAGCTCCAAAAAGGTCTGCGCGGAACATTGGAAAAAATCGAAAAGAAAACAACATTTTAACGAACATAGAATTGTCAATACTTATGCAGTGCACGGCAGAACAAAAGTGCTGCACGGTACTGCGCGAGGATTCTTGGCCAGCTGCGCAGCTTAGAGGGAACGTTGGTGGCAGCAATAACCAACTTACACATTCTGTCTTTTCAATTAGCTGTGTCCCTTCTGGACAAAGTGCTTCTCTGCTGCTGATGCAAAGCTTACAGTCTGTAGTAATTGTAACATTTTCTACAACATCACATCGACCGCCGATTGATGGGGGGTCCAACACCTGGAGCAGAACGGAATTTCAAGTTATTCATTTGGATTCGGTGGAACTAATTACTAATACTTTTTCTATGCTTTTGTGCCGGTGGGTATGTCTGCATATAATGCAAGGATAGTATAGCAGTTTCAAAGTCACGGAAGCAAATTTTACTAGAAAAGGTTGAACACACAATACTGGGAAAGGGAAATCTTTATCCTTCAACGAAGGTAGATCAAGCATCACAAAGTTAAAAAATACTTAGAATTTTCTGCATGAATTTATAAATTTATTTTCATGCATCAATCATTTTTAAAAAATTCAATATTGCAGGATATGTATTTTGGGCTGTAATAAAGTGGGCAGATGTGCCAAACCAGGACACTTTTGGGCTTTCCAAAATGCAGTCTTTTGAACACACCATAAGGTGTCAGTGGTCTGTGGTGAATGACAATTTTCTGGGCAAAAAGAGTGAATAAGCATCCTATAAAGAAGTTTGTAACTCACTTTATCAATAATATAAACAGCAGCTTTCGTTTCTTGACCATCAGAAGTTTTTATAAAGAAAACATCAAATCCAATAACAGTGGCTGCCCCTTCATTTATAACAATACTACCAGATGGACTGTTACCTGTGCCACAGCTGAGTCGTAAACTGTTAAAATAAAGAAAACAGGATAGAATACTGTTTTTAATCAAAGTACATTAATTTCAATGCTCGGCGGTGTGGCACATTGTGATTAGTGTTAGGCGTACGCTTGCCACCACACCTCTGATTCCTCTGTGTGGGCCCGAAAGTTCGCATCCCATGTAGGATAGTTATGTGCAGAAGAATTGCTGGACTCCTCCGCTCCTTAGGGTGGTTCACATAACGGCTTTCCCTTCCATCAAGTCCATGCTTCCAAAATACTAACTGGCTAACTAATCTCATACTTGTCCTGGACTGGTAACCAGGCGAGAGGCCTTAGTTTGCAATATGGTTAAGCCGTCTTATCTATTTTCCTCCTTTCCGGGATAAATATGTAAATCCTATCCTAATTATTATGAAAATGTTTGTCATTGCACTTCTGATAGCCTCACATGGGTTTGTGGGTTGAAATTCTGATGTAGATACTTGAGTATCAGATGATAAATTATTGCACTCTTTGCCATAGTAAGATGGTACAATTAACTGCAATTTGTTTACAGCTTAATTCACCATCAATTTCACACATCTGAAATGAATACCTATTCCCATACAGGACATGAACTAGTAACCGTAAGAAAAGCTGTGCTTTATTTAATGCAATGCTGTCACATCATCAACAATAGGTTTCAGAATTTCTAATTCCTCATCTACTACGTAGAATAATATTAGATTTTTATATTCATCCCAGGGGAAAGTAAAACCAAAAATCTGACGTAATCATATGGTGGACTATAGCCTATCGTCTTGTTATCAATTCATGTCAGATGTAGGAATAGCCCGACTACAGCCTGTGATCTGTTCCAGATACTTGGACTTCCCCAGAGAATTTCAATCTGCGAACTCGGGCAAGGAAATTGTATTCCTATGCTTAGCATGATACTGCAACAATCAAATATTCAACTGACTAGGTGGAATCGATGGTACTGTTTGGTAATATATTAGAGTTTTGATATAAGTAATAATTATTTAATCAAATTCGTCCAAAAGAAAACAAACAAATAGCCATCCTACTCTGAGCCTTGCATTGTCTTCAGTTTTTCTTTCAAATTCACATCAGTCGGTGTGTGAAAACTTTCTCTGACTATATGATATCTACAAAAACAGAAAAATTTATTTTTGTCATCTTGAAGAATAGTTCATAAATAGTAGTAAGTATTAATACATGGTGAAAAGTTATCCGAACAGGTGCCATGCTCATAAATACCAAATTATAGTGAATGTTCATAACATCGGTCAGTGATGGGATTCAAAATTTGGGAACAGTTTCTTTTGTATCAAATTTACTGGTTTCCCAATTTCAGAAAATGTATGCATGTCTCCACGTAAACTCCATTAGCGTGACACGCCGATATAAATTTGACTAAAAATTTATCTAAATTTCAACTGAAAAGACATCGAATTTTGGATGTAAATACAGCAGCCTTGAGATACTATACCGTATAATATATGTGGAGGTAAACAGAGAAACCAGAAAACAAAAAATATAACAAAGTCGTATTACTAACCTAATATATTCCCTGGCATATGTTTGATCACTGATGAACGATCTTAATCGTTGAGCAGGCATGTTTTCAAACGCATCATTCGTTGGTAAAAATAAAGTTAGTGGATTGTGGATTGGATTTTGCAACAGTGGAAGATCACCAGATGTTTGCAGGAGCTGTGAAATAAAAGAACTTTTTTTGTAACTGAAATTGTCCAAGGTTTTGAATAGTTCCAACAATACATTTTAAACTAAAATAGGTAGTATATCTATTAATGATATTTTAAGTATACATATTTGTGAGCTTTCATTGGATTATAGCCAAAATCTTTAGCTTAAATGAGATATAAATGTGAAACAGAGATAATAAAAACAAGAGAGCTGTGCTCAAATATATGGACACGTCACAAGGTTTCGCTATTTTTTATTCTGACACATAGAAAAGGAATCTCTAAGTCCACAGAAATTTCAAAATAAGTAAAAGTAATAGTCTTCTGGCTAAAAAATCAATCTTTAACCACTGAAAATTTCAAAGCAATTGGTCCAGTATTCGAAGAGAAAAGCGATTTCATCATGACGAAAGAGAATAATAATAACAAGAACAACAACATAATATTGAAACGATCGTTATGTACACTGACGTGCCCAATTATACAGTTTAGCTATTTTGTTTAGAAGCTTGTAACTCAGAAATTTGAGGCCAGTCATTAGAAAATTTGTGTCATTGGCATTGTTCTATTGCTAATTCTAACAAATACTTTAAATATAACGGTAGGTATAATCAGGATCTGGCTACAAGCAATCATTTTAGATTAGAAAAATAACATAAGCAAAGAAATGTATTCTCATGAAAAATGGATCAGATTTTCCAAAAATGTTTTCTTGTTTCACTATTCAACGTTTGGACGGTGCTTATTCAAGTTTTTTGTCAAAATAAGCAGTCAATGATATTTAAAGATATGTAATGTGAGCCATTAGAATGAAAGCGCAGATTGCCTTGCTCTTCGGCATTTGCTAGCCATTTTATTACACCACTGATGAAGTAGAGACAAATAGAGAGCATTTGAACCCCAATGTGAACCCTGCAATGCCATCACATTTCAGTCTAGCATTTTAACATTTCAAAAGCATTGCAAAAGTCCTAATGTTAGCCACTTACTTCAGCAAAAAGCAAATAATAAATAAAAAAATTTAAAAATTTCAAAAGAATAAGTTCCATTACTCACAGTTGCCACCCATTTGAATCCACTATCCAATAAGAGCTTTGTATTCTTATATAATGGATTTTCTGTATCAGATGTGTTTTGAATATAAGGTTGTAAAAATTGTGGCATTTTACGCAGTGTATCATTTGTATTCGTTACTCTTGAAACCGATTTTGGAACCAACGGAGAAGAGATTTTATACAAATTTCCATTCCAAAATTTTATTGGATCACCAAGAACACTGAAAGAAATAATTTTATATTCACATTTTTTGAAGTCAATTACAAGAAAACGAGGGTGGTGGGTTGCGCATTGTGTTAAGCATTAGAAATATGCTTGTCCTCACAATTCTGATTACCGTGCATGGGTTCGCAGGTTCAAATCCTGTTGGAGATAATTATGTGCAAAAGAACGTTTCAGTATCAGTTATTATCAGTCGTGCGGTCTACAAATTTACTTCTGTGATGTTCGTTTGACTAATGCCAGACTTCCTTGGAATTAATTTAACTAATAATATGTATAGTCTATGTGATATTCATATTTTTTGAGGAAGTCTCACCTTTGAGAAACGAATCATTACAGAAATACATTTGAAACACTGTGCAGTAAGGCTTCTAAATATCTTAGAATAATTATCATTGGTTCTCGCAATATACACATGTGAATCCACCAATGAAAATTCATAGGAGAAGGATAAGTAATTGGTCTTGTATAATACAAATTATTGCAACATATATTTATTAATATTCATTTTTAATTATAAGAGCGTTGTTTAAATAACTTGGTATGTTTATTTATGATACCTGTTGATATATAGGGTGTTCATAAAATCTTGAAATTATTAAAATTGCAAAGGGGATTTATCAAATACCATATATTGTTTTGGCCCCCAAGATAGACCTGGTTAAGATATATTGAGAACTGACTTCAAAACAAAATTGAAATTGTGAAGGATTTTATTTATTGCTTGTTCTTAGTTTGAATAACGAATTCAACTTCTGAATGATACCTGATGTTCCCATTAATCATCAACCCAGAATCTGTTTGAGAAATATCCAAAATATCTCCGGCAAAAGTTCGAAGTTGTGTAACTTCAGTCAGATTGATGACACATCCCGTGATATGGTTCAAGTAAATCTATAAAAAGAGAGGAATTACAGAACTTCTTCATGAGAATTGTTACTCTAAGACAGAGGTGGGCAACATATGGCCCGGCAAGATTTTGCCCGGCCGGCTGACTGTTTCCAACCACACTCCGCAATGTGGTCTGACGCATCATTCTTGAAGTTACCGATCGCTTTACTCTCACCGCACTGACGGTGCGAGCTGGTGAAATAAAAAAATTGCCTTAGTGAACAAACAATTGCTTTAGCACACTTGTTAAATAAACAATATACGATCAAAGCAGAGAGAGTTGTAAACATTCCCCACCAATGTTATCAGTTATATTTTGATTCTAAATATAAATAGATTTCAGAAATTAGATTTTATCTAAGTTTTATTAACCATGGAATAATCAAAAAAAACGTAAAGTTGACAGTGAGTGTCGAGCATTTAACAAAGATTGGATATCGTAGCATTTTTGTAATAATCCGGCACGTCGAGGACTTCATTTCCCACGTCTGGCCCGTCGACTAGAAAAGTTGCCCACCCCTGCTCTAAGAGCTATTGTGTCCCGGAATTTAAGATATTTTATTGTTCACATGGACCTCATTCAGGCCTTAGGTTCTTTACATGCAGCCACTGGAATCTTAGAAGAAAAAGAAGCGAAGCTCGTTTTTACCGCAGCACTCGATGGTAAAATTCAAAAAACTGATCGTGGCACGAAAAGTGTTAAAGTGGGATTAGAGAATATCTGAATGTGTTTTTTTTTACTCACACTCATGTATTAACACAATGCATGATTAATTTTCCACCTATATTCTATGTCACGAAGTAAAAAAAAATAGGCACAAATCAGCATACTGTAAAAAAACTAATGATCATTCTTTAGGCACTTCCATAAAATCTATTCCAACTGTTAGGGTTATAAATATCCATAAAAATTTAAACATTTTATCTTACTTGAGTCGCACTTTCTTCATAACTCAACCAATTAGAAGGGAGTCGCATCATGTCGTCTTGTGTTGGAAGAAACACATTAAGTGGCCCATCACTGTTTAGTGTATGAGGAACTAAGGAAGCAAAACTATCCATGAGTGTGAACCACTCAAACTCTGGTCGTCCAGATATGTATGAGAATATTGTGCCTGAAAAGCGAATTTAAATTAACAAAAATATCAAAGTAATAAATATATATGCCAGTGTTTCATGGTAAAATGCAGATGTTCTCAAACTGATGATACATTTACATCCAGATAGGAGAAGTGGATTTTAATGGCTGCCTGTTCGTATGACTCCCTCCTGTCTATACCAAACTAATTTATTAATTTTCATTATTTTTTATTATTACGATGACTGTTATTTTATTTTGGTTGCTGAAAAAATAAATCTTTCTCTCTCTCTCTCTATCAATCTATCTATCTGTAATGTGAACCTCGGTGCTTTGAATTTAGTAACATTAAATTCTATATATATATATGACAGTTCAGTGACTGTGTATGACCGTTAGAGCCTCACGCTTAACATGAGGAATACGATTGCCATTGCACCTCTAATTACGAGTTTGAATCCTGTGGAGAATAATTGTGTACCATGGGAATTTCATAATCTTGTTGGCTTTCCTCTCCCCAGATAAAAAAAAAATTTCTATCTTATCTTTGAACAATGTGATATATGTGCACTTATTTTTGCATATAAACCATAGTTTGGCGGGACTTCAGGGTTGAATCAGTGGAGTCCAGGGGTTCCACAAATTCCCATTCAAATCCGAGAATCTATGGTAATATATTGTTCGACCGTGATGAAATACCCATTAGGATTTGCCATTCAAGTACTTTCGTTTTGCTAGTTCAAGTTTTTTGCTCTATGTATTTTTACTTTACACAATTCAGGCAATAAAAAACAATTTAACTATTGCACGTGGCTCCTTCAACCTCATTGGGGTTCCCCAACACCAAAAGTTTTGAGAACCAATGATTTAAACATTAACAATAACAGTGCCCCAATACATATTCAGGCTGTTGTTTGAGAATGCACTTTCCAGTGTCACAACCATGCATTTGAATGCCAAAATCACAGTATTTACACAATAAAGTGCTTATTCCACTCACCAGTACAATTTATGCCGTTTCCCACATAATCAATCTTACATGTACAAGATCTGATTCCAGGTCCTGTAGTTTTACAAACTGCATTTTCACTACAGCCTCCGTTGTCTATAAAAAAACAGTGTGAAATTGTCTCATAGTCTTTTCCTATAATTTAAGGATTTTATAATAATTCCATAATTTGATATTCATATGTATAATTTCAAAACATGCACATACGTTTTGCAAAAACTAATATGAATACTATTACAGTATTATTTGTGGTTTACAAAAAATACTATAAGTGTGGACTTGAATATTTTAGATTTATAAATAAAGTGATTTTTTCAATATGCTTTAAAATATTCCCATATTCAATCCAAATATTTGGATTGAAATTAGCCTGAGTCCACAACACCAAGTGCTTAAAATATACCTTTCTTGCACAAATCCAATGGACTACAAGATTTTCCATCTCCTTCATAACCTTCATTGCAAACACAGTTTGACATATTTGCTCCAATTTGAAGGCAAATTGCGTTATCATCGCATGTTAAAGCAAATCCATACAAGCAGGGATTGACTGGTCTACAGTAAGTTCCATCACCTTCATAGTTTTCTTTGCAGATGCACTGATGTATACCAGGCTTAACAAGTCTGTAAAATAGCATAAAAATTACTCAAGAAAGAAGATATGAAATGTTTTTGACATACCGATAGTTACGATTTGGTATAATATCTATTGTAATAAACAAAAGTAAAATGAACTGATCTCTAGACAAAGCTAAAAGCATCACTGAAATCCCCAGAGCGGTGCTCCAGAAGTGTGTGTACCTATATGAAGGTAACAAATTTTGTTTACCTACTTACATCAAGTTGTGTAAAGGGACTGAAACCTATGGGCAGGGGGTACAGTATATTCATTTGGCTTCACAGACAATCCCCGAACTTTTAATAGAACTAGAATAAGGAAAATCAGAATAAAATTATGGTCTAACCCTAACCTAGTACATATACTACGGGGGCATCCCAGAGCTACTAGGATCATATAGACTTATAGTGGTTCATTATGCACCCCATAAATGCCAGGGGAACTACACTAGAAGCAAATCATTTTGAAGACTCAATCTTGAAGACTCACAATTAGAGAAACAGCTATGAGGCAGTGAATTCTGGAATTGACATATTCAAAATAATACTTACTGACAGAAAGCACTTTGGTGACATCCAGTTTCGATTTTTGGATCTTTGCAGGGATTAATCACATTACAATTAGTACCATCCCCTTCATAACCAGCAATGCATTCACATTTTGTGCCAGATCCAACCAGTAAAGGAACACAGTTTGCAGCACTATGACAAGTGTTGTTGCAAGTATTGTTTTTGTTTGCCTCTTGGTCACAAAATTGACCACGGAAATCTGTGCCATTAAAATCACAAGACGTGAAGTAATCATCACTACTTTGTTTGGTTTCTACATCAAATTCATATTTTTTTTATGCAAGAAATCCATGCTATAATACATGTAATTGATATTATTTCTTTTATTATCACATTGTTTTTAGTATTCATTCCATGGCTAAATTGAATAAAATAAAAAATAATGCAACGCTTGTGAAGGTTTTGTGAAAAAGAATTAAGCACTTAAGCATACAAAAATCGGTAAAAACTGTTGAAACAGGAGTGATATTCTAGACATAAAAAGTCATCAAACATGTTCGAAGCAAATAGGATTATCTACAAATATATCTACCGGTATAAATTATTAACAGGCCATAAAATTATTGCTTTCGATACAGAAATTCTGTAAACAACTAATACAAGATCATTCTCTTAACAAACTGTGTCAAGGACGATCTACTTTAGTCATTTTCCCCATGAGGTTTAACGTTATCAATTGATAATTGAAACTAGATGCTTTCCTAATAGTGACTTAAAATAACATCACTCATGAATCAAAATTTTTCTTGAAATATATTCCTTGAATATATAAGTAAAATATTCAAGTAATCCAGAAATGTTTAAGGTACCGGTAAGTAAAATAATACTCACCAAGTTCGCATGTGCAAGACCCATCGCCGTTAATACCATCGTTACATATTCCATTAACACATTTGCATTCTTGATCACAATTTCTGCCAAATCTTCCTCCAGCACAAGTCTCACATGCCAGACCAGAATGTTTTGAATCACTGCATGTGCAACTTCCTTATGATATGAAATATAAGTGCACAATATATATTGGGTATTACGAGACTGGCTACTTATCTTCCTATGATTTTGAGGGCATGGAACCATATATATATGAGCAATTCAAGAGTCTTCCTGCACACTGACACAAATTTCTATACCGTTTGATCTAACCAAGGTTAGTTTAATTACTATATATCCTCTCTTATAAGCCGAGTTAAAAATAAAAAAGAGTTACCAAACTAGGATGTCACGAATTGTAGGGTCGGATTATATGCGAAGTTTTACGAAATTCACAGTTTAGGTCTGTTTTTAGGGGGTTAGCTTGTTTGCCTAAATATACAGTATTTATGTCTGTATAGTTGAATTATGTATGTCTGAGCAAGTCTCAGCTTAGTCAGACGAAACACTACAAAAATATTTTTTGCTCAGTGTGCAACAAGACCATCGAATCACTTACAATATACAATTTCTGGACCTACTGAAGTATGCGCACCAAGATGGCGCACAACCTGAACTCAGGTTGTGTACCAGGTTAGGGTTCAGGTTATGCGACATCCTGGTGCGCATACTTCAGGAGTACCCAATTTCTTTTATTTCGACACATTGCAGAAATGCAAAAACACTACACACAAAAATATATCAGATAGAAAATCTTGAAACCTGATAACAGAAGCCTGTGCTAGCTTATCAAAAACATTAACTGATGTAAGATTATTATTAAATCTGTCATTTATAATACTCAAAATTAAGCTTTTAAAATCATATTCACATTGAAAAATGTGAGCAATTAAGCAAGGACTTTTTATCACACACCATTTCCTTTCATTGAATCCCAGCATTTTCCTCTTCCAAAACATATGTTGCCAATTCCTCCTGGGCAAGGATCACAACCGTCTCCAAAGAAACCATCACAACATTTCGGAATGCGAATTGGTTCAACACAATTCATCTGGCAACCCACACTGCCTTTGATGGCACCGCTTCCAGTTTTGTGATGGTACATACAGTGGCTCTGAAAGAGTTGTTGATTACCATAAAATATGCTGCTAAATCAGGGGTGAGCAAGGTTTTAGAACCAGGGGCCAACAATTCAGTCTAAGTAGACTGACGGGCCATGTAAGTGTGGCGTGAAAAAAGTTACAATCTATGAACAATAATGTTACAAAAGTAGGAACAAGAAGCCTAATGCCAAAACTAAATTTTATCATAATTGCAACGAATTCCTTGAGCTTTTTTTTAAACTAAAACATTAAAATTTTGTGGTAGCGGGCCATATTGAATTACCCAACAGGCCGGATTGGGCCAACGGGCCGTAGTTTAACTCACGGGTCGTAGATTGCTCATGTCAGTGCTAGATTCTTGTCATAGAATACAAAAATCATAAAATTGAATTTCTGGCAAATTTGAAGAAATTAATATAAATTCAATTTGTATGTTAGTTATATTATTGATTGGTATTTGGTCAAATTAATGAAACTTATTGATGAAAATACAAAATAGATCGAAAATTTGAATTCAATTTCGCTTGAAAGAATACATAATATGAGCTGCAATACTTACAAAGCAATAATGTCTATTGTCAACTGATTTTGGTAACAATAAATTATCGAAGATCATTTAATTTAGCATATAACAGTTAACATTTTGAAAAAAATCTGAATGTTTACTTCAATTTATCAAATAGTACGATAAAAGGCACAAGCAGAATATTTTAAGTCTGGAATAAATATTTATTTTCCAGCTTATAACATACTCAAACTGCACTAGTAACCAGATGAGATGGCCTTTTCAGGATATGGAATAATTATGAAAATTCAATCTTGTCTATAAAGCTGTCAAATTGTGACAAAAACAGCTTATGAGATACCTAAACAATAGAGAGAGGGACCAGATAAGAAACCTTGGTTCGCCACCATCATATTGGCTGTCTTCTTTGAAAAATATTTACGCTTATTATCTTTTTAAAAAAGCTGCAAAATTCAAAAATATGATGAAATATTTTCAAGCTTTTTCAACACCAACCGTTGAAATTAACATAGCATTAACTGGACATCGATTTGGATATGAACAAGGAAGACAAATTGTTTGAGTGTTATGAAATGATGATCCATCACATCTTGTCTTCACTGCTGTCAAAAGCTTTCTTGACAATCCATGAATTATACCTAAATAAAAAATAAAAAATTCAAATCCATCCAGAGAAAAAATTTAGAACCTCAACATGAAATTGTTTTGAGAAAATTAGTAAACATATATTTTGATTTTCGAAGCCATCCAACATTTTATTGACTTTTGTGAACATGGCTTTGAACTTTGATTATGAAACCAGTGAACAAAGCATCTGTTTTTCTATCTTTACTTTTTCAAATGTTTGCCCCTTTGTCTCAAAACTGTGAAATATTTTGGAAGAATGTAATTTACATTTTTGAATCAAGGTAAGGAATAGAATTCAAAAATCATGATCACAATCATATTGCTTATAAGTACTGTTTAAATGCAAATAATTGTTTTTGGCAGAATAACTGTATTGTGAATAATGTTCGATGATTTATGATAGTTTTTGCACATTTTAGTGAAGTTTTTGACAAAATTCCCAGTGGTGTTAGGAATTTTTGGATGGTTGTTCAAAATCTTCAGTCTGGAAGTAACAACTTTTTTATATTCAATCGGTATATTCCCTTCTGTTGATCTGTTTTATTTTTTTGTTTGGGTGAACTCACGTTTTCAAAATAATTTTACATAATTATTAAAATTAGTCTTGAATAAAAAAGAGTTTGATAAATTTCAATGACTGAAAATCAATCTGAACTGAATATTGAACAATAACTAGAATTAGCTAAGCCTAAGCCTAAGATTAATAATTTTACTTTTAATCAAAACTGGAGAGACAGCTGCTTCCCTGTAAACTGGAAAAACTTCTGAAAATATCCAACAGGCACAATAGTGTTCCACAACATGCAGCTTGAGAATTATATCATACCTGGGCACTTCCGTAGTATGTGAACCAAGATGGCGGACACCAGAACGTAGTATGTGTACCAGGTTAAGAGTTATGTTATTTCAATTTTTCTCATTTTATTTCTCTTACGAGTTCGGGGAGTAGCCAAGTGACTCCCGTAGTATTTGTACCAGAAATTATGGCCTAACCCTAACCTGGTACACATACTACATTCTGGTGTCCACCATCTTAGTTCACATACTTCGGGAGTACCCACCTAATAGTGTGCCACAGTATTCAGTTTGAGAATTATATCGTACCTGTTGATGTTCTGATTCCCGTAACAGAGACACTTTGTCCATTGACTAATATAACGCCATGTCTTTTTACTAAGGTTATCTGAAAAAGAATCATAAAGAGCAAACCTAAGAAAACACTGATAAAAATAAAATATGTGTTGTGAGAATGGGATTAATGGCTAATGGCAAGTCTGGCAATATCAAACGTCAGAAATGTCCTCCGCGAGACTGCCAAAGTTAATGGCCTGAGTTAATAGTAATCCACAGAAGTAAAATATTAAGAGAAACTCAGAAAGCCACTGCTGTAAATGTGTTATGTACCAGGTAGATTTATGGCTAATGTTTATGAGTCTGAAAACATGAACAGGTACAAATGTTATCAGTGCTACTGTGATATAAAGTTAGTAGCAAAGTAAAAGTAACAATAATACCATAGCAATATTAGTCAGTAGAAGAATGAAAGGCCACCCACAGCAGATTTGCACATTATTTTAATCTCTACCATATTAGAGTTATAGATGAATGGTAAATATAAAACTTTTCATTTTTTTCGTTATATGGAATATCAGTTGAACACAGATTATATTTAACGTACATCTTGAAATATAAGCGAAAAGAGTAATACAAATGCCCCAAACACATGTAATAACAATTAAAATCATCTTATTTCATATCAATAAGCTGTAAACTCACCTTATAACCAGATCCAAGTAAAGAATTTTCATGTTCCCCACTATTAATGTCATTGATTCTGATCAATTTACTTGGTATCACATGATAGCGAATAATATCAGCAACATTTGATGGAGTCGCATTTTTGAGAGGAAAACTGGAAAAGATTTATTAATAGTTTAATGCAAGTAGTTTCCAGTCTTTTGGTGGAGCAAAACCATCAACAATCAACAAATCCGTGTGCAATACTTGCAAACTATCATATATATAAAAGCAAGTCGGTAGTCCATGCTTCCAAAAACTAATAGTTGGCTTATTAATCCCATATCCGACAAGGACCAATAAGCAGACGACGGGCTGTGGTTCGCCCTCCTCTCCCCCGGGATAAATATGTAAATCATAGCAAACCTAATAGGTTTTTGATTATATTCAAACAACATACATTTAATGATATGGATTTGAATAGAAACCTGGCCTGTACTGGCAGACCGTGGTTAAAAACTGCTGATTAAATTATTTTTTTTAACAGATTTTGTAATTTATGAACTAAACATTAAGTTTAGTAAGGTGTAATTTTTGTATTTTAAACCAGGGACAAAGGCAATAAGCCATAATAATGGAGCAATAGACTGTGTAGTCTTTCCGAGTAACAACTAAAATTTGGGAATAAGAATATTAATAAGTAACTTGCAACAGTTTATAAGCATGGAGGCTAAAGAAGCTATAATCAACCGGTTTCAACAAATACTCTATGACAGCAAAATGTCTATCAATACTCTTGATACAACGATATCAGTAATTGAAATCATGATGTTGGAATTTATGAAATACTTCATTTTTAGGTCAAAATGATAAACAAAACATAAATACTGAAAGTTTATGCAGCGATTCAATCATTAATCAGTATTTTATTTTATCCACCGTACATGAAATATCGTACATTAATGAATAGAGAATGTAAAAAGAGACAAAACTGATAAGTCGAGGTGAAAAGGAGCTGCGAGAAACCAAGACTGGTTATCGAGCAGCGATACCCGTGAAAAAAAAACAGTAATTATTAATGGAATAAATAATTTGAAAAATTAGAAAAAGAAATTATAGTTGAGGCGACTTGAATTTCCAGGAGGAGCCCGATACACTAAAAAACAAAAAATGACTCCTTGCACCGGTATGCAAGTTACCACGCATGAGAATTGATAATAAAAATTAGGATAAAATGGAAATCCATTATATTGCTTTGCTTCCTTACTTCCAAACTAAAACACATAAATTTAGAAATCCTGCGTGACTACTAGTATAGAACTTTGTTCAAAAAGTAACAACAAGCCATTCTCCAAGAAACAATAATATTAAAAATAATCTTACTTGGTTGATGAATCTGGTGCTACAAACACAGTATAATGAGAAAGAGTTTCCTCAATCTGATCAATTATGCCAGTAGATACTAGAAGTCCAAGGAATTTGGTATATTGTTCAAGGTGAGTGCCAGTTGTATTCTAGTGAAATAACAAGTGAAAAATGCTGTGTTATGTATATCATACTTGAGTGAAGGGTACTCCCATAGTATGTGTACCAGGTTAGGGTTAGCCCATAATTTTATACCAAATTTCCTTATTTCAGTTCTACTACGAGTTCGGGGACTATCTGTGTTAGCCAAGTGAATATACCCCCATCGATGTCTGTCCCTATACACAACTTGATGTAAAGTGAGCGAACAAAATTAGTTACCTCCATATGGGTACACACTACACACAGAAGCGCGGAGTGAAAAAAAAAATAGTTTTGCTTAAATGAATAATCATAGACATCAACAGTATTTGTGAGTGAGTGCATGTAATACTGCTTTTAGCAAATTTCAATAAAACATTGTTTTTAATTAACTTGTTTAAACTTTATGCAACCATAAAAAATAGGCACATCGTGCTTGCAAACCAGAAAAATTCGAATTGTAGTACTTTATTGCTACTATTTCCACCAGAGGAGAGGCACTGATATGCCACATAATTGATCCATCTTATCGACTTTTCTCTATTCTTAAAAGTACGAATTATTCTATCTAAAATTGCCAATGAATATGGGTGCGATTGGTTTTCTGGCAACATTGTCTGGCAAAAGCATACTGGGTTTGAAAATCCCGCAGTATTACCTCACATTGTGTGTATAAAACGAGTGAGTTTTCGAACAGTGGAATGTACAAAGTAAAAGTGTAAAACACATTAAATGGTAGAAATGCTTGAACCCAGCAAACCCACTATGTTAGTATAAAAAGAATGGAATTCAATACTAATAAAAATCTGCCTCCCCTTTATTTTCATAACAGTTGTCACTGTTAAGGGCAAAATTGTCAAAATCATAAAATATTAGAAAATATCCTACTGATGATATTGCGCTTAAAGTAAGGTAGTCTTGTACAACGTCTCTGGGAGGGAGTAACACACTGTCTATGATGTGGATGAGTCTTTTATTCGAAACAGGAATATTTGAAACCAGAAGTTTTGCATAACTTTTGCCAATGGTTGGTAAGTTTGATTCTTCTGTGACATTAGCTCCAACATTCTAAAAATACAAAGATAGGTCTTTCAAAGTGCTGAGTATTCACACACAATAAGAAATATGTTTTATCGGTAACGAGTAGTAACAAATAGTCCTATGTCAGAATTGCACCTTAAAAAGATGGTGGACTAATCGTGGTGCATTCATCTTGACCTTAATTTACTTTTTGATTCCATTCCAATATTCGAGTCTGAATGCCCCCCAGCCTTACATAGCAGGTATAGCGTCGGACCAAACTGTGTTAGCATCGCGCGGCGGTGGGGCTCATCGTGCTAAGCGTTAGAAACACGCTTGCCATCGCATCTCTGATTACCCTGCGTGGGTTCGCAGGTTCGAAGAAGATTGCTGGACTCCTCGCCGTCGTAGGGTGGTTCACGTAACCGCTGGTCAGTTACGGCTTCCTCCACCATCAAGTCCATGCTTCCGAAAAACAAATAACTAAAACTAATCCCATATCTGACATGGACTGGTAACCGGACCAGAGGCCGTGGTTCACCATATGGTTAAGCTGTCTTATCGCCTTTCCTCTCCCCCGGGATAAATATGTAAATCCTATCCTATCGTAGTTTACAAATCTTGGGCTTGACTTCCATGCACCTCACCTCATCCTGGGTGTAATAAATTGGGTGGTCATTGATAAACCAGAGAGGTTTTTTAATTTTGGAATAATATTAGCTCCTTGTAAAGGTCCTTGTTGGGAGCAAAAGGCAAGAGAAAGTGTCATATAAAAAATAGGCATAATTGATTTCTGAAACTATGCAAAAAAGTATCTTTTCAAATCATTTCCAATTGTCGCTTTAATGCATAAGAAATTTTTAATATCATGTACTTACGGTGTCTACAGATCCGACTGTCACTTTATTGATGCTCATTCTGACGCTATCAAGTAAAGTTGGCAAACTTTGTCCAATTAAATCGGTCAAGGAATTTGTTTGAAGTTCCCCTACAATGAAATAAAAAATCACTGAAATAAACCACCAGTAATTCCCAATAAAGATGTCACATACAAAAGAAATACCGGGAATGATGAAATCCGGAAAAGAACAAAAATTAAAGTAAAGTTATACTTAGAGAGGATTGCAAAAACCCTTTAATTAATGCTTATCACTTAATACCTTAATACCATAAAATATAGGTGCTGCTGCTGATTATTTATATGTAATGGATATGAGAAAAAGAAAAGAAAATAGAGCAGAGCTCGAATATATGGTGCAAAGTATGAATTGCAACATAGTGCCACATTTTCAAAATCAAAATGATGTTAAAGCCATCGAGAAGAATTTGAAAAATTTCTGAGACACTGCCATATTGTACCACTGATCATTTGAAAGTGACTGGGTCAGTAGCTGGGAAAATAGGCAAATTTTGTTTCAATAAAACAATTATCTGATCAATCAGAAAGTCTATTTTGTGTTCATTTACTCTATAGCATACTCACGTTTGATAATATGGTTCTTGAGAAGAAACGGTAAATGCTGTTCGGTTATCCAAAAAGCTTTTTCATCATCAGAGAGTGAAAGCCAGGCTGAGTTACTTGGTAAGAAGCATGTCGAATCAGAATTCAGCTGAAAAACAGAAAATATTTCAACAAGTGCTAAATATCCACCTATTTACAGAATAAGGATAGGATTTATATATTTATACTGAAGAAGAGGAAAGTTGATAAGCCAACTTAATCATGTGGCAAACACTGACCTCTCTCTCATCTACTGACCGGTCCATGCCGGTTGCACATAACAGCTCTTGCACATAACTGCTGCTGACTTAGGTTGAGAGCTATACATAAGGAGTGTCTATGTGCAATGGTTATTGTTGATTCATATTCGGTGTGGCATTTTTATTTCACTATTGTTAAAATAAGTTGATTCCTCGAAGTTGGTTTATAGAACATAAAAATGTTTGGTTATTTTCAACAAACCCTGTGAAAAATTTCAAATTAAAATCCTCTTACATTCATAAATAGTCGCCTTATAGATGTCCACTGTGTTATAAATCTTTGTAAATTAGACAAATCAGGATGCACAGCAATTTCTTGAAGTAAATTCCCAAGACAAGTTAGTCCATCACCTTCATACCCATCATAACATTTGCAGGTTCGAACTCCGGGGCCTGACTTTATGCATCTGCCAGAATAAAGATCAAAAATAAAAAATTTAAATGAATTTAATGATGAATTAGATTCAATCCATGACATGCAATGAGTGAGCACCATCTGGCATTTCAGATTCAGGTATTTATTTCCATCGTGCAAGAATCAATGCCAAACAATAAGTATATAAAAAAATAACAAAAAAACGGGATTGAATCTAGCAATTGATGAGAGGCCACGAAAGACTCGGCCATCCAGTCAGCGACACGTTATTGCTAAGTTTAAGCAGCAAATTCAGGAAAGAAACAGTATTTTTTAAATTAACCTAAGATACACAATGATGAAAAGTTTAACAGAATAGTAAGGAAAACCATTGTAATATATTTCGTATAGATGTTGCATTAGCGACATCTAGAGAACAGGATATGCCTCAATGAGTACAAGCACAAAAAAATTTTGCTGACTAATATGACTAAGCATAAGAAAGTATTACATGTTTGTGATTTCAAATTCTGCGACCATCCACTCATTAGTCCAGGGACACCAGGAAGACTAGCAAGTGCCTTGCACATATTAAACCCCAATTATTCAGGCTAATTAACTAATGCAGTGTAATCAGAAACATATTGCAAATGCTTAGAGTAGGGGTGACCAATATACTTTTCTGAGTAGGGCGGTTACAGATAATAGGCATGGTTATGGGGCCAAAGGCTCAAAACGTAATATGAAAAACTATGAATTAAAAACAGTCTATTTACAAAAAAAGTCTATCAGCTTGTCTGACACTTAATTAATAATGAGCATCACAATCGGGCAATTATGACTTTATTTTCATCAATATTTTAACGAAAATTTATATTCCTAAAAACTAACGTGGAATTTCAAGAGACACAAGTGGAGTGGATGAGACACTTCGGTGGGTCAGATCCCCCGCAGCCACCTCTGGCTTAGTGCAAAGAGCCATCCATTGAGAAGAAGGTGGTTATTTAATGAAGGATTAAAAATATTAAAAAATTTAAAACTCAAAAAAAAATATTACTGTACTCACTTAGCCCTCTGATCACAGCCTCCATTATTTTCTAAACAGACGTTAATTTCAGTGCAAACAAAACCATCCCCTCTAAAACCTTTTATACATTCACATGTTCTTTGTCCAGGACCAGCAAAATTACACTGAGCAAAATCTGAGCACCCGCCATGATCCATCGCTGCACAGGGATCAACTGGAAAGCATGTTCGTCCATCACCTGTAATGCATTCAAATATACTTTCAATGCAAGAAACCTGTCTATAAATTTCAGTCATGTGTGTTTTGCATTTGGTTTTTTTCGCTTGTTGATATTTTATGAAGTTTAAATTAAACTAACTATCTTACTATTCGAAGTGATTTAATAGTCTTTCTGCTAATTAACACAAATATATTTCTGTAACATTTCGTCTGACCTTGGTTCCAGTTAAAAATGTTACAGAAATATATTTGTGTTGGTGTGCAGCGAAACTCCTGAATCATTTAGAATAGTCATCTTCACTATTGCTACAGCATCCTTGCATTATAAGCATACGGGTACAATGGCGCAAGAGCATAGAAGAAGGATAAGTTAATAAAAATTGTCTTAACAAAATTAATCTAACCTATGTAGAAAACATCCTACATTTCACTTACCAGAATAGTTTGGCAAGCATTCACAGGCTGTCATTCCAGCTCCAACATGAAGACAATATGAATTTGGATCACACGCACTGTTTTCTAGGCTTTCACATGGATTGTATTCAATGCAGTCATCTCCCGGACCTGTGTATCCAGGGTCACAGAAGCAGCTGTAAGAAATAATTGTTAATCCAGGGGTGAGCAATGACTTTTCTGAGTGGACCAGTTACAAAAAATAAACTTGGTTACCAGACCCGAAAGTTCGAAACTCAATATGAAAAACTATGAATAAAAAACAGTTTATTTAGGCTAGCACATTCGAAAGCTAGGCTAACGTTTATATAATAATAATAAGAAGCACAATGTAACAATCGGGACGTTGTTTTCATTGATATTTCCAATGAAAATTTATATCCATAAAAAAAATAGACGGAATTTCAGCAGACACAAGTTAGCAGGATGTAACGCTTCATCTGACCCGCGAGCCATAATTTACCCCTGTGTTAATCCAAATATAAAAGTGCAATAAAGATATAAAACAATTGTTCGATAACACAGGACAATGAAATCGGAGATGCATTTTCAAATCTTCTGTATTTAGAATTGAAGTCATATTTCTGCATTCCTCAATATATATACAACATAAGTGGAAAATATGAGTAATATATGAGTGAAAAATAAAAAAAGTGCAAATGCACAAGTATTTATGATCATATTTTTGTAATTCTGCGAATGAACACCTCAACCAACCTCAAGTGCATTTGGAATGCGTGTTATACCATACAAACCACCAAATTTGCCACTTATTTAGTTAAATATCAAGTCAGTGCAAATTAGTCACATTTGAGTAAAAATATATTTTTGAGAGCATATTTTTGTAAAAAAAATCAACCAAAGAGTTTGTGAGGAGGGAATGAAAGGAAATTTAATAAAATTAAAAAACTATGAATCCAAATACTGTCAGTCAAATTTGAACCATTTTAATGATTGTTTTTACTGTGCCCCAAAAGTCTGTGTATCAATATGGAGGTAACTAATTTTGTTCGCCTACTTTACATCACTTTGTATAAAGGGACCGAAACCTATGGGCATGGGGTATATTCATTTGGCTAACACAGACAGTCCCCGAACTCGTAATAGAACTAAAATAAGTTGTGTGAAGGGACTGAAACCTATGGGCATGGGGTATATTCATTTGGCTAGAAAGGACAGATGCCGAACTCGTAATAAAACTAAAATAAGGAAAATCGGCATAAAATTAACGCCTAACTCTAATCTACGAGAGTACCGATTTCTCTGTGTGGATATTTGTGACTAAAAAAAAGAAAGCTAGATTATAATATATCACACAAAGTTATACTCACCTTTCTGTTCCATTATCTCCCACCACACAAGACGCAAACTGATGACAAGTTAAAGAACCGTTTCCGCACTTTATTATTTTTCTATCGCAATTTTCTCCTGACCATCCTTCTTTACATGAACCAGGTACACATTCACCATGACTGTCAATCACATTACTACAGTTTCCATGGCGACAAAGACAGTCTGTAAATTTATGAGTCTTTTATAATTTTAGGTCATCAAGTCAAGTTTATTTTTTTGGTAAACCAGTATGAGTGAAGCCTTTACTCATACAAGCTATTAGGAATTTCAACGCAAAATCGAATAATATGTCAACGCTTTGCTATCTCTAGTATTCCAGGTAGTTCAACAAAAATGCAAAACATTCAATAGTTTTAAAGCAGTTCTACTACGTGCATGAGTTCTCAGTTAAGCCTCTTTTATCCCATTTATTGCACACGAGGCAAGGTTTTGAATCTGTGATAACATGCAAAAACAACACAGTCTGAACCAATGTGCTAACCACTGAGGGATAATAGAACAAAATCATGAAGACACGAGGATCGCCAAGTTAGTTGGAAGCACTGAAAGCTTCGAAATCAGTACAACATACACTTTTATGTATTTTATGACAACTTGATTGAATTATATATAGTAGCACCGTATTTTATGGGATATAAGACACAACCGGTACTAGTACTAGTCATGAGTTTCCAATAAACATTCCACATTACTAGTTTCCAATGAAGTATAAACCTGATCCATACATTAGCCGTGCCGGCTTAAAAGATGCAAAATCAATTTTTGAAAAGAAAAGGATTTGAAGTGCCTCATATGGTCTGTAAAACAGATAATAGTTGCATACCCGATTGGCAAGTTTTTCCATACTTAGTTGCATTTGAGCATTTGTCACACTGACTACCAGTAAACTTTGTATTGCATGTGCATCGTCCTGTGCCTGTCTCTCCATCAGCACACAATCCGTTGGTGTTACATGCATTGAATACCGGACCACTACAACTGAAGAATAAAATTAGATAAATTAAATCAAATCCTTTTCTTGTTTTTGTTATGACAAATAAACGACTGACTGACTGAGTATAAGTACAACAACACAAAGTATGATTAAGTTACTCAATGAAAAATACATTATTCCACAGTTTGAAATCATGTTTCCCAAAAGGATAAGAATTCATACCCAGGAAGGGATTTTGTTGTTCGTAGGGGAAAATTTTTCCCTTATGTAGGTTAACAAGTGAAGTTTTAGGGAGTTCTATCATAACTTTAGTGACATTAGTAACTCTATTTACTATTGAAGGTAAATAAAAAATTTTTGAGGCTTTGCTTTGGACCAATTTATGTGAAAAATTACATTATTGGTAATTTTCCCCAAATGTCAAAAAGGCTGACAATTGGGTTATGATATAACAGTAGGGTCATGATTTTGCTACATAAGAATCATTTCACCGATATACCTAATGATAGATGATTTGAATTGATAAATTGGAGGGACTGTGGTTCCTCATATGATGAAACAGCATTTTCTACGTGTTAGAAACATATTTGCCATCGCCCATCTGATTTTTTAGATGCAGTGGAGAATACGTTTAGGGCAAAAAATAATATTTTGTTACTGGGGCAGTCGCGTCTACCATCGAGTTCATGCTTGAAAAACTAATCAATTATCCCCAAAGACATGGACTAGTAACCAGACGAATGGTCGTGGTTTACCAAATGATTATGCTGTCTTATCATCTTTCCTTTACCTCTGGATAAATACAGTCGAATCTCATCTTTATAATGATTATAGAACAAGAGTATTTAAGTCGAGTCTAAAAATTGTTTTTTGACTGTTTTAAAAAACTACGAAACTAACATACGGTCTGCATTCAGCACCATAAAACCCTTGACAACAAGTGATTGATGTTTTATTAACATTGCAGAGTCTGTTGCAACCAATTCTATGACTGAGCTGAAGTGATCCATCCTCTGTTTGAGACTCGGCGTTGTATATGCATGTCAGTATCTAAAGATAGAAATTGAAATAATATAAGAATAGGACTTTTATATTTATACTCAGTGGCGCAGCCAGGGGGGGGGGGGGGGGGGAGGTCGACCCCCCCCCCCCCCTTTTGAATTTTCTGAAAAGTGAAAAAGTTGCTGATAACACGTGCAATTGCCTTCTGCTAAAATCGCCGTTCGTTTTCATCAACGCGGCGTGTTATTTATGCCGTGAACGCCATTTACATTGGTGTTTATTCTCTTTAAATCACAAATTTGTGCCGCGGGAACAATGATAAATATTTTATTTTTGTACTCGCACAGAAATGTGAAAACTGAAAAAGCGTGCAATTGCCTTCTGCTAAAATCTCCCATGTTTTCACCAGTGTTATTTAGGCCGTAAACACCCTTACGTCAGTTTTTATTCTTTCTAAATCATAAATTTGTGCCACGATAAACATTATAATTATTTTATTTTTGTACTTTGCACGGAATTGTGAATTCGTGAGTTATTATACGTTCATCGGTGGCGAGGTTCTAAAGACAAAAGGAGTAAAACCGCGATCCAAATTTGATTGAAAAGCGGCAGTATAAAATACTGAAAATAAAACCGTAAACAATATAAGTTTTGTTGAGTCCCGCGACAGTCTAAAAACGCTTTTCTAGTCGCAAAATCGCAAAATTTCGTGTGCCTACGGCGCCCATTATGTTTGGTCGCCGTTTAGGAACATACCGTCACTAAAATCGAAACACGGTCAATTGTGGGTGGGATTTGCCTTTTATCCATTACTTTAAAATTGTCGTAGAAAATTTTCGTGTTATCATTAAACAAAGTTGAAAACGCGATTTTTTTCCCGGTATGTGATGATATATAAGATAATTAATCCGAAGTATATCCACCAATTTTTTTTTGTACTGAAATAAATTTTACTCCATGAGAATTTACAGCAGATTTACGGATTTTTCAGGAGGTTTTATCTTTAAAAATAATCGGAGTGTCAGCATTGCGATTGAACGGAGTCAATGTTACAAGCACATTTCAAATTTGTCGAATTTGCAAAATAGAAAAAATACGGATCAAAACAATATATAATAGGCGACGGGCAGTTAACACAAATTTTTATTTTTATGTCGGCAAATGGCCTAGGTATTTTAAAGTTGTGAATTGTAAAAAATTGTTTTGTTTTAAAGACGCAAACGCTGGTCAAATTGAAGACAATTGATTTAATAAAGCAAGACATTTTAAATATGCCCTTATCGGTCACGAATTGATTACTTTGCACAACAGAAAAATCAGTCGGCTCTTTTAACAAGTGGCGTAATCACGGCGATGAATATGTATTTTTGATTTAACGATATACTTCATATGCATTTTCATTGTACGAAATAAAATTGTACTTTACGGGATTTTATATCAGTTATTGAGATTTTTCTAACGGCGATAACGAGTTGGCAAAATTCCAAAAATACGTATAAAAATTAATTAAATACACCGTTTATTTTTATATTTTTATGTCCACCGATCGCCGTGGCATTTCAGAGAACTAATGTTTTAATTTTGACGTAAGAAGAAGCAACCGCGAGTTACGTTGGACACAATTAAATTAATATATAAAGACATTTTAGAATTTTGTAGTTGTCAGGGATTGAATATTTCACGCGACAAGAATAATCATTATACGCTGAAAAGACGTCGTTTTAACGAGCGCGTAATGCGAAGACTGTTAGAGACCGCAATGGGAATTTATGATTATGACCCCCCCCCCTTTTGAAAATCCTGGCTGCGCGCCTGTTTATACTGCAGATATGAAACCTGATGAGATGACCTAATTATATGGCATGCCACTGCCTCTTGTCTGCTTACCAATCCAGATTGGGTTTTAGTAATCAGACCAAGTTGTTTGTCTTAACATATTAGAAATAGAAAAGTTTAGTGTCAAATTTGTAGTTCAGTTTTATATTAAAGATATCTGATTTCTTGTACCTTTTAAATATTCACTTTAAAAAATTGAAATTCACTAAACAACAAACTGGTAATTTTGATAAACAACCTCAGCTTGTGTGATATTATAGAACATGGCGAGTCATTTTGCTCACACAGCATGGCTATGTTAATAACTACATTGTATTAAGGTATTCTGAGGGAAAATGAGTTTTATGTTAGTTATCCATTTTTCTCATTACTGTAGTACTAACTGGTGAAGTATTTTGGCAAACGTATCCAAAACTAACAGTACCGGTACCGGTAGTTATGGTGTGCTTTGTTATCTTGGTAAATAGACCTGAAGATATGAATGAAAATTTGAAGAAATTTATTCACATATTATGAAACTTACAGCACTTTCTTCTATTGGCAATGCAACACCTCCTGGTGGACATAAAATTTTTGTGCAGTCTCCGCACGGTCCTCTGACTTTTTTTACTTCAGTTTTGTTGCATCTATTTTTCACTAATGGTTGAATAATGTCAGGGATCAATACTTTGTCTATTATATACATATTGCATGATGGACATCCCATTGATATGTCGCTTTTTAAAATCTAAAAATATAGCATTAGTTAGGATAGGATTTTGATGTTTGTCCCGAGAGAAAAAGGCCAATGAGATAATAATATGGTTGTGTAACCCAGCTTCTCATCTGGTTACCAGGCCATGTTAGATATTGAATTAGGTATCCATCAATTTGTTTCAGAAGCGTGGACTTGGCGGTGAAGGAAACCCCAAACGACTAGCAGTTAGGTGAACATGTTACTATGACAACAAAGACTCTTACAATCCTCTCCTACATAATTATTCTCTCGCAGGATATAAACCAACAATCAGGGATGTGATGGCAAGCTTATTCCTAATGCTTAGCACCTCCAATTGTCATATTCATTCAAAGTGAGAAAAAGGCTGACAAGACATTGTTATCAAACCACAGTTCTCCTCTATTAACCTATGATAATTAACTGGATATTTGTTTAAGATACATGGACTCCATGATGAAGGAAGTCCCAACTGGTATAGGTAAAATACCTTATGGCAGCCAAAAGGGCACTCCGGGAGTATGTGCACCAAGATGGCACACAACCTGAACCCTAACCTGGTACACATACTATGTTCAGGTTGTGCGTCAAGATGGCGAGATCAAAATAGAATACTAATAGGAAGAGATGAGGAGAAACTGAAAAATCAATACTGGTGATTGAGTAACGTAACAACATTACTAGATAGGAACTAATATGAAATATTAAAAAAAGAAAATCGAAAAAAATATTCATACAATTATTTATAGTGTCCATAAAGTCTTTTTACAATTTCAACTTTGTTATGAAGTCATTCTCAATATATCTTAACCAGGTTTGTTGTTTTCTAATCAGCTAATTGTTTAGGTATTTTTACTTCATTTAATACATCTGTGAGGGCCAAAACAATATATGGTTTTGATAAATTCTCTTTGCAATTTAAAAAAAAATTAAGAGACTTTATGGAAACCCCATAAATAAGAAGTGTTTTAGTGAAGTCTTTCCCTTTCTATTATTTTTGCAAAAAACCTCAGCCATACCTTAGCTCCCTCATTTCCTACAGTTATACTCCCATCCTCTTCAGATACATTTACAGCAACTCCACTTATTTCTTGTAGAATTAGTTGAAATACATGAATTTGTGACGGATATTCATACATATGATTTTGAAGTAGCATGTCTAAGGATGGCCTACCCTGTGCATTGAAATAATTTTGACAAATTTTGCACATATTGTTAAAACATATACTGGTAATTATCATAAAAAAGTCACAAATTATCTGATAAACCTCTTTATAATACCTTATTTATCCTAAACTTTTTAAATAATCATATCACACATCATAACCAAATCATTAACAAAGCTTCTGAAATATTTACACAAGGAGAAAGCTCAGATAAGATATGATTTTTTTATTCACAGCATTGCGTAATCATTGGGGTATACCACACTCTCTCGTATGATTACTAGTTCTCATAGGAAATTAGACAGCTAGATATTTGTTTCAGATGCACAGACTTGAAGGGGAAGACGGCCAAAACTAACGAGCAGTTATGTAAACCACCCTATGGCAATGAGGAATCCAGCAATCCTCTTGCGCATTATTACAGAAAATTGAATAAAAATGTAGTAAGCTCACATTCTGACTCATTAAATATCTCAGTTCATCTTGTCCAAAAGATTTATTCATAGCCTCGTTCGTGGGTGCAAATAACATATAAGATCCTTCTGTCAGTTTCTTTTGAAACGAGAAGCTCTTCTTTATTAATTTAGTGAAAGCAAACATGCTGTCCATTTTTTCCAATGTTATTAAGACTGTATCGTTGGTCATGAATGATTTCTATTAAAGATAAAGTCAATGGAATTATTTAAAAAATTGGTACTGCCGTAGTATGTAAACCAAGATGGCGGACACCGGAATGTAGTATGTGTACCAGGTTAGAGTTCAGCCATAATTTCAGGTACAATTACTACGGGAGTCATTTGGCTAGTCCCTGAACTCGTAATAAAACCAAAATAAGGAAAATTGGAATAAAATTATGGCCCAACCCTAACCTGGTAAACATACTATGTTCAGGTTTCCGCCATCTTGGTTCACATACTACAGGAGCGGCAAAAAATAATGTAAAAAGTGAAAATACATTTCAAATTACGAAATAAGTAAGTTTAATTTGATTTATCACAAAATCGTCACAAACTAGCCAAAAAAAAGAAAAATCTGTTGAGGATACCAACTAGTGAAATACAAAAAAGTGAAATTTAAAATGCGCAATATGCGCATATCTCACTGGCACAAAAAACACTGCCAGCATCGAATATAAAGCATAATCTATACCAGTGAAGATTCCCGATAACTATTCTAAATGATTTAGGAGTCTTGCTGCACATTATATATTTTTGTAACATTTTATCTGGCCGTGGTATGACATCCATAATTCAACTATCAGTGCTGAGGAAGTCCGACTTTGGTTAGACAAATTGTCTTTATCTTTATTAAAGTTGGTCGAAATATTTGCAAATTATATACATCAAACATGATGAAAAAAGAAAGAACAGCATTTCTAAATTGTGTGAAAAATTTTGGAAAAAAAAAGAAGACTAACCACATCAGGGGGATTGAGTATAGTATCTATAATGTACAACAGCCCATTTGTAGCTGGCCTTGCATCAACAAGAATCTTTCCATAAACTTTTCCCGCAACGTTTATATCAGCAAAATAACCTATAAAATAAAACAAAACATACTTGATAAAACATAGTGATAAATGAACATAGATACAGTTTATTCTAAAAATGTCATAGAACTAACCAAAGTTCCCTCTAATTTTTCGTAGTATGTGTGAGCAGAAATTTTGGTGTGTGCGCACTTTTTGGAAATGACTAATATTTGTGCAAAAACCAATGAAGAAATTTTGGCGTTCTAACCGGGCAATGGGTGGGCCAACAACAAACTTTCTCAACCTGCCAACCGAGAACATTAAATCAAAATACGTCTGTGCGCAGTAAATCTATGCGTGTGCGCAGCCTCTGAAAGCTGTGTGCGCACGCACACGCGCACACTTTAGAGGGAGCACTGGAACTAACAGTAAAACCAAAAATGACAATTAGATTTATATTGGTCGAGCAACCTTTGATGACTGACTATTGTTTTTACATTGAAGCAGAGCAGGATGTGAATTGTGAAGTATGAAAGTGAACTTACAAGAAACTTTTAAAATAGAAACAATGGCAAAGGAAGCCAAAACTACCAGCAGTTACGTGAACCACCCTTTGACAGCGAGAGCTGCAGCAATCCGCTTGCACAAAATTACCGGTACTCCCCACTGAATTTAAACATGCAAACCCGTAAAAGGTAATCAAATGTGTGATGGCAAACATATCCCTAGCGCTTAGCACAGGGTTTTTTATCCTGGGGTTTGCGGACCCTTGGGGGTTCGTGATGACTACATGAGGGTCTGCAACTATATTGGAAGAGCCTGGTCGATCGACGTTTGATTTCAATCAAAAAGTCATTGCATCTTTTTTTTTGGGCATTGGAGACGAATATCCAATGCTGAGGCAGTGTTTCAGTTCTTAGCGATATGATGACAAAATACAGATTGAGACTTGCCGTAAAGTTGGACCTACAAGCTTGCATGTCAGAAATTGCTTCGAAAATTGATTAATGGTGCAGTGATAATCAACCTCATCCATCACATTAATTTCGTTTGCGTTTTTGTGTTGCAAATGAAACATTCCTCGTTGGATAGGCATATAAATTGAAACCGCGTAGGATGGGATTCATCAAAACTAAAATTCACAAATAGAAGTCCGAAGCTCAAAAACTTTGGGAAACCCCGGCTTAGCACAATGCACCCCACCGAGTCTAATAGAAAATAACGCAAATGGTTGAAATAATATTGGCATTGCAATGCAGTATTCTTAAAATCTGGACAGACGCTTAGGGCAAGTCAATGCATCTGAAACAAATAACTGGTCAACTTTTTCCTATCCGTCATGAATGGGGCGGTGAATGGATGAGTGGCCATGGTATGCCATATGATTAAAGTCGACTTGTTGGCTTTTTTCTCTCGCTCTCGATAATTTACAAATCTTATTCAACGCAATCGATCGCCAGAGTCCAGTGTGTATCAAACTAGATAGGCCATCGCGTCACTCAAATAATGTCAAACCTGCATCATCGTCATCTTCATCACTATCAGGGACTTCCCCCGGTCTAAGACATTTGATTGGATAGTTATATCCAATAACAGGATACATTGTCTTGGCACTGTCTTGGGTAAAATTGAGGTGAAATTCTCCAGCAACGATGTGCGATCTGAAAAGAAATTTTAATATGAATCAATGAAAACTGATGAAGTGGCCCAATCATGTAGGACAGTGGTTCCCAAACTGTGGGTCTCGACCCCTGATATACTGATTTTTGAAGTTGCTGAACGTTTCTAGTTGTGGGGTGGCGAGTATCTGTAGGCTTTGATTTTATGAAAATTGGGGTCGCAAAAAAATAAATTGGAAAACCACTGATGTTGGAGACCAAGCGTTTTCTGCAAACTCCTTGCTCTTGGAGAAAGCTGACATAATTTCTTGAGAAAAAACTGAAATATCTAGTATAGAAAATAGAAGATACCTAAAATTTGAATATTAATATAATGCTCTCATTTTTTTTTTCATTTTCATCTCTATGTTAGCATATAACTGTAATATTTTTTCGACTATCACATTATCCATTCTAAATTTTTGTTTTTGACCAGTGGTTATCAAACTTTTCAAGCTGCGCCCCCTCTTCAAAATTTTTCAAGTTTCGTACCCAACCTCAAAAACGACTAGCTAACAAAAAGCTTCAAATAACTGATATTAGGTCGAAAGTATGCTTGATTTTGAAAAACACCTTGAAAATTTGTGGATGGAACGTAAATATTGAAATAAACGAAAAGTTTTGAAATGTAAGTATCAAAAATGAGGCAGGCAAGATCAAATCTAACAGTCTCTCAAAAAATTGTCTACGCCCGCGTGCCCCTATGTTTAAAAACCAATGTTTCAAACCTTAACCACTGCTTTAAACATTAAACTACCTCAGTAAATGGGTTAGTGCACCGCAGCTGACAACTATAGCATTATATTTGGCATTTCAAGACTTATGTATTAGATTTATGTTAAAGATGATAAAGATAATGCAGCGAACGTAGCGACATAATATATTCATCTTGCAATTGAGGAACCTGTTGTTAGGGAATTTGATAAAAAAAAAAATATTCTTAAGCTTTTGAATCCCACCACTACTTATTTTTCATTATAAATGATTGTTGTATACTCCCGAAGTATTAAACCAATATGGCGGACACTGGGACGTAGTATGTGTACCAGGTTAGGATAAGCCATAATTTTATTCCAATTTTCCCTTATTTTAGTTCTATTATGAGTCCGGGGACTAGCCAAGTGATTCCCATAGTATTTGTTCCTGAAATTAGGGTCTTACCCTAACCTGGTACACATACTACAATCCGGAGTCCGCCATCTTGGTTCACATACTTCGAGAGTACCTAATGTTGTATACATACTCTAGATTGTACGCTGAACTAATGTTGTCAGCAGGAAAAGCGTCATCAATAGGAACAAATATGGTCATAGTAGCTGGCATGTCCATGAGATGAAAATAATCAGAGATCTTGTCTATTGCATTATTTAGTTTGTTTTGATATTTTCCACTCTCATTCAGCTTCTCTAATTCTGATAATATATCGCCGTAGCAGACTCTGAATCTCTCTCTAAATCCTTTCGGACACTGAAATAAAAATAGTCAAAATGAAATTGATTCATCTACATAACTGTAAGTTATCTAACAGTTTTAGGAAATTTCTCCCAGAAAATTTCTCTTAGGAAATTTCTCATAGGAAAAATTGTTATTTAAGAGCATACCCTAATTTCAACCCTATAAGCCTAACTGTTTTAATCACACATATTAGTTTTAAAGCAAAATGCTCTTTCGATTTATACTATGCAGCAAAATTTTCTGCGACAAGATTTCCTACAACGATTTTTCCGGTCATGTCATCTAATATATGAAATTAATTCCTATCAGATTAATCATCGAAAAAGTATCAAATAATGAAGTGTCAATATCAATTTTCTCAAGATCAATGAATACTACAAAAATATTTGCAAGAGAAGTCGCCTGTTCAAACAAATTAATTCCAATTTGATGACTCTTTAAAGCGCGTTTATCAAAAAAAGTTTCATGAAATAAAATATCAAATTTTTCATAAAGAAGCAATTGAATTCTGCATTTTATTATGTTATTTATTATGTGACTATATTTAAAGGAGCATTTTGATGTTGATGGTCGTTTTTATGCAAATCGACCTAAGAATGCTCTAAAAAATGTAAGGAAAATTTAACAAGTATTTTCCAATAAAAGATATTAAAAATGCATTCCCATGTTTCTTGAATGAAGAGAGATTTTGCGCAAATTTGTTGTGGCATTACTAATATTTTTAGTTTTTATTATTATTATTATAATACTTAGTCATACTTAACACACAAAAAACAACACAAAACTGTACGAAAGTGTGAGTGCAATTTGGATATAACACTGAATATTGAATAAATAATGTAGTTTCTGTGCATTCTGGCGAAAAAAATAGGAGAGAGAGAGAACTTTAACAAAAAAGATTGGGAACCAATTCTCCCAATTAATTTAAATACTTGTGAAAATATTTTTGAATTCATACTCTATCTACACTTACTGTACATTTGACTGTTATCTCATTTCTGACAACAACAGTTTCACACGAAGCCATTGGATCGCAAGTTGTTTTTGGATACCGGCCACAAACGTCAACAAGAGAGCAACCAAAATCTGGAGTGTAGTCTGAAAACCCATAACGACATTCACAGTGACTCTGAAATACAATTTGTAAATAAAAAAAAGTATATCCTCGCATTTAAGCCGAGTTTAAAACTCGAAACAAAAAAGTTGCCAAATTAAGAGGCCGGCTTATGCGCACATAACTCTGAACGCACTGGAGCGTCAGCTTATACACGCATAATTTCGATTGCACTTGAGACTTTTTTACTGTTAATAATAAAAGTAAAACATAACAATAATGGGTATCATTTTCATTAAATCTCTCCTGCAACCATTTGCTCTGATAGGTGCGCATGGCGTGTTACGATTTGAATCTTCCCAGTTCAATATTGTCTATTCATTTTATTTCCTTCTTTGTTAGGAGTTAGGGAACGTGGAATGCTATGAACTCAACATATTTAGGTCAATTAGGTGCACAGATTTTTAGCTGTCTCAGTGGATTTCGTACACAGTCTTGTTTGGAGCAAGAGGATAAGCGTGGATCATTATATATAAAGAAGAATCCTCCCTTATTAAATACGAATTTACAAAATGAAGCTTTTAACACCAGGGAACATATAACTTTGTTTCCTTAAAAATCAAATACTTACTTTTGCTGGTCCATCATATTTGCATACTGTGCTATTACTCTGACAACCACCATTGTTTGTTTGGCAAGGATCTATAGGCGAACACCAGGTTCCATCTCCTGAAAATCCTTCTTTACATTCACAACTGACTTGACCTGTGATTTTATTGATAGAATGTTTCGGATTTCATTATTTTCTTGCATGATAAATACATACAAATTTTCCTGATTTCACACAGACCACAAATATTGAGAGTATGTGAAAGGGACTCAAAATGCAGCTCATAAAATTATAAGCGTAGACGGTTTTGACATACCACTGAAGTCCGTAGTAGCTGACTTCAATAACTGTATGATATAGCCCCATCTTGTCCATACCAAGATAATCTTATTGCTGTTGCTTTTTTACTGCATTGATGTCTGTATTTCTAGGTTGACAAAGTAGTAAATCTCTCTCTGACAAATATTTGTCAAGTAATATATACCTCACCTGGTCCTGTGTGTAAGCAAGTAGCATTAGCATGGCAAAGTGAGTTTCCAGTTGAGCAAAGATCAATATCGACACAGGTAGAACCATCTCCTGTGTAGCCTTTATTGCAATGACATTTTACTACCCCAGTAGTATTCAGGCATGCTGCATTACTGTGGCAATTTAACGATGAACAAGTTGTTAAAACTGTAAAAAACGAAAACAGTTTAAGGATTATGTTTGCGGATAAAATAGAAAAAATTGCTGGTGCAGAATTTTGTTTAGAGCAGTGGTTCTCAAACTTTTTAGGCCACGCCCTCTTTTTAGAATTAGTCAAGCCTCACGCCCCACCTCAAAAATAACAGCTAACAATAAGCTACAAATAACAGATAGTAAGGCGAAAGTATGTTTTATTCTAAAAACACGTAGAGCAGGGGTTCTCAACCTTTACTCTGTTAAGTACCCCCCGAGTCACGAAACAATCAACGCAAACCCTCAAAGTCACGAAACAGTCAACGCGAACCCCCAGTAATCATACACTAAACTAAATTGTGATATATTGACTTACAATTTGCTGCAACGACTTCTAAGCCGTGCATTTCATATTTTTGCGTCACAATCACAACAACGCAAGATCAGGGAAAATGTACGCCGAGTTTCAATTGGCAAATATTTTCCTCTTGTAGTTATTTTCTTTGTTAAAGGATATTAAAAAAAAGCAACACACGAAAACTTGACTGTCATCCAAGTACCCCTGGAAATCTTCTCGTGAACCTCTGGGGGTTCGCGAACCCCAGGTTGGGAACCCCTGACGTAGAGAATGAGTGAATGGAAGTAAATACGAAAATAAATAAAAAGTTTTAAAACGTAAATATCCAAAATAAGGCGGGCAATATCAAATCTAACAAATAATTTTATTTTTAATTAGCTTCACGCCTCCTCGAAAAATTAAATTGTCCATGTCCCCCTTGTGGGGCGCGCCCACCGTTTGAGAGTGAAAAAGTATTAAGACGTGCAAACCCACTCAAGGTAATAAACAATGCCAATGATAATACTTAGTGACAGCTAAAGTAATAAAAGAAGAATAGGATTTTCAATTTATTCCAAGAAGAGAGGGAAGGTGATGAGATGGCTCAATCACACAGTGAAGCCTGTTTCATCATTCGCTTGTCAATCCGTGTCAGGTATTAGAATATTTAACCAGTAATTTTTTCAAACACATAGATTTGGCAGTGGAGGAATATGTATCTGACCAGCCGTTACGTGAATCACCCTGTTACGACAATCCTCTCGCACATAGACCCCATGAGATTCGAACATGCAAACCCACGCGAATAACCAGATGTCAAGTGTGTGTCCCAGAGTTTCAAACACCGACCAATAGGAAACTAAATCTTAACGAAAACACTGAATAGCTTGGATGCTTTGAGAATCATCTCCCTTAGTTTTTGACATTATAAATCAATTGTTCCATTTGAATTCAATTTACCTTTATCACATAGTTTTCCGCCATATCCATCAGCACAAAAGCATGCACCTGATCCTGCAACTCCGTTGTCACAGGTACCATGAACACATGAACATGCTGTAGAAATTAAACATGCAAATCAATTTCAATCAGATGTGAAACAAAATTTTTATCATAATCAGTTTGATTTTCATGATTTGAGGAAATTCTATATACAGGGGAAGCAAAAAAATTCCCTCATTTTAAGTAATTAAATTGAAACGTGAGGGATTTTTTGACCCACATTCACATTATTAAAATTCAAACTTAATCGAGCTTACCTAGCATCAAAACCATTAAAAAGGTAAAGAGTGTAAAAAGTTTTAATTTTTAACTCTTCGCTAGTGTATAATTTTAGGATATAAAAAGCATGATACAAATTTGAAAAATCCGCAAGCACAACAGTAATTTGGGCATGCAAATTATGTAAATTTTAAAATCTCTGTGCAATTACAATGTGCAAAAATTTTACTCCTTCCCCACCTGAGCCAAACCAGAGGGATTTCTAAAGCAAAAGCAACTAGATACACACATAAGTGTCTAGGGCTGGGCATTTTCGAATACCTGATGATTTCATAATCGAATTGAATATTTTTTTCGAATCGAATCTTGAATACTTGAATATATAATTGTATGTGACATTTTATCGTAATTAATATTGTCAACAAATGAGTTACTGAAAACATAGAAATACATCACTCAGACAGATTGCTAAGCGTTTAACACGCAATACGAAACACGTTTTATCAATAACTCACTAAAGAAAATAGTCATATGTAAGAATTACGTTGAAAAATATGGTTTAAATAAGACAAAATTTAAGGAATTCACCTCTACCATTGGCGGAAGAAAAAAACAAGATGGTGGCGATTCGAAACTTTGCCTTAAACCGATTCGAATAATTTACTATTCGATTTAAATATTCGATTTGAAATGCCCAGCCCTACAAGTGTCAGCCTGGAGCCTTGTTTGAATGAAAACTTCCTCTAAGCAGCCAGAATTTAGAGAATTATAGGAAAGCAGTATAGATGGAATCGAGCACAGAAGTTTTATGCTTGCAGGTTAAAGACGTTGCGATTAAACCACATTACATAGTTTCTGAATGATAGAGGTAGGCAAGGCCAGAACAGAAAGATTGTTCTAAAACAAAGTAGCAGTTAACACATCAATGTCTGATTATGCAAATTAGTCAAAGATCGGTGCTCCAGAAGTATGTGTACCGATATGGAGGTAACTAATTTTGTTCGCCTACTTTACATCAAGTTGTGTAAAGAGACTGAAGCCTATGTGCAGATGGGCAGGGGTATATTCACTTGGATAACACAGACAGTCTCCGAACTCGTAATAGAACTAAAATAAGGCACATTGAAATAAAATTATGGCTTAACCCTAACCTGGTACACATACTACGGGAGTACCGATTAGTCAAAAACGAATAATACTCACTGCTTTGACAGGTTGATCCATAGAACTGCGGTTGATTGCATTTCTCACAGACTGACCCAATTAAGTTTCCTTGACATGAACAAGTCCCATTTCCACTGATTCCATCAGAGCAGACACCTTTCCCACTACAAATTACTCCGTTGTTATCTTTGGGGCAACCTGAAGATAGAGTTTGATGTTTTTAAAATTTCTCTTATGTGAGAGGAAAATGTACATATACAGTGTGGAATAAAATAAGAAAAAGCACTTCAGTGTGAAGGGGCATGAAAAAAATAATACTTGTTATTGAGCAGCGAAACCCCAGACAGGTTCAAGCATATGGGCAAATTACGACCCGCGGGCCGGATTCGGCCAACCGAAGTGTTTCAATTGTGTCTGCTAAAATTACGATTATAGTTTTTATAGTTTTTATAGTTTAAATTTTCGATGAAAATAACATCATAATGACCCAATTGTAAAATTGTGCTTTTTAATACAATATAAACGTTAGCCTGCCTAGCTGTTAGACCAGCCTTTGTAAATGAACTTTTTTATTCATATTTTTTTATAATGAGTTTTGAGCCTTCGTCTCAGCAATCAAGTCTATTATCTGTAACTGGCCCACTCAGAAAAGTGATTGGCCCATCCGGTACTAACACACAATGAAAGAAATGAATGAATAAAAATAGAAAATGAAAGTGAATATCATTAGGCCGTTTCATCGGTTTCAGTCTCCCTAAAGATGAATTTATAAATCCTAATCCAAATATTCATACAATTATATTTTCCATACCTTGGCAATCTTGACCCCAATAACCAGCACAGCATTTGCCCACTGTCACTGTTTGTTGGCATGTATGAGTGCATCCCCTTGCTGGCATTGTTTTTTCTCCGACTTGTACTTCATATTTACATCCTCTTGCCCCTGTCCCTCTTGATAACTTTTTTGAACTTCCTGGACAACCGACCTACAGTTTAGTATATGATTGAGTAGTATATAGAACAGGTGTAGGCAAGGTTTTTGGATCAGGTGCAAAAAATTTTGCCACCTGGCGGGCCATGTAAGTGTGACATATAGAGTTACATTTTAGGAACAATATTTACAGTGTTACAAAAGTAAATGCGGAAAACAATAAGCCTCGTGCCAAAACTAAATTTAATTGCAATCTCAACAAATTCATTGATCATTTCTCAGGTAAAACATCAAAATTTGGTTTTAGTTGAGTTGTGGCATCATCAGACGAGACATATTGAAATACCCAACGGGCCGGATTTGGTCGCGGGCTGTAGTTTGCCCATGTCAGATATAGAGTAGTCAACTTCACCACTGTTTTTGGGTTCATGCATTCGATAATATTTTTATCGCATAAGTGAAATCGGAGTGAAAATATTGATCTATTATGATTGGAGGTAAAGGTGAGAGTTTTAGAATTTCAAATCAACATCAATTCAAAACAATTCAGACACAAGGCACAACACAGTGGCCATTGTCTCACATTGTTCAAAAGTTTCTCTTTAACTATTTTTTTTGCATTTAAATCTTCCCCCAAACCATATCAGTCTTATTTCATATGGGTCACAGTTTTAGATAAACCAATCAGGACACTCCAATTCAGAATTTGGTTTAAAAAAATACTGTCTTAAAATATGGAATAGGCCTACCTAGTTGGAAGAAAGAAGTCTGCTCAAGTGGCAGCAATATGTGCCTGCTACATAGAAGGCCTTCAAACGGTAATTGAGAATATATAACCATGGCATAGCTACATCCAACTACAGTATAAAATGATATATAAGTCTTACAACCTGTACTTGTTAAAAAATGGTTAAAAGCTAAGAAGACTGCATGTTTATATAGGACTTGTTAAAGCTAACGGAAAGGAGATTAGTCCTCAAACAGGTCATATACTCAGATACCAGAGCTTCACAACGATGAATTGGAAATCCAGCATGGTATAGAGTCCCAAAATATGGTGAGTTACTTCACACACTTGCTCTCCGCTTGTACTGCAGTCGTATCACTTTGCCACACTTGTACCATTTGTACCCCACTGTTTTAAGTTAGGGAACAAATCAGGAAAGTGTGGGGCACAACATTTTTGTGATGACGTATAAGTCGCTAGTAATATGGGGAGAGAGGGCTAAAACCAACAAAACATTAACAAAAACTGTAAATATACAGTTTCTTGTGTAGAAACACCTCACTTTGCTTAGCCAGAAGTTATCCCTTTATATTCTTACCTTCCTATTCTGCCAACAATTGACACAACTTGTTTTAAATATTTGAGTTGTTGTCGTATCACAGCGATTTTCAGAAATTGTCGATTCAGTGTCTGGAGCACAAAGAGAAATTTAGATTTAAAAAAAAATATTTGGTTCTGCGTTTGGTGCATCGTGCTAAGCGTTAAGATTAGTAGTTCTTATGGGTTTGCAGGTTCCGGAGAATAATTATGTGCGAGAGAACTTTTCGACTCTTTGCTGTGAGGTGGTTAACGTAAGCGCCGGTCGTGGTGATTTGCTATATCAGTTATACGTCTTATTGGGTTTACTATTATATATAATTAAATACACCCAATCCACTACTAATATAGCAATTACAATACATCATACAATGGAATTTTTATATTAATGCCGGGAGAGTCGATTGGACGGCTTAATCATATGGCCCCATCGACCGGTTATCGGGTATGGAATTAGTTATCCAGTTTTTTGTTTCAGATGCATGGATTCGATTCAAACAGTTAAAATATAAAATGATACTCACATGATAAAATAAATAAAAATATAATAAATGTTAATTCCAGCGTTACAGAAATTCCAAAACTTTTCATAGATTTAGTCATCTTATTTCTGAATGCGAGAAACATTCTTGGGTGTAATTATCCAATCATTGGAGATAAGAAGTTATCGGTAATTACTACAGATATACTATTCTGTAATCAGTAATAAAATAGTATGATAATTACCAGGCATCCTGCGGCCCGCCAAATTAGGCCCACAAGAAAAAATTATGCGCCCGCGGAAAAGAGGCAATTTCGAAGGATGTGTGGCTCACAAAACGAGCTGTTAATTTATTTTAATCCGATCCAAATTCCAATTCTATTGTGTTGCAAACCCTATCTTTGAGTCCAATTCATTATATATGGCTATGATGTCACAAGGCCATAACAGCAAGCTTGTGCGAAGCGAAAACACATGTCATGAGATCAATAACCAAAATTTTTGTGCTTGCAACTACTAGAAAGCCTATGTTGAATAAAGTACGACCCGCGGTTAAACTCAGTTATTTGTATCTGGCTTTCCTGTATTAAAGGTCGCACACCCCTTTCATGAGTATTGCTGCACAGTAACACAAATATATTTCTGTAACGTTTGTCTGACCAAAGTCAGACCTCTTCAGACATAAAATTCATCTACCATGAAAAAAAAATTTACTTTGTGAAAAACCGATAAAATTGTACATATGCTACCAAGCTCAGAAAAACACTAAAACTCTCGAAATAACATACTCGAAATAAATAATTTTTCCAATTACTGCTAAATTTTATCGTTTCCGATAAAACTAGGATATATAGATGTCCATGAAATTTCACCCGGTGTTATTGTAATACCAATTAATAATTTATTTGTCTTTGTTCATTAATAAAATTATTTTTATTGTGTTCTTATTGCGCTTGTAGTTCTCATTCATCATACAATATATATAATATATTTAATTTTACACTTGTTATTACCGTAAAATCGGGCGAAATTTTCTGGACACTGCTTATTTAAACATACGTGCAAAAGTAATATTAAAATGAGTGGTATTGCAACGTCCATATTTTGACCTAATATTGTATATATAACTCGAAGACCTCCAAATATTATTCGACTTATATCAGTAAATTAACTCCGAAACATGGGCAAATGTAAGATTAGCGTACAATACTTGTAACAAATTAACCAATAATTTTGAATGGATTATATCAATGCTAAATATAATTTCTGACGTCATAAAATATTATAAATTCTAGAGAGTTCTAGCAAAAGAATTCGACCCAAATATTGCACGCAAGTGAATAATTCTCATGTGATATGATGAATCACCCCTATTTTACATGGATTTTGCTAGAGGTATCGAGCAAAGACTGTTTGAAATATGAAACCTTATAAATATGATCTCATCAAACAAAAGAGACAGCTAGCTAACAGCTAACGACTATCCTTAAGAGATAGAAGTGTAATTTGTTTATACTGATTTAAATTATTGTAATATATTGTCGAAAGAAATAAAATTGTACAGGTAAACCTTTCTGATCCTTGGCTGTACGCTCGTACTTTATTTGTTCAGGACATAATTATCTTGCGTTTCGACGCTACAGCGATATTTTACTAACTTACTCTCAATGAAGTTTACTAAATGTGGAATGTTAGGGCAGTGAACACTTCTTCCTGAAAACCTTCCATCTTATATTCTGACGTTTCAAACCTTGTTGGTTTTGTTTGCTCTCCTGATTTCATAATTAGTTTTTATTTATTTGTTTTTATCAATCATTTTATTGCCTGTTATACTAATCTGAGTAGTCGAAATAAAAGTCTTATGAGTAAAAAAAATTAATATTTGATCGTGACTTTTTTTTAAAAAACTGTATGTTTGACATCTACAGTTGTTTACTTGAACGCGAGCGGTTGTTTGTTTATCTGTTTATGAGCAGTTGTTAAAAGAATTTTGGGATATTTGGTACAAAGTTCCCACCCATAATGCGAAAAATGTGAGATTTGAGAAAACAACCCCGCCACGTTTTAAAATAACAAATTGATAATTATTCAGTTAGGGTTCGAAATGATTTAAAAATATGAATTTTCAGCGCAATTTGCATTTCTAACCCTAACCCGGTCAAATCAAATCATCATTAATTAATTACAATATGCTTGTCGTATGAGAGCACATGACGCTTTTAACAACTCAAGAATTATTCGCCAGACAATTTAAAATCAACCATAGTGATCTCCCGGTGGACAAAATCAAGTAGTGAAGGAAAAATGATAATGTCCTTCCTAAAAGTTACAATGAAACATTTTTGCACAATGAGTACATGATACTTCTGTTACTAGTATTGCTTTATTTAGGTGGATGTCTCGTGCAAAACCAAAAGCAATTATAGTAGGAATGCGAAGGTGATCTCATATCCACGCAGATACAGGGGTGGGCAGAGTTTTTTAGACCAGGGGCCAACAATTTTGCTCACCTAGACTGGCGGGCCATGTAGGTGTGACATAAAAAGTTACATTTTATGAACACTATTTAGAGTCTTACAAAAGCAAAAGTGGAAAGCGAATAAGCCTCGTGCCAAAACTATATTTAGTCGCATTCTAAACAAATTCATTGAGCTGTTTTTTAGTTGAAGCGTCGAAATTTGGTTTTACTTTTGTTGTGGCAGCATCAAGTGGGCCAGATTGAATTATCCAACGGGCCGGTTTGGCCCGCGGGCCGTAGTTTGCCTGTGTCAGTTCTAGGCGGATGTCTCAGACAGGTCCGAAAATAATAGGAAGGAAGCGAAGTGAATTACATATCCTTGCAGATGGGTTTTAACAATTTTTAGATTTCTCAATTTGCAAATCGCGGTAGCAACGCGTCTGTTCAGACTTAATTGATCCAATGCCGCAAAATGATCGAATATTTGCATAAATTCCAGGAAATCTGAATCAATACTACGAATACTAGCCGCCATACAAGTAAAGATGGCGTATATATTAGTGAAGTAAAAAACTTTAGTTGGCTGAACTGAGTATGCAATAACCTATATGCGTCCAATCGCAATTTAAAATTAAAATGTATAAACTTTTACAAGGTATGTAACAAAACAAAAATTTCCAGTCTTTTGGAGGGAGCTGAATCTGATGGCTGTGTATGGTCGTATCGCTCTCCATTGTCTATACCGAATAACTTTGGATACGTTATTGAAAATTTTTATTAGGTTGCAATGCTTGTTTTTCTGATTGACGAACAATAAATCTTTCTCTCTCACTAAAAACTCGGTTATAGTAGTAGTCTTAAAAAGTAGCGAACACTATGCTTCCTCAAAGCCCTTTTCAGGAGAAGAAAAACTTTAAAACACGACTTAATCAATAATAGCCCAGATAGTAAATACCGACCCATAGTTATTTTAATCTATCAATCCACGCAACAGTACATGTAACAATAATCTTGTTGAAAGCTCAACTCATGCGAACGATATATGACGTCATACCAAACACGTAATGCAGTTCTTCAAACTGTTATGAAATAATTTTCCGTCAATCTAGCCAGCGCCTTTTCGAGTCAAGAAAAACTTTGAAAATCATTAATCAATATAGTAAATAAGGACCCAAAGACATTTTAGTTCATGCTAATTAATTTAATGTAACCGTTTTTTTATTGAACGCTCAATCCATGGTGACGATATATGACGTCATAAATAATACGTGATGCAGTTTTTTTCCACCAACTGAAGCGTTAGATCGTCCAACCCGCGGAAGCATTTCGAGTGGCTCGCGATGAATTTCAGAATTGTATAAAAAAAATTGAGTAAAACCATTTTTCGAGGTATGTAGTATTCAAAGATGTGATACAAACGATTTGTTTATTTTCATGAGATGCGCTCTGCCATCCCTTTCAAACGACGATCTGAAATTACCTTGGAGCTCGCGGCCATTGTCCCTGTCAAGGGTACGACTAGAGGCTTTGGTTTGTTAAAGACTGTGATAAAAATGATCAAGCGTCTTGGCTTGTCTTTGGCGAAACTTGTCTGATGGCGCCCCATCAATGGTTGGGAAACAACAGTTTTATTGTTCTAATATTCGTGAAAGTTTGGTGTGAGTGCATTGTTGTTTTTTCATTAACCTGTAGTCAGTGCAGCAAAACCAGACCATAACTACCATGATGAGTGGCCCGCGCAATTATTAGTGAACCACATGTGGCCCTTCGGCCAAAAAGGTTGGCTGACCCTGCGTTAGATGAAGTCATTCTATCTACGTGAAGCGGACAACCCGAAAAAATTCTTGAAGTTGTTTTCAGGTGATCGGTGATTGCTTCTCGAAAGCTAATAGATATTTTCCAATTGCACATATTACACTCTCATCTTTATGTAACCTCATTCGAAAGCTGGTTGTCCTTTCATCACAAATTATGATATTACGGTAAAACTTACAAAGATAGAGCTCCTTCAATTCACTCATCTTTCTGTTGAAACTCTTAGCGGCAAGTCCTTAAATTTTTGAACCATCAACAATAATCATCAAAGTTTTTCTATGATAATTATGAACATTGGTGATGGTCGTGGATTCAGTATCGGAAACTGACCTCTACCGGCTTTATAAAGGCACTCGGCGCCCTATATATATTGCCATTCAAAGTGGGATTGACATTCAGTGAAAGATACAATATATTATCTATCAAAATAACAATTCTAGGTCTGAGTCGTCTGACTAACACGAACTATTTGATTAAACACTGAAGCACTATTGAAAATAACACTATGAAAATTTCTGCTGCCTCCTCCCCTTGGTGCTCTAAGCACGTGCTTAATTTTTTTTAATGATTTAATTCTACCCTGTCTGTCGGTTAATTAAAACTGTTAAACTAAAAAAATAAAGCTATTCCAACTCATTCATCTTTCTTTCAAACTTTCTCGCGCAAAAATTAAACCTTCAAACGTATTGAATACAATAAAACGTGACTCTTCCATGTGTGAGCAATTAAAACGTCCGTTCGCTGTTAAAAAAACGAGAGATGTGACTTCAATTTTATTATCATTAAAGATAGGTTACCATGGATCGAGCACAAGATATCACAACATTTGGCAGCCATTGGTGCAAAAACAATACGGGGCTGAGATTTATACCACGATTACATGAAAAAGTCAGTGATTTTGCGATTT